TAACTTTGAAGACAAACTCTAATAAATTTTTTGAAATTGTCTATCAAAAATTTTCTTGAAAGTGTAATTCAATTAAATATGCCAAAGATAATTCATCAAAAGCAATCTTTTTTACTTCTTGATTTATTACCACATTCTAAATTTTACGTCTTTTAAAAGAGTATATGAAACCTAAGTACCAAAATTCTATTCTTTCCTCAAACTTTTCAAAATCATGATTTTTATCCAGTTGAAAATAGAGCTTAAGTATTACTGTTCAATCCAACATGTCTATTTACTTGATCATGACTTCCAGATGGACCTTTTACCGAAGGATTTGTAAGTTCAATATTAATGAATGACAAAAAAAAACACGGCAGACCCAATTTACATCTGTTAATTCCAAATCATAGTATCCATGAACTTGAGCATAAAACTATAAAGTGGTGGCTTATTTTGCTTAAAACCTTCATGAACTTGAGCATAAATCACGAAATGGCAGATAATTTTGTTTATTAAGATTGAATTGATTAAAAATCATTTGAGATAATTGGGTATGATTCTTCCGACTCTTTGAGTTCTTAAAACTGTATAAGCTCAAAACAAATTGCAATTCAAATTACAAAACCTGTGATCTGTCTAAAGATTGTCAACGTGTTCCCTTAGATGAATCATGTCATTCAGCAGCAACCATGAAATAAACTTTCGATTGTATTTATGGGACAACTCAAATTTTGTGGACAAAAAATTAGCCACTAGCTAAAATATTAACTTGAAATTGAATATGTATTGCCTTTGAAACATCTATGGTTGGTGTGCTTCACCGTTTGAAGTTTTAAAGAACAGTGTGAGTATAAACTATTCATTGGCTTAGTTGTTGGTGGAATATGTAAAGAATTCCATGTCACAAAAACATTTTTCTGAAATGAATTTATGGAATATCATATCATTTGGAATCTTTATTTCATACTTCATCAATAGACTTCAAGGACCTAGTTTTAGCGGTATAGTTTTGATTTTAATATTCTCTAAATTAACGACAAACATGGAGAAGATAATATCAGAAAGTTTTACATTACAAAAAGCATAGATACTTTTTAATCAATTTGAGTAAATCTTTTCAAATAAATTATCTCCATTTGAATCATCCGTATTACCATTATTTGGTCAATTTACATACTCTAGGTTAGATGTATCTACATAAGTGATACAAGTATTTTGCTTGTCATTTTGTTATATCCACACGGGACTTTTTAAAAAATAATTTGAAATGAACAGTCAAATCTACGTATGTTGAAATGTAAGAAGTACTTATTCAAAATATATATTCATATAAACAAATAGCTAACTATCAAGTATTATATAATTATAAAAATTTTATTCAGTTACTTTGTTTATCAATATGATCATAAAATTCTTTAGCAATTTCAATACCATTTTTTTCAAAAAATATTTGATAACTTTTAAAATATTTTATATCATCTAAAGTAAAAAAAGTAACAACATTTTCAATTGCATTTTTTCCATAATTATTAATTCTATTAAGATAGCTGTTGAATCTCGTAGCTTCAAATTCAATGATATATTCTTTATCTTTTAAAAATCGTGTATCATGAGTAATTAAAATTGCATCTTTTTGTATTACAGCTTCTTCAATCTCTTCTCTTTCTTCGAAAGGAATTTTTGAATATATATGAAAGGCTTGAATTGATTGTTGTCTTAAGGAATTAGCTATTTGAGCAGCATCTTTTCTACCTTTTACATAAACAATAACATTTTTACCAAATGATTCATTATCTTTAGCAAATGATTTTTTGAGTTTGACAATTTCATCAACTTTAGCTTGTAATGCAAGTTGATTTGATTCCCTTACTCTTTCTCTTCGTTGATGTTTGGGCAAAGTTTTGAGATTGTCAGGAGACAAATGAGCAACACTTAATGGATTCTTGAAATTTACCAATATCAATTTTTTCTCTATTTTATCGAAAGAATTTTTAATATTATATGCAACACTAATAGCATCACTGAAATCGATGAGATAGTTTTTAAATTCACCGGATAACTTTGTAGCAAACCAAACAAAAGTTGTTGAGATTTTAAACTTATCCAAGGTTAATTTGAAGACTATTTCCTGACATTTGAAGAAAATTTTAACGTCTTCTATTATAACTAAATTTGTATCATCAACTTCCAAATTTCCCAGCAAAATTGATTCACAGAAGTGAACTGGTCTAATTATAAGTATATTAACTGGTTTTTGTAAACCATTGGGATTGAAAATGATTTTGTTAAAGGAGTTAGCTTTATCCAATTTTTCCAAGACATCCATAAGTGGGTGAACAGATTCAGTGACCAAAATAACCACGGGGGAAGCACTATCATCTTTCGGTCCAGCTTCTGCAAGATAATTGATCAAATAATCCATTGTAGCAACCCCAAAACATTTTTGAATTTCATCAGCATCACTTACCCCTAGATTTAAAATTGACAAAGTGTTTTTAATACTTGGAATTGTATAACCAAAGCTTGGTAAGAATTTAATATTATGCTCTTCCATCGTATTAAATAATTTTTGATCTAAATTCCTTTTTAAAGAAGAAGTATCATCTATTGGATTAAACAAAATTTCACCTGTGGCTTTAACTGCATATTTTGAATTAAATCTTTCTATTTCATTAAGAATTGGTGTTGAAGCAGAGTTGAATTCTGGTGTTGGAGCTGTGTTGAATTCTAGATAGTTTGGACTTTTTGGACTATTAGAAAAAGGAATAAAATCATCTTGGTCATGAATTGTTGAATCTACTGGTGTTGCTCTGGAGCTTTCGTCCCATACTGAAGGGTCATTTTCTGATAAATAATATGGTGTTGTTCGACCCCATTCTTCTGAAGTTAATGGAAAATCAGGAGGTGAATATGATCGAAAGTTAAAATTTGATGATGTTGATGATACTGTTGATGATACTGTTGATGATACTGTTGATGATACTGTTGATGTTACTGTTGATGTTACTGTTGATGTTAATGCTGATGATGATGAATATGAGTTTGGTTTAAATTTCTTTGTTGGTCTTGGTTGATACATAATTATATGAAAGATTTATTGAATTGAAATGATTTGAAAGATTGCATTAATATAACGCTCATAAAATTAAGCATTTTGTAAGGTTTTTTGTTGCATTCTTATACTGTTAATTCTATTTGTATTACGCTTCATAACTGATATTCAATGTTAAATAATTTTGGTATATGTTTCAAGTGTATAATGATTTTTCAAAATGCCCTTTTCCTGTATAAAATAAATTGTGATAAGTTGATATTTATTTATTTTCTGTGGGATATTACACAAAATTTAATTTCAGTTATCGTAAATCTAATCTATAGAGACTTTAAAAAATTAAAACTTATGAAACCATACACTATAAGTTTCACACTAGACTATACACAATTTTTATTGTCAATTTGTAAAGAGATAAAGGTAATTGAATATCTGTTTATTACAAGGTAAATACTACTTATTAATTGGAGTAGTTGTTTAAAATTAAATCAAATCTTTGAAAATTAACTTCATCAAATTTAATAAAATTAGAATTATAAGTTTTTGGTGTGAAAATTTAATAGAATTTAAAGTTCTATGGCATTTTGAAAAAAGTGTATACTTTTTAAAAGCCTATATAAAATTTGAGTGTTTTAACAATTATTCTTACGGCATAAACTATAAAGTGTATACTTGTTTATTTCTTGTCAAAATTGTGTATACCAAATTTTTCCTTGTCAAAATTGTGTATACCAAAACATATCATTCCAATCTACCATAATAAATCATCAAACACACTCAACTCAAACTTGATTGTATACTTTCTCTAATTTTCATGATTTTTCAGTTATTGTTTTTCATTAGACCACGATATTTTTCGTAAATTAGTTGATACCAAATATGAGTTTACCCCCGAAATCTGAAACATTCAAACAATCTATTATATTATTATTTTCTATTTGCACCGGTAACAAGATTCGACCTTTATACTCTCACCAATTGTCAGCTTCTTATAATCGGCGTCGATCGTATCATATTTTATGATTTGTATAGAGATATTGCATTTTACGCCTTACTAGATTTGACTTAAAGCAAAAGTTCTAGTCGGAATTCATCAGCTATCATTCTTCCATATCCTTTCGTAATAGCTTTCAAGTGAATCTTTTTGCATCCATTGTTAGGGTTTGTCACGTGAACATTTTCAGGGCTTATATAAACAATATATAAATTTATGCATTTCTCACTACCATTTGGAGAATTGGTAGTGCTTGTAACTCTCACTATAATTTTTGCTTACACACAGATTACATAATCTTCTCACCAACTGATTACATAATCCATATAATTTACTATTCACCAAACTTCTACAGTAAAAGAAAAAAAAAACTTAACTAAGTAAATCTGAATTTTCAAATTTTCATTTAGAAAACCATTTTTATTAAGTCATAATCTAAATCAAAACCTATATTTCAAATACATTAGCAATGGCTGAATCACACAGATGTATGTTTACAACTTGAAAGTAATTATGAACAAGTGGGGGAAATGGAGTATTTTGAGAAAGAACTATGTGAACCAACAATAAATGAGTCAGAACTAGGTGGACAATAAAATCAGAAAGGAAGATATTGGAATTGCAATAAGGAATATCATACTCAATCAACCTACTCCACAAACCCTACTCCATAAAGAACATTTTACTAACTTCATTTTCTAGTATACGTTAAAGGTAAACATATTTCATACCAAAGATCAAAAAGTGTTACCAACCCAAAAGTTTCATTAATTCAAATTGATGGTGTAAACAGTCCACAAGATGCTAAATTTTATTTAGGTAAAAGAATTGCATATGTTTATAGAGCTCAAAAAGAAATTAGAGGTTCAAAAATCAGAGTTATTTGGGGAAAAGTTGCAAGAACTCATGGTAATAATGGATTAGTTAGAGCTAATTTTAAAAAAAATTTACCACCAAAAACTTTCGGTGCTTCAGTTAGAATTATGTTATATCCATCAAACATCTAAGTACAAGTTAGTTAAATACAACATCATATCCATTAATACCATTCATCAATCAATCAATTTGCATAATGAAATCATAAACATCATCAATCATTCATAAGATATAAATTTCAAGTTTCCATAGTATTAGAAATTTTATCTACAAGGGGAGTTAAAGTAAGTGTGTAAATTTATAGTTAATGACAATTTGGAAATAATTGATCCAATTAAGTTAATTTAGTTTGTAGGACTATACACTATCTTCTACAATATGATCAGATACTTCTCTACCAAAGACAACACATTCTAATAAAGAATTACCACCTAATCTATTTTCACCATGTAATCCACCACTAACTTCACCAATAGCATATAAATTTTTAAATACTTTACCATTTTTTTGTAAAACTCTTTGATTATTGACAATTTCAATACCACCCATTGAATAATGTAATACAGGAGTAGTTAATCCAAAATAAATCAATTGATCTAAAAATTGATTTCCAAATGATTTTCTACCTAATGGATCTTGTTTATCTCCCTTTATGATGGTGTTTATATTATTAAAAATATCTTTTAAATCTTCTGGTAATAATGATAATTTAGGATTTACTTTTTTCATTAAATTTAATAAATTATTAAGATTTCCCTTCTGTAATAGATCCTGGGATAAATAAAAATCAATATGATTATGGGCTTTAGGATAATCTTTATCACTAATTACTAATACTGAAATATAAGTATCTTTAACTAAACCTAATTCATTTGATTCTTTATCAATTTTACAATTTTTTAAAATTGAATCAGTTACAACATCTCTTGTTTCTAATTCATTTATAAATCTATTACCATTTTTCAAATTCAACAAAATTCCACCAATTCCTCTCATTAATTCACCACATAAAATTTTCCAATTTAAATTAGGTTCACCAACATTTAAAAACCCAGTTGGATGAATTTGAATTTTATTCATATGAATTAATTTTACATTTAAATCTTTTTCTGCAATTTTAATACCATCACCTGTAGTTTGTTGACCATTTGATGATGGGAAATTTATTAAATCTGGTCTATACTTTGAAATTAATGAAGAATTTTCAGTGTCTGCTGAAAATCCACCTGTTGCTAAGATTAAATTATTACAATAAATTGTTTTAGTTTCATTTAATTCATTGGTATATTTAATTCCAATTACTTCATTATCTTTTTCACTTTTCAAAATTTCAATCAACTTGCTTTGTTTTAATATCGTAACATTAGGTTGATATTCTTCGATTTTTTTTATTAAGGCCAGTACAATAGCAAATCCAGGTGGTAATTTTCCAGAACCTCTATGAGCTCTAGGATAAGAATGACCACCTAATTGAGTAACAATAGATAAATCAATTCCCAAATCATTAGTTAACCATTCAATTGCACTGCGAGATTTTGAAGTTAATTTAGAAACTAATTCAGGGTTAGATAACCCTTTACCTGAATTTATTGAATCTTGTTTAAAAAATTCAACAGTATCACCATTATTATTTTGATAACTTGTTGGTACACCATTTATTCCTGAACTTGCTTTTATTGAATTTCCACCTAATTTATTTGTTTTTTCAATTAATATAACTTTTTGATTTCTCTGTAGTAATGATAAAGTAGAAGTTAAACCAGCTAATCCAGATCCAACAACAATTGTTTGATTCATTGAAGTGAATGGATTTGTTTGTTTGTAAAGTTGTTTAACGATGGATAGCAATATGAAAATTAATGAAACTTTTATGAAATTATGAAATAAAATCAATATGGAAAGAATAGTATTTTATAAAGCCTGAAGGCATACTTTAAGTAGGTGGATGTATCATTTTATCATTGCATAGGATTGGTGGTATGATTTAATTCTCCAGAAAGAAATGATCTCGTAAAAATATATTACGAAAATTATTTTAATTTAACATGCATAATTTTACATAAACCAATATCATCACAATACTTCGTAATATTTAACAAAACTATTTAGTAGAAATGATATATATAGTCTCATCCGTATAGCAAACATTCATTCGTTCAGCAAACATCCATCCGTACAGCAAACATCTCTATATTTTAATCCCATTTTCTTTAAACTTTTCCGGATTAAATCTCCAATGCTTTGCATCTCCATGATCATATTTTGATTTTTTAACAGAACCAGAAGGAGCATTATGAATAGATAAATTTGCTTGATTGGTTAAATTAATAAATTTATCAGGTGGTTGTAAGTTGGAATCTCTATCTTTATTATTATCAAATTCATTATAATCTATTGGATCAAACCATCTTGTTGACCAAATTAAACCTTTTTCATTTTCATTTTTTCTTAATTCTCTTTGTTCATTTTCAATTTTTGATTTTTCTTGTGCAATTAAATTATAATCTGATTTTTTTATAGCTTCTGCTACTTTAAACCAAGCTTTTCTTGATTCAAAAGGTAATTGCTCTTCAATTGGTTTTACAATTATATGATCTGGTTTTATAGAATTTGCATCATAAAATAATTCTGAAGATTTTGAATGAGGAGTTGATCCACCTTTTCCAATATATGATTTTCCTGACCATTGACCACTTATAGTAACTAAAGCATTATCTTTTGATGAACTTGCAAAAGAATCACGATAAATTCTTGCTTTAAAAGTATTTTTTTTACCTGATACCCAACCTCTTCCACTATATTCTATAACTGTATAATAACCATTTGATGCTTGTATATATGAATTACCTTCTAATTCAACAAATGGAGCTGCTGTAATTAAACCTTCAATATGTAATGGTGGTAAAGTAACTAAATAATTTTCATTTAAATCTTTATAATCTAATAATGCATGACCATATTGTTTTATATTTATTGAAGTAGTTGAAATACTTGATGTTATACCATTATAACCTTGTAACAAGATATTATTTTTTGAATTTTTTATAGCATAAGCTGTAACAGGAGGATGATGAGAAACTTGTTCACTTAATAATAAAGTTTCCCCCAATTCTTTATTTTCCCATTTTCCAACAAATACTTCACCTAAAAATGGATTTAATGGTTTTTTTTCACTACCCATACTTTCATTTCTTGAACAATATTGAGATTTTAAAGTTGATATAAACCATTTTGTTACAGCAATCATTCTTTTTAAAGTTATAGCATCTATTACTTCAGATGATGAAGTTTCAGGGTTATAAGTTAATTTATTTGCAGCAATTAATAAATCTGGATGTTCGGCCCAATATTGTGAATATTCAACTAATGAAGTAGGTGATAATATAAATGGTGGGGCAGTTAGTGAAGATAAATCACCATTGAATGAAGCAATAGATTTTAAAAATGATGTCCATGATGTTGAATGTGCAGTTGTTGAAGAAGAAGAAGATGATGGAGATGAAGAATTGTTGGGTACTGGTGATCCAGAACTAGTTGAATTTGTTGAAATTTGATCTGAATTTGACATTAGGGTGTTGATGATGGAAATTCCAAAAGAATCAATGTTTAAAGTTGTAATTAATCGTGAAATCCAATATTGTATGGTAATTCTAATGAATTGTTCTTCTTCATATAATTAATAATTGAGTTTGGTAATTCAATCCTTATTTTTTCTCGTTAATAAATTAGAAGAATAAACGATAGACAACTCAATCGCAATGTTAAGGGTTTCAATTACGTAAGAGTCAAAGTCAGAGAACAAAACAGTATAAAGTTCGCTACCCTTAAATTTAGATAATCAAAATTCCATTCAAAAGTAATCACTTGCTTAATTAAGTCAGACGAGTGATACGAAAAATCTCTTCTCTTCGATTTATTAGTCAGGGCTGTGAATTAGTGAGGATTTAATTGAGGTCTATTCCTTTCGCCCCGAAATATCCGTATAACTCTTCGTATATGTACTTAACTTCTATCTACTTTTATGCTAATGCTATGCTAATGCTAACTATTTACAATTTTATATAAATTTTATATTTATTCAACAAAAACGCAATAAAACACCAAGTTGAACTATAACCAATTAAAATAAATAATGATTCAGTATTTGATTTATTTAAAGTATTTAAACTCATATTAATTAATCCAGTTAAAAGATTTGATAATAAAAATATAATTAAACCATTATTATTTATACTTTCTAATAAAATTGAAGTTTCTTTATCAAATCCAGGTATAAATTTATCAATTAAATTATAACCTAATAAAAATGTAGAATTATATGATACTACCCATAATATATATGATGGATTTGCTATTCTTCTTGATATTGATGTGAACTTAGCGGAGCTATTTACTAAATAGAATACAGTTTGATAAAATATGGTTGATATTATTAAACCTTTTGTGGTGGTTACCGTCATAATAGATGCAAAAAATGAAGACTTTTTACCTAAACTCTTATTAATAAAAGTGATTAAATTATATTTTGTAGGATGATTTGTTAAAACAAAAGATCCAAATGATTGACCAAATATAAAAATTGTAAAATATCCTAAAAATGAATAAATACCTTCTTTATTCATTGTAATAAAATTTGTTAATCTATTATTTTCTGTTAAAATAACTTCCAAAACATTTGTTGATTGTAAAATTAATTCGTTTATTCCTAATAATGTAAAACCTATAATAACTCTAGGTATTAAATTTAATAATGGATCTAAAATACCAAGTAAAATTGGTAATAAACCTAATGTTATAAAAAAATTCCAATGTATACCATATTCTGTTATATGTTCTTGATATTCTAATTGTTTAACACTTATAAATCTAACAATTCCTAATATTAAAATTGGTAAAGCCTTGACAGTATTTTTTGTTATAATATTTATCCAACTGGTAAGACTAAACTTATACGTTTTAGAATGTAATTGACTCTTAATGATTTGCCTAGAATTTACCAACCCCATTGAAAATACAAAAGATCCAACACCTAAATCCATCATTGATGTACCCCAAGTTTCAACTTTTGCAAATCTTCTTGGAAAAATTTTAAAATCAACTGCTAATATAGCTAAATTTGTTATAATTAACATATGTGATCTATATGCCGTTAAGAATTGTTTTTTGGAAAGTATTTCATTTTGACTCTTCACTTTAGTTCTTGTTTTATCACTCCTTGTATAATGATTTAATAAAAATATTCCAAAACATGGTATAAAAATTGAATAATGTAAATATATAGGATTACCACTGTATATTGTAATAGAAATTATTATACTTAATACATTTAATATATAATCATAAGTTAATGAAATTGAACCTAAACAATCTTTTAAAAGTTTAAATGATAAATATGAAGTTAATGCAATTGATGTAACTAGATAAATTTCTTCAATTGATCCACCTGTTAAATCAGATACAAATTCTTCTTTTAATTTTTTTAATGATGCCATTTATTCTTCTTGTTTCATATAAATCTCCTTCTGTTGTTTGTTAGTGATGTGTTGATCATTAATTGACCTGGAATTGTTTTGGTTGTAAATTGTTTAATGTTTTAAATTAAATTAAGATTTCAAATAAATGAGAAAAGAATTTGGAGTAAATCAATTTACAACCAATTTTACAACCAACCCTTACAAAACAATTCAAACGTATCATTAAATTTCATAACTACTTAGTTTAAGTTGATAGATTTTATATATATTACATCCTAGAGCAGTAGATTTCATCTTTTATATTAATTGGTCTCAGATCTTATCATATCATCTTGTTATAAACAAAACATTTACAGCACCACAATTAATGCAAGAGACTTCACCATCCAATGAAGAGGTGCTCACTCCAAAACCAATATCACCAAGTCAACTACCTCATGACAATGCACAATCATCAGATGATAAATCAAATCCAAGTTTATTAGATTCACCAAATGAAATTGAAAATAATAGTATAATATTTGGTTCTTCAAATAGTAGTGAAACTTCAATTCCTATGTATCATCCACCAAAATCACCAAGATTAGAAAGTGGTGGACGTGGATTTTTCACAAATGATAATGATTTTGTTGTATATTCTGATTCAGATGAAGTTGCATCACAAAGTTCATTAGATTTACATAATGAAGATACTCCAATAAAACGTGATTTAGGTTATAGATTAAGAAAATTAGCTAAAACAAATCAAAGTTCAGATGAAGAAGATGAATTTGATGAAGATGAAATAAATATTTCAAATCTTATGTCAAATAGAGGTACACCAATTGATATAACTCCTAATAATTCAAATAAATTTTCAAATTTAAAACCTACATTTATGGAAACTCCAAAACGATCAAAGTCAAACTCAACATCATCAAGATCTTCTTCACCAAGAAGAAGACGAAGAAGAAGTAGTTCACCAGATTCTGTTGATCAATCACCAGGCAACGCCACATCAAAATCAAAAACAAAATTACGTAGAAAATCAAAAGAACCAAGTGAAAAATCTCATAAATCTTATGAAAAATTGGGAACTGGTTATACATCAATGCCAGTATCTGGTAAAGTATTTAGAAATTTATTAATATTAGAAGAAAGTATGAGGGAACAAGTTATACAACAAAGAGCAATGAGAAGAAAATATTTAATATTTTTAACCATATTATGTTCAATTATTGGTGCACTAACTCATCATTTATTTATACTTGATATTTCAGTTTCATCAACTGGAACAAAAAGAATTATTTTACAATTTTTTTTAATATCAACTATAATTACATTATTATTATATCATCTATCAGGAGAATATCAAAAAACAATTGTTTTACCAAGAAAATTTTTATCATCAACAAATAAAGGATTAAGACAATTAAACGTAAGATTAGTTAAAATTAAAACTCCTTTAATTGATAAAGTTACAGATTTAATAAGAGAAATTTCTTTAACAATAGTTACATTTACATTATTAATATTTCATAAATTTTCATCATCATCAATACAAAATAAAGATTCTAAAATTGAAGTATTTTTAGTTACTTGTCAATCACAGTGTCAACCAAGAATTGGTGTAACTGATGTTAAATTATTATTAAATGCAAGAGTTTTTAATATTGATATAAGAGAAGGTTGGGAAACTTATAGAAGTGAATTTTGGATAAATGAAGGAGTTAGAAGAAGAAATAATATGTTGGCTTTTATTAATGGTAATAAAGTTATAAAGAGAAGAAAAAGAAAATCAATAGATTTTAAGTAGAATTCTAGTAATAAGTTTATTGTTCAACCCCCTATACCCTCTTAATGATAAATATTTATTTTGTGTATGATTTTTGTAATTAAAAAGATCAAATATCTCATCTCTTATATATCACCAAAACATATCTGCAACAAATCATGAGTGAGGTAACAATAAAAAAGAGACAACCATCAAGAAAAGGTAAAAAAGCATGGAGGAAGAATGTTGATATTGAAGACATTGAACAAGATTTACAAGATAAAAGAGATGAACAAATTATAAAGGGTGTTCATGACATTGATGAAGATTTTATAATTGATGATTTACCAAGCACCACCAAATCCACAAATGTACCTAAAAAATTAAAAGCTAAAGAAATATTAAGTAACAAATCAAAAGTTCCAGCTTTAATCAATAATAGAGTTAAAAAGAATAAAAATGATACTATTCAAGGAGTTAAAAAGACAGAAATGTTAAGATTATTGAGTTTACGTGGAGGAAAATATAAAGATGAAAGTATATCAATGAATAGAGCAGAAAAAGATGGTTTAATAAATGGAGATGATGAAGATTTATGGGATGATAATGATAATGATGAACCAACTCTCAAAAAAGCTAAAATTCCAAAATATAATAAATCAACTGCTGAAGTTACAAAAGCTACTTCTATACCGAAAACTTTAAAAACTAATCCAATTCAAATAAGTAAAAATGATTTAACTGATAAATTTATTCATGCTGGTAAATCATATAATCCATCATTAGAATCATGGAAAGATTTAATAAATAAAGAATATGGAATTGAATATAAGAGAGAATTAAATAGACAAGCAATGGAAGAACATAAGGAGAGAATACAGGAGTTGATAGCACAGGTGAATGATAATGCATTTAGTGATTCTGAAGATGAAGAAGAGAAAGTGGAAGATGAAATACCTTCTGAAGAAAAAGATTATTCATTATCTATAAACAAACCTACTAAAGTCAAGATTAAAACCAAAACTAAAAGAAATAAAGAACTTAAACATAAAGAAAGAATTAAAATAGAACAAGAAATAAAAGATTTGAAAAAACAATTAAAAGATTTAAATAATTTAGAAAACATATTAAAATCACAAGAAGAAGAAGAATCAAAAACCAATACAAAATCATCCACAAAGGAAAGAAGTTCAAAAAGAAATAAATTATTCAAATATACTCCAATTGAAACTCCAATTGAAATTAAATTATCAAATGAATTAACAAACAACTTAAAAAATTTAAAATCTGAAGGAAATTTATTTTATGATCAAATGTTAAATTTACAATCATCTGGTAAAATTGAAAGTAGAATTCCAATTAATAGAAAAAGAAAATATGCTAAAAAAGTTACTGAAAAATGGACTCATAAAGATTTTAAATAAATATTGTTTTATTATTGATTATTTCGTCAAATTCGTTTAAACTAACTACCTCCTCATTGATTTCCATCGTTTTTCCAATCTCCAAATACATAACCTCTAAATAATTTATCTCTTAAACTAAAAAATTGATTCCTATAAGGATCAAAATAATTTTGATCAATTTCTTCAATAGTTTTAAAACTTTCAGGTGCAATTGAATCACTTGTTTGACCTCTATGATTTCCAGTTAAATAAAAATCACGAATTAACATTTTTTTATCCCATGAATCTAAAAAATATCTATCATTTTTCCATCCATTATCCCAATATCTTATTGCTTGAACTCCATGTCCTGCTATTCCAAAAAATGCAGTCATTATTGCATATGGTATTAAACCTTCAAATGGTACAGGCATTGTGTGTGGGATTTGTATGTTTTAGGGGCGAAATTTTTACTTAAAAAAAAATGGTGGTTGATGAATCTGATTCTAGTAAACGATAGAATGGGTTGTAGAATTGTTGTGACTATTTCAAGTTGGTTATTAATGAATATCCTATGTTTGATTATAGTAGATAAACTAGAAAAATTATGTTCAGTAAAGCTTTGATTGGTTTGATGTTTTGAAATATCTACACGACCTGGTTGCAAAATCTATAAAGTTGCAAATATTGGAAAATCAACGTCCTACACAAGAAATACTTCTACAGTTCCAACAATTTTTACTCTCGTGTAAAATTCTATCTATAATTAAAAAACTCATTAAAATTATGTGAAACTTCTATATGTAAATATAGCTCATTAATCGAACTGAAAATACCTATCTACTTTCCTCTTCGCAAACATTTGAAAATTATTATTGATTTAAATTTAAAACAACAGTTACAAATTTATCCATTCTTACATTTAAATTAGCAGAAATTAAACACCATTGATCAAAATTTAATAATTGTTTTGGTGTAGGTCTTTTTGAACCTTCCTTTATTAAACATTTTGAAATAAAATTTTTAAAATTTTGAGACCAAAAAATTTTATCAATTTCAAAATCTTTTAAAATTAATTCACTTCTTGATACCATTTCAACAACTTCTATTGGACCTAAGGAAATATCAATGGGAAATTTACCATTTGCAACTTCTAACAATGACATTCCTAATGACCAAATATCACTTGATATTGAATAATCTTTACCCATTATTCTTTCTGGTGCCATATAATATTGAGTTCCAACAAATGTTGAAGCTAATGAATCTACTGCTTCACCACTAACACCAAAATCACATAATTTAACATTCCCTCTGGAATCTAATAAAACATTTGATGGTTTTATATCTCTATGAATAATATTTTTCAGATGTAAATAATTTAAACCAGATAATATTGATATTGCAATTTTTCCTAAAACTTTTTCATTAATTCTATTTGTTGAATCTCTTTTTAATACTTCTTTATATATTGAATCTAATGATGAACCATCCATATATTCCATTGAAATTCCAATCATTGATTGTTTTTCTAATATAAATGTACCATAATATTTTACAATATTTTGATGTTGACAATTTCTTGCAATTTCTAATTCTCTAAATATTTGTTTTTTAATATCAGGATTGGGGTCAGTTATAATTAATTTAATTGCAAATATTTGTTTTGAACCATTTGTTAATTTTGGTATATAACATTTTGTAACTGATCCACCATTTCCTTCTCCTAATTTACTTATTTCTTGAATATGATTATTATTTGCAAGTAAATTCCAATCATAAGGAGTTAATTCTTCTAATGTAGAATTAAATTGAATATTTGATGCAATGGAATTTGAAGAATCAAATTGTTGATGTTGTTGTTGCTGTAGTTGTGAATTATTATGTCGTATATTTAAAGATTCATCATCTATTATTTGAGGCAAATCAGATGTAGAAACAGGAGGAGGTTTTCTTTTTAATTTTGTTTGTGGTATGGAACCAGATGATGAATGAGCAGTATTTGGAGTTGATGATGATAAAGAAGATGAAGAATTTGAATTTAATGGAGGTCTTTGAGATTGTCGAAAGGAGTTATCATTTATATCGTTATAATTGAAGTTTTGATTATTAAAAGGTTGATTATGTATTATTTGATTTTGTTGAAATTGTAAATTTGGTTTAGTATTATTAAAATTTGATGGAATTGATAAAGACGGTAGTATTGGATTATTTAAACTTCTTTTTGAATTTGGTATATTAAATAATGGTATATCTGACATGATTTTGTGAACTCATTTGAATATATAAAAGTTTTGATGTCAAAGTAGGGGCTTTAAAAATTGAAATTGTGAGAATCACTAATGAATTGGATGAATGAGTATACAATAGGTTTGTATCAATGGTTGTTATTGGTTGTAAATTTAAATGTTGATGATTTAAAATTTGGTTGTAAATAAAGTTAAAATTGAAATGGGGTTTTCTAATAAAAATGCCTTTAACTTAATGCCTTAGCTTAATACTAATTATTATAATTACTAAGTAACAAATTGATCTTTAATGTAAGACAGAGTATAAATTTCATCTTCAGTAATAAATCTAATTACACTACCAAGACGCGTATTATGTAAAAATATTATTATTAAACCCTTTAATTCAATTTACGCATATCGATATTAGATCTACATCATTTACATTTCAGACAGTAAATTAGTCGTTATTTTCATTCATTAGAAAGAGTTTCTTAAATTAGTCTTTTGAAAACTTATAAATCCCTAGAATTGTTATTTTTTACCTCTTTTACCTCCTTTAGTAGCTGTAGACTTTGCACCTTTTCCTTTAACTTTAGCTTTAATTAATTTATCTTTTTTACTATCAATTTTATCATCATTTTCATCTTCATTATCATCAGGTGTTTCATCAATATCATCTTCAACAACATCTTCATAATCAACTTTTTGACTTGGTTGTCTTTTACCACTACCACCTAATGAATTACCAGTTTTATAAATTACAGTTGGATGAGTTTTACTATTATATTTTTTTGTGAATGCTGTTTTTTCTTTTGTATCTAAATCATTTGTTTTATTAAGCATTTCTAAAATATTATCATAATCTTCTTTTGTTAAATAATAATCATCCATTGTTTCAATAGCTTCATTTATACCGACATCACCATTTTTTAAAGGTAAATGAATTTTTATATATAAAGGATATAAATAATCTAATCTTAATTCTTGTTTTGTTGTTGAAGTTTTTATTCTTGTATGATATTGTAATTCTTGTAAAATTCTTTGAAATTTCATTTGTTTTGAATTTTGTCCTAACCATGAACTAAAATTTAATCTTCCTTTTAAATTACCTGCTATTTCAAAACTTGGTTTTATAGTTGATAATAATCCATGAAATGGTAAAAGACTCCATTGTTGTTCACTTGATCTAATTAAACTATTTACTTCATCAGATGCACTTATATCATCAGCTGCTTGTGCAACATGATTTAAAGGATTACCTCCTAATCTTGAATTAACATTTAAATAATTTTCTTGTATCATTAATGGAGCAAAATCAATATCATTAAAATATAAATCTAATTTTTCATTTATATTTTGTTTAGGAGAAACCCATATACCACTTGATAATAATCTACCTGCTATATCAAATGGTTTTAATATAACTTGTTTTTTCCAACTTGCTTGAATATCATTAATATTTTCATGATTTAAACTTTTTTGAGTTCTTGATACTGTTGATAATAAATTAATCATTTGTCTAATATCATTTGAAGTTGCTTGAACCATTTGTATAATAACATTTGGATCTAATTTTATACCTTCTCTTGTTGCTATAGTCATCAATCTACTTCTAATTTCACTTTCTTTTGGTCTTTGAAAAGGTAATTCATAAGTAGTTTTATCAAATACTTTCATTTTTGGTAATGATTTATCATTACATATTAAAATTATTGGCATTTTAGTTATTCTACAAAATTGAGCTAATGCAGCAGTACCTCCATGATCACCAGTTGACATACCATCAACTTCATCCATAATTAAACAAATTTTTTTATTATTTGAATTTTTGTTTTCATCATCTTTATGTTTAAAAAATCCAACTACTGATGTATTATTTAAAACACTTTTAACTTGAGCATTTAATAATGATTTTGAACGAACATCTGAAGCATTTTTTTCTAAAATATCAAATCCTAATGATTTAGCAACTAAATGAGCAGCAGATGTTTTACCAATTCCTGGTGGACCACTTATTAAAGCTGCACGATATGTAGAAGGTTGCGTAAAATTACCTTTAAACCCATTTGCTTGGTTTTTATACCAATCAGATAACCAATCATGTAATTTTCTAATTTGTCCTTTATTACCACATAATTGATTAAAATCTTTCGGAGCATGTTTTACAGTCCATAATTTATCTTTTACAGGAACATCAACTGGAGGTGGTGGAACATAAGTTGAGAAAAATTCATCCTCAGTTTGTTGTTGTTGATTTTGTTGTTTATTTTGTTTAGCACTTGATTCAGCTTCTTTTTTTTTCCTTTCTTGTTCTAATCTTTCCTCTTCTTCTTCTCTTGCAGCAGTTTCAAGAATTTGTTTTTCTTCTAATTCACGTTTTTCTTTTGCTTTTTGAGCATTATCACCACTACCACCATCTAAAGGCATTTTTTCTAATAATTGAATAAATCCATCTTCATCAATAGTTTTAATTTTATTTTCATGAATTTTTTTTATTTTTGAAGGACCAGCTTCAGCTCCTAATACAACTAAACTTGTTTTGCCTGATATTGATTTTGTTACTTTTGCACCATATCTTTGAGCAATTGATTCAGCAGTTCCTCTATCCAAACCTGGCATTTGACCGGTGAAAACTATTGTTAAACCACTAAGACAATTTGGTTGTGCTTCAGGTAGATCTCTAGTTGTAGATGAAGTTTCTATTGCATTTCTATTAGCTTGTATTTCTGGAAATGATAATTTTTTTGCTTCTGGATCAATTTCAGGTAAATCTGCATCTGGAATACTAGCAAGAATTGAAAGTACAGACGAGTCTTGAGCCTTTGCAGTATTTGTTGTAGATTTCTTTGTTGAAGTTTTACTTTTGGGTTTTGAAGTAGAAGATGCCAGTTTTTTCTTTGTATTTTTAGGCATTTCATCAATTTCCATCAATGCATCATCATCTTCGTCGTCATTTGGATACCCGTAGTCTCTTTCCTCATCATCCAAATTTATAACCACTTGCTTTTTACTAGATGATGGTTTTGATTTCTTCACAGATGATACGTCCTTGGAATCATTTTTACGTTTCTAATTGAAAAATATTGTTAGTAGCAATCACAGTCAAATATTTTGAAAGTTACACATACCGTTCCCTGTCCGTGTTGTTTGAAATAATCATGTATATCTACCATTGCATGAAGAAGACTTTATAATGTTAATGTAAAATGATTGATCTAATAACAATAAATAATATCGCTTTTACAGTTACGCGTTGCCTTTTACTATTGTATGTTCGACGTGCTACCATTTAATAACTACGACTTTCAAACCAAGTGTCCGGAACTATTAAGAGATCAACAATTCAAAAATCACTTTTCAACCTACGTTATCTCTTTCTTTTGATAGTTCGATTATCGTTATTATTTCTTTAAAGACTCTTTCTCTAAATATTCTGTCCAAAGAGACACAAAGCTTTGTCTTTGAGGAATTTCATTACCTTCTGAATCATATTTTATTGGACCATTTAAACCTTTTTGATTTGGTAAATGTTGTAAACCAGCAGCAATTTTTTGCAGTTGATCCCATTCTAATAATGCACTTATTAATTGTAAAGCTTCAAATTTTTTAGAATCACCTCTTGGAAATTGTAAAAAACTAATTATAACATTTGATATTAATTCTCTATCAACTGATTTATTTGAACCATCTCCACCTTGTTTTAACATAGTTAATGCTTTTGTTAAATGTTCATTTAGTATTATAGCTTCATGACGTAATTTACCTATTAGTAATTGTTTATTATTTATTTCTGTTTTATATTCTGAGATCTTTTTAACTTCTTCTTCTAATTCTGTTTGTTTTACTTTGTACGTCTCTAGTTCATTTTGTAGATTATTCCTTATATTGTTATTCTCTTCAATAGTGGTAGTTAAAATATCGATTTGAGATTTGAAATTTGATACTTCCTCCTGAATAGCTGATTCCTTAATTTTAATTTTTTCGTTAAGTTCATCAATTGTAGTTTTGCATTTTTCTAATTCTTTTTCTTTGAAATCTAATTTCTCTTTATATTCGTTAATATCATTGGTTAAATTTTTTCGTTCCAATTGTAATTCCCCTTGAATTATGGTAAGATCGGTAATCTCTTGTTTCAATTCATGTATATTTTTCGTTAGTTTGGAATTTCGATTTTCAATATTATATTTTTCATCTTGTAATTCCTCTATAGTTGTTGTGTACTCTCGTCTAGTCCTCGTTAAAGCATCACTTAATTTTTCACATTCATTGTTTAAATCTATGTTTTGTTCTTTAAGAGTTTGTACTTCTGATGGGTTTATCTGTTCATGGAATTTCTCTTTCAAGTCTTTCACTGTATCATTCAACTGAGTATTTTCATTTTTCAATTTTTCATTTTCATTAGTTAATTCTTCAACTGATTGTTCTAATATCTCTTCATTGTCTTTCATTTTTTGAAAATAAGCTTTTGTTCCTGATAATTTACTATACAATGAATCGTATGCTGATTGAATTTTGTCTCTTTCTTCCTCTACTTCTTTTAATTTTTGAGATAGCACTGACGTTTCAGAACCATTATTGTTTGATTGAATTGTAGTTCCATTTTTTTCAGAAGAGGATTCTTCTTCAGTTCGTAGGCTATTTTTCTCATCCTCACTCGCTATATGTAATGAGTCAATGGCAGATTGTGTCTCTTGTATGCTATTTGTTAATTCAACTTCTTCCTTTTCATTGTTGGTTTCCCCATTTTCTTTTGATTCCTTGATCTTGTTATTCAAATTATGTCCATTATTGTTCAGTTTTTTCTTGTTCTTCCCCATAATCTATTGATGTAAGTATCAAAAACTCTGTTTAGAAAAAGACTGGTTGTGAAAATGTGTATGAACGATCTAGTTTCAAAGTATTTGAGATTAAGTTTATGTGTGTTACTTTTTTTCGCTTCTCTGTCTTCATTTTTTTTATCGTTGTGTCAAAATATTTAATTTTATTACCAAAAGGAAATTAATACTTTTTTTGCAACCAACTATTTTACAAAAAATTTTGAATACATTCAAACCATAATTCTTGTCATTTCAATTGAAGAGTACAATCATATAAGCGGGTCCCTAATCCAAGCATAAATTTTTTTCAACACGCGTTTCGTCGTTACAACTTTACAACTGGTAATTTATACTTTCAATCATTTACAACCATCTTGAAAAATGCAACATACTTGAGTCTTGCAAGAAATGAATCCATTATTAGTAGAGCTGAACCGCTTGTTTAAATCAAAAGTCTGTAAAAACCAAAATAGCGAGCTGTTGGGGCTGTTTTGACATGATCATAATGTGCATCAAGCATATCCGATTGCATCGATCTTATTGCAAGGGAACACCAATAACGGTCAAAGAAAGAAACACATTCAGCTCAGATCAAAATTTAATATAAATTGGACTAATATAGTTATAAGTGTTTGAACACTTCAATATATTGGAAGAAAGAAACTTAAAAAGTCGTTTCATCCCAATTTGGAAAAAAATGATCAAATTTGGAATAATATTTGATTCAAAACATTAATAGCAATAAATTTCGATTACGATAAATTATTTTACTAATTTGTAAAATATTATTTGAAGTTTGAAGTCTATTTAATGATTATTATGAATGATTTGATTTACGAAGTTACATAATTTCAGAAATAGCAAAAAAACAGCTTTTTATTAAATAATAAATTCAATAAAACAAATTTGAATCTAGAATATTAATTTTACACAAAATATTAAAATTTCAATTTGGAAGATCAAAAAAATCAATTAAAAAAATATTAAGGGGGACAAAATCAAACTATTATATATCAATTGGAAATAATTATCTTCAATACTTACATATAAATTCTTCCATGAATATCCTAATTTAATCGTACATACATAAATACATAAAAAGAACATTCATAAAGTTCTTAAACTAAATATTATTTTTTAATCGATCAAACGAAATTGATTGAAATCATAAATTTCATCAGTGAAAAAACAAAAACCTAAAAATAAAAATAAAAATAAAAATAAAAATAAAAATCACAAAGGAAATCATTTAATTTAAATTTAAATTTAAGAAAAATATATTATACATTATTAATAATTATTTGTTATAATATTAATAAAACTTCAAAAACATAACAAAAAAGAGTTCCAGATGTCATTCAGAATCTAATAGTATCCTTCATATTGATAGACCATTTTCCTTTAATTGAAGAATCATTCAAATTTGAAAGAACTCGTAGCTGATCTCAGATCAATTCCAATTACTTCACTGCCACAAAAAAAATTTAATTGGAAAAGAGGTGTACAAGTTGATATAGATCTACCTTGCTAGATCTGAGTCCTGACAGATACACCATTACTTGATCATTAAGTGGTGTGAATATAAAAATTTGATTCGCAAATTGAATTTACCCATCGGAATTAAGGGATCATATTATGGAATCATCGAGGAAAAACAGTAAGGATGAAAAGAATACGATCGAATCAAATGTCAATCAAGACTTATCAAAGACAAAAGAAATTCACAAAGGAGGATCAATTGAAAAACCTAGCGAGCCACATTCACAATTTGAATTACCACCGAATACCCTTCAATCACCGTATAAAGAAAATCGAAAACCACCATTACAACAATCTACTTCAATCCCATCCTTATCTATGTTAAATGAATCTATTCAAAGATCTTCCACAAATCAAAGTACTCCGGCATCACCTAAAAAGTTTAATCAAACAATAACTGATCCTGGTTTATTGACTCTACTAGGTCCCAATATTTCATCATTCCCATTTTCAGAAGATGCATTTATAGAAACTATGAAATTTAAAATAGAACAAGAACGAACTAAACAAGAATTTTATAGAGCCGAAACAACAAATAAAAATTTGATGATTTTACAATCAGCGTTGCAAGCACAAATTCCTTCATCTATGATACCTCAATTCATAAGTAATGTCAACAGCTCCAATCAACAACTTAATGATAATGAATTGGTTTTACAAGCAATTAGACAACAAACTTTACAACAGCAGCTGCAATATCAAGATCATCAACGACTACAACAACAACAACAACAGCAACAGCAGCAGCAGCGGCAATTCCAAAATCAAGCATTTCAAGTCGTACAACCACATATCGAACATCAACAAGCTGGGGTTCCTCATCATCTACGACAAGGTCAATCTGTTGAGTATGATCCGAATCGTTTGCAGCAAGAATATCAAGAACAACAACAACAAATATCTTCCCAAAATCAAAGACCCTTAAAACCATTTGGATTAATTAACCAAGACCTTTTGAATGCAAATCCTAATCTGCCTGCGGGTTTCAAATTTGGAGCTCCTTCATCAACAAGTCAAAAAAGACCTTTATCTCCAGCCAAAGTTGGTGCAGCTGCTGTAGCAAATTTAACAACTCCAACAACTCCTTTCAGAGCACCTACATCATCTGCCATACCATCCTCTAGTTCTGTTAAAAGAACCTCTAGAGGTCATCAACGACATTATTCAATGCCAACAGAAGTTAATACATCTGGAAGAAATAAATTGAAAAGAGATCTTTCCAATCAAACAATTGATTCAAACAGAACCTCCAGTCAAGTTCTTCAATCTCCATTGGGGGCAACAACAACATTACAAGTGAATCCCATTCCAGCTCAACCTTTGCATAAACAAAATAAACTGCAAGTTCAACCACTGCAAGAATCAATGCAATCCTTTCAACATGTTATACAGTTTCATCATTGGCAACCAGAAACTGGAATTCAAGGTAGTGGGAGCAATACTTTACCAGCTCATAAGCGTCAAAAATCTATATCAAGAGAAGCAAGCTCATCATCGTTTAACGCTACCCCTAAACCAATGGCTCCTATTAAGCAAAATATACAATCAACATCAAATGTAAAAGTTGAAAAAGTAGCAACACCTCAACAATCTCGTGAGTTTCTTGGAGAAAATGATGATCCTGATTCATCCATGGATATGGATACTTCAGCAACTAATATTGATGTTACAAAAGGTACTGACGAACTGGTTCATCCTCCATCAAAAAGCCATTCCCGTCAGCGTTCAAATGTAGGAAGATACCCACATAATATTTTATCATCAAATAATAAATAGATTTTTATTCACACTTAAATTAGCATAGCATCTGCATTTCTTTTTTGGGATGTAATTAAATTAAAAAAATGCAGCAAAAGTTATATCAATATTCAATTCATTATCTTTTAAATTTTTAAATTTTAGTTCATTCATACATATATATTGCTCAATATTTTTATACGGTAATACACATTATCTACTTAGAAGTTTTTTTGAACGTTACTTATAATATTCACTCCCATTTTGATCTCACAAAATTCCACTTATTAAGTTTAATCTATAGATCTGGCAAAATCTCTAAATGTCAGTCCTGCCCGTGACACAACCCTTTTTCAGCTTAATGAAGCTGAATAATTTTGCTTCAACTTTGCTTTATTTAGTCATACGTTCAAACAATTATTCAGTGCATTAAAAATAAAATGAGATATGGGAAGCGATGTGAAACAACTTACAGAATTAATGATTACATTCCGATTAAATAAAGCTATTATTGATTTTAAAAAGTATGAGTTGTGTACCCTTGTCCGCTGAAGCAAAAATTTACTGAAACCAAACAAACGTAGTCTATTATATCATAAATACTGTTTTCACGCCGGAAAGCAAAAATTAAAAAATCGATCTTGATATTTGGGAACTCCCAGACAGGGAATTGAACCCTGGTCTACCATGCGACAAACGGTAATTCTAGCCACTAAACTATCTGGGACGATTTTTAACAAAAAATTTTGGTGGTTTTATTAGTCCTATAGTAGTTGGATCCAAAAAATTACTAAGCTTTATACGAATTGGACAACATCTTGGACGTATAAATTATGCGGCCTTGCAACATCACTTGATTCAAATGCTCAAGTTAAACATTTCAAGATCAACGCGAGACTAAGTATTTCCAAGCAAGGTGGTCCTTTGTTTTGAATCTTGAAGAGACTTGAGAACATTTTAGTTGATACCTGAAAATCTAATGGTATTTATAATGCCATCATACTATGCACTTTTCGTGAATGAAAAAATAAGGTTGTGTTGATCGAAAAAAAAAAGCGAGTAAATATGAGACAAACCTAATTTGTATTACATTACAACTCACAAACAACACAATTTGAGGTATTGAATTGCCTTATCCCTATCACACATATGAGCTTCAAATACTTCACCGATGAATTTTTGGAACAATTTTCTGGAGGAGCAGGTGATGTCAATATTTTGGAAGCATTAGATTCATATGATTCAAATAATCCAGAAACAGAAGATGAAATTGTATTTTTATACACTGAGTTAATACTATCGTTAGAAGAAGGTAAGATCAAAATCGATCATTTGATAGATTTTTTAAATGAAACCATAAGAAATGATGATTTTGCTCGAATATTTTGTCAAGTTTTAAATTCATTTCCAGTAACTGAAAACATGAAATATCTATTATCAACTTTATACAGAACAGAAAAAGTCATTAAACTAGAAACAATTGCAGCTTACATAGGCACGGATTTTTTAAAAGAAAGTGGGATCATACCAGGAAATGTTTTATCAAAATCGTTGAATATGAAATTAAGAGATAAGTTGTATACTCAAAAGAAATATAATTTATTAGTTGAGGAAATTGAAGGGTATTCCAAATTCATTATCGAACTACACAGTATTTTCACAGATGATACTGCAGATTTTCAGATTGATTACGCATTGCAAATATCCGAATCGTTGATTGGACATTACAACTTGGATCCAAATAGATGTTTAAATATTATTTTGGATATTCTTATTAATAATGTTGTAAGAAATTGGAGAGCAGGAATTGCTTTTTTGAAAAAATCTCGTTGGTGGCCAAGCATAGAAGCTGATAACTCATCATTGAATACGCTAACAATTGGCGGAAATTTGAATGCATCAAAAATGGTTGGATTGGAACTCCTTGATTACTCATCATCAAAAGATCTTTCTGAAAATTTTAAATTGTTTGTTACAATTTTAATTAGAGAGCAATTCATTAGTTTTGGGTCATTTTATAAATATTTACGTCCGGATGAAAATGCAATGAAAGAAATCGAACAAGAATATAACAAAAAATTAGAAGAGGATGTGTCTAAAGCGGGTGCAAATGCATTGGCATTAGCTGCGCCTTTGGCAGATGAAGATGACAAACCACAAACTTCAACATTACCAGCAAATAATACAACAAAAATTCCATCAGCGACTTTGGAAACAAAGCTATTGCTAAATCTTAAATTTCAATTTTTAAAAATATTTTTATCAACGGGCTTATATTGGCCAGCAATATTCATATTAACAGACTATCCATATCTTGCCACAATTGATGATGAAATTCAACACCTTCTATGTAAGGTATTTGGTGCAACTATTAACAATATATATGAGCAAAATAATGTTAGAAATATGACTGCCACGGATGCTTCAAGATTAAAAACAGCAAGGGGAGTATCATTCGCAAGACCTGGGAATAACGTCATAATAGAAAATCAACCGCCTCCATTAATCAGTACGTTCAGAGCACTATCAAAAGATTATCCGGGAAAGCTGTTTATCTATATAGTGGAAAATTGGGCTGACACTTTGCCAATTGTAAATGACTTTAAGTCACTTCTTAAAGTATCAAAAGAGATCTTAAAGTTCATAGGAACTAATTTATCCAAAGATGTCAGCACATTTACCAAATTATGTGCCATTGTACGGTCATTTCAATCAGAAGAAGAGCTCAAAGACGAAATATTTCATTATTTCAGAAATTACATTTTTCCTGTTATGCCACTTTTGAAACACAATTCATTTGCTATTGATGCAGCTTATTCGATTTTAGCACAATATCCCATAGAAGATAGATTTAGCGTATATGGAGAATTATATAATAATCTTAGGAAAAATAATAATCAAATCAAGATTGCTTATAGTATTGCAGAGAAAGAAACAAAAGATGTTTTGAAAAGGTTATCAAAGGAAAATGTCAAACCAATGATGAGAAGATTAGCTAAAATTTGTTCATCAAATCCATTACCTTGTTTATTAACTATTTTACAACAAATTGAAAGTTATGATAATTTGATATCATTGGTGGTTGAAACAGCAAAGTATTTCAATGAATATGTCTGGGACAATTTGACAATTGCAATTTTAATCAGATTAAGTTCAGATAGGAGTTCAACTCATGATAATGGAATGCTTGAACGTCAATGGCTACAATCATTAGCTTCATTTGTTGGTAAAATTTGTCAATCTTATCCAAAAAAGATTGATGTTAAAACAATTATTACGTATGTTCTTAAATCATTTTATTCAGGTGATAGAATTGGCTTATTAGTTTTGAAAGAAATGTTTACCTCAATGGGTGGTATTAAAGCAACTTCTGACTTGACATTGAGACAGATTGATGCTATTAATTGTGGTTCATCATTACAAAGGATTACTTATAGAACTATCGATGATTTACGATATAGGAGAATCGAATCTGGACAACTCCTTTTGAAATGCTTTATTGATTTGGATGCAGTTAACGAGTTAATTGTTCTTCTATGTTCTATATATGATGACTTAATATTTGGAGATGAAGAAAGTCATTTGAAAGTTTTAGCTAGTCGAGCTGATGATTTGAGTGCTGTCATAAAATTATTTACCACATTAGTATCATTTTTCGGAAGAGGAGAGGATACCAATTTGATGTCCATCAATGATTTACATAATAAGTATAATGTCCCAATATCATCTGCATTTGATTTATGGAGAACAAAGTCAGTCGATCTAGAGTCTATTGAATCTCAAGCGCAAGAAGTTGTCCCAAATAATTTTCCAACTAGTTTGTTCACAGCATTTTGGTATTTCAGTTTAAGGGACATCAACTATGACGAAAACCTTTATGTTGAGGAATTGGATAAGCTAGAGTCTGCTACAAGAGGTTTGAAAGATGCTGTAAGATTAAATGCGAGAAATAAAGATTTTCCAATTGCTACACTTGACAAATATGAACGTGAGATAATTGAGAACACAAAGTTTATTGAACAAATTCCATCAGACAAAGTCAGACATAAAGAATTAAATGATGCAATGAATCAAACACTATCTGAATTATCTTCTAACTGGTTTAATTCAACTGACGATATGGAAAATACGCAGAATGAAAAATTTGTACAGTATTGTCTCATGCCAAGGGCTATACATTCATCATTTGATGCTGTATTTGCAGCTAGATTTGTTTTCAAATTGAATGAGTTGCATGTTGATAACTATTCATTATTTGGGGTCTTGAGCTCATTACTTGACTCAGACCAGTTATACAATTCATTATATTCCTCAACACCATCTGAGGCGGAAAATCTTGGTTATTTTTTTGCATTTATTTTTAAACATTTACAAGAAATCAATAACGAAGAAAGTGTCAAAGCGTTGAATTTAGGTGAATTGTCTGAATTTAAGAATTGGGTATTTACTTTTCATTCATCAATTTTGGAACAGATTAAGAGAAGTCTCGAAGTTGATGAGTATATTTCTAGAAGTAATACAATTGTATTTTTGAAAAACTTATTAGGGGTTTACCCTCTTGTTGATGATCACTGTGAGAACTTGGTTACAGCTATGGAACAGATATATGAAAATGATGAAAAAGAAGATATAAAATTAGCATCAGGTGCATTACTTGGACACATTAAATCTAAATCAAAGCAATGGATTCCAATTTGGGATTTCATACCAATGAGTGACGAAGAGAAACAAAAGATAATCGATGAAAGAGAAAAAATCAAGAAGGAACAAGAAGAGATTGAGAAAAAAGCCAAAGAAGAAGAAGAAAAGAAAATTGCAGAATTGAACAAAGAAAAACAAGCTAAAGAAGAGGAAGAGTTAAGAAGAAAAAAAGCAGCAACAGCCATAAATTACAGTAGTACACTGGGAACAGGTAATAGAACGGGATTCAGATCTCAACCTTCATCAAGTGCTCGTAGATATGAAGCATATCAATCAACTGATAGGAGTGATCGATCAAAATATAACGCAACTAAAGACCATGATGATTCAGAAAATAAAGAAGAGGATAGACCAAGTTCAGCCAGATCACTGCATATAAAAGAACGATTGTCTAAAATGAAATCGGAATATCTTAAAGCTAAATCTTCAGAGCCGAAAGAGGATGATATGGAAAGTGTGAAAGATGTAGCCAATGGTCAAGATGATGTTAATGGAGAAAATGCAGGAACAAATACAAGTGAATCCGAGAATCCAGGTACTACGAAAAGCACAAATAGTGCTGTTGGTGTTGAAACGGAAAAAGAAATTGCTACTGATAGGCAAATTGATAAATCAGACTCATCCAATACTCAAGATAAAACTAACAATGGTTCAAATGGTAAATCAGACACCAGAAGAAAATCATTACCAAGTCAAGAAGAACTTATTCAAAAATCAACCATGGAGGCAAAACAACCTCAATCTATTCCACCATCTAACCCCAGAAGAACTCCATTACCAGCTCAAGGACGAACCTATTCAACGGGTGAAGCATCTACCAAACCTGACACAAGAGGGTATCATCAATATAATAGTAAAAGTAATTTTAAATCAAATGAACAAGTACCTCCTCCTCCTCCCCCACCTTCAACTTCAGCACAACCTTCAAATTTTGGTAGAAGAAGTTATGGAACAGGATATGTACGTCATGATCAAAACCGTCAATTTAATAGATTTGATAACAACAATAATAATAATAGATCATATCAAACTCAAGGTTATGATAGTCGATCACAAACTCCAGTTAATCAAAGACCAGGGTATGGTAACAATCCTGTGAGCGGTGGTTCAGCTGATACTAGAGCAAAATATAGGACACCAACTTATGATAATAGAAAAGCTGCTCAATCTTCTGATTCTTCACAAGGAGATCAAGGTAATAAAAGAAGAGCTGATGGTGGTCAAGGTGGTAGATCTTATGATAAAAAGCAAAGGTATTGAGAATGAAATGGAATGAGCTGTGTAATGTATAGTATAAATAATCATGTAATTTTATTAATATCATACTCATTCATTCATTATTAAATTATATATCTATATTTTCAAACCTTCTTGGGGTTCAAAAAAAGAATATCAATCTTCAGCTTCTAAATTAGAACTTAATTCTTTACTTAAAATTTCATCAAATGCAGCATCTTCATCATTATATTCATCGTATTCATGATCATCGTCATCATCATCTTCATTACCATCGTCATCATCATCTTCATTATCATTAATTTCGTTGACACCTACTTTTACTTTCTTATTTATAGCATCATCATTTCTTTCTTCTAAAATCTTCCTCTTTTTTGTTCCTTCAATTTCTTCTTCTTCCTCTTGTTGTTGTAATCCATCTAAAAAATTTTCAATTCTTTTTAAATTTTCATCATGCCATCTTAAATGTCGATGTAAATCACATAATCTATAAAAAAATCTATTACATCTTAATTTTGGACAATGTATTTGTTTTGCTACACTTTTAGAAATTGTATCAATTAGTTTTTCCTGTTTAATTTCTTGTTGTTGTTGTTGTTGTTGGTTTTTGGATGATGATTTTGATTTGGTTGAGTTGTTCATCGATGTAGTATTTGTTGAAGAAATTGAATTTGTGGATTTTAAAGCTTGAGCTGTATCTGATCTCACATCCTGATTGAAAAATGTATCTGATGATTCTTCTTCTGTTGATAAGATGGTACCTAAACTTTTGATTGTATTAATTGATGGTTTGTTAGCTGAGACAGCCCCTGACGTTGATTCTTTTAATCCTTCCTCTGTGATTATTGAACTGATTTTACCATCAAGGTCAACTTTATTATTTTTCAATAATTCTTCAGGAATATTTCCATCATGAAATTTATTATAATGATCAATTAATTTATCTTTTTCATTAAATTTCCCCAAATCACAATAATTACATTTCCAAATCTTGATTGCATCGTCATGAGTTAACATATGAGATTTTAAACCTTGTTTCCCAACACAACCTTTTCCACATATATCACATTTTAATTTAGGATGTTCTTGTTTTAAATGAAATTGTAATGCTGACCAAGTTTTAAAATTTTTAAAACAGCCACTAGAATCACATTGGTATGCAGGACTTTCTCCGTGATACTTGAGTTTATGATTTGCAAATTTCCATGGTCTTGCAAAAGTCTTACCACATATTGAACAAGTTAAAGTTTTTTCATGTACTGATTGAATATGATGTGTTAATGATTGATGTTTATAAAAAGATTCATTACAATTTTCATAAGTACATTTGAAAGATTTTGTATGAACTATTTCATGTCTTTTTAAATGTTGAGGTGTATTTACTCCTTTACCACAAACAGAACAATGATATGGTTTATCTCTTGAATGAGAAATCAAATGAGCATCCAAATGGTGTTTTCTTAAAAATGATTTTGTACATTCAGGATAAGAACATGGAAAAGGTCTATCTCCAGTATGTGATCTAAGATGTTGATCTAATAATGATGGTCTATTGTAAGCTTTATCACAATTTTCATAAGTACATAAATATCTTTTAGGTCGCGATGATGATGATGATGAAGCTTTTGATGTTGTAGATGCTACGGTGGCAACTGAAGCTTTGGATAAGTTTGATGCTTGTGAGTTTACTGATTTTGTATCTTCCTCTTGCTCATTCATGTATTTGAATATTTTGATTTCAAGAACCACTGATAATATAAGTGATATGTATATTGATATTATATGTTTCTAGATGTTTAAGGAAATGAGTACAAAAAATTTTGTAACTCTTTTTTTCTGGGTGTGGTTTGTGTAATTAAATAAGTTGCAAAATAATGTTCTGATTTAATTCATACAAATAATTTAGTTCAAGATCCTTTGTAAAAAGAATCACCCATATCTTTTGAAGAATTTTAACACCAATGACTTTTAAGCCATCAGCTCGTTTGTTTACGGTAGGTCCTTTTTTAAATTACCAGGTAGACTTTTTCAATTTCTACACAAGCTTACCTTAAGGGGTAGTGGAAATAGATCGATAGAGTGGCGGAATATTATGAAAGAAAAGTTGATGAGTTGAAGTTTGAAATTTGTATTGCCATTTCACGCTGCCTTTCCTCAGATGTCGTAAAAGTGGAGTTCTCGTCGTATTACAATAGATGAATTATACAATGTTTAAGTCTATGAATCATTTGAGTAGTCACTTTAAACATAAAATTTTTACCGTATATATCCGTTTGAAAATTCTCTCGGAGTTTAATTGATTAGAAATATCTATTAAATGGAATGAGAGTCTTCTCTAGAGAGAAGACTAAACATTGTGACGCCAGTTTCACAACCATGTCATTCAATGGGAGCTATGTCATTTATCTGTTAGTTAAATTATATAGTCAGTCATTTAAACAACTCCTGATGTCCAAGAATTTGAGAAAGTGAAACTCCCTTTGGTAATGTTATTTAATGCATATACTAATTCGTTTCTCGGTTATAATAATGAATTTAAAACTCTCTAAAATTTATGTTTGATGATCAAACTGATCGGATTTATTTTAATTGATTCAGAAACAGATTTTTGCTAGCTAAAATATTTTAGCCATCTACAAGAGGATCATCCATTGTAGATCGTAGTTATATATATAATACATAGTAATTGTAGACTTTTCAATTTATTTTTAGTCAATTATAAGAATATCTCAAAAATCGCTACAATTTAGTTTATAAATTCAATTTTAATAACTTGCTCATCGTTACAACTTTCAACTGATTTTAACAAACTTGAAAATAACAACAAACAGCGTATTTAAATTACTCCGAAACAGATTTAAAACTAATTATTCAATTCAATCTTTTCAATTCATTTCAATTTCAATTCAATCAACTTATCACAAATTTGAAAACGAATCTAAGAAAAAAAAAAACTCAATAGAAATAAGAAAAATCTCGTTCAAATTAAAAGTCATTTACAATTCATTAAATTCGAGGCAGTTTTCAACATACAATTTAATCATTCGATCTTCTCAAGTATTTATTAGTAAATTCATAATCATTCAACCTAATAGTATTAACACCAATCATTACTTAGTAGAAGGAATCCAACTATACAATTTGAATTGAAGAAAGGAGAAACCGCAATAAAAGAACACAAAATATGGGTATTAATAATCCAATTCCTAGAAGTTTAAGGAGTGAATCAAAGTATGTACATTTCATAAATACGAAATAAGTTTTTATCAAAGTTACAAATACTTTGAGAGTAAAACAATTGATGATTTAGTTCAGACTTTTTACAAAATTGAATGCATGAAAATACTAACAATTAAATTATTTTAGAAAAGCAGCAAAAGTATTATCATCATTCATAAAACCAAATCAAGTTGCTGGACCAGATCAAGTTATTCCACCAAGAATTTTAAAAAATGCAAAAGGTTTAGCTGTAATAACTGTTTTAAAAGCAGGATTTTTATTTTCAGGTAGAGCTGGATCAGGAGTTATTGTAGCAAGATTACCAGATGGAAGTTGGTCTGCTCCATCAGCTATAATTACAGCAGGTGCAGGAATGGGAGGTATGATTGGAGCTGAATTAACTGATTTTGTATTTGTTTTAAATACAAAAGCTGCAGTTGATTCATTTGCTCAATTGGGTTCGGTTACTTTAGGAACTAATGTATCTGTAGCTGCTGGTCCATTAGGTAGAAGTGCAGAAGCAGCTGGTACTGCTTCATTAAATTCTGTTTCTGCTGTATTTGCATATTCAAAAACAAAAGGTTTATATGCTGGTATATCATTAGAAGGTTCTGCAATTATAGAAAGAAGAGAAGCAAATAGAAAATTTTATGGACAAAACTGTAAAGCAAGAAATATATTGGCTGGACAAGTTGAACCTCCACCAGCTTGTGATTCATTAATGAGAGTTTTAAATTCAAGAGTATTTAATAATAGATCATTTGATGAAGATGATGATGATTATTATGATGATGATTATTATGATGATATTCCTGATGATTTTTCAGATTCTACTTCTGAATATAGTGGAAGACGTGGAACATATGGGAGAAGAAGTGGTGGTGCTGCTGCTGTTGGAAGTCATAATAGAAGAAGAAGAAGATATTCAGATGAATATTCTGACGATGATTATTCAGATGAAGATGATTATGATGATGGTTATGGAAGAAGAAGACGAAATGAAAGAGAACGAGAAAGAGAAAGAGAAAGAGATAGAGAAAGAGATAAAGATAGAAGAATTGGATCTGGAAGAAGTGGTAATACAACAACTACATCAGCATCAAGTGCTGGTTTATCTAATGCAAGAACTCAATCATCATGGGAAGATGACATATATGATTCAAGTTATAATGTTGGAGGAGGAAGTAAAACAAGATCAAGAGGTAATAGTGATGTAGATAGATTAAATGCAAGATTAGGAAATACAAAATTATCACCAAGTAAAAATGGTAATGGACCAACAAGACCCCTTAATTCATCAAAACCAAATTTTGGAGGATCACAAAAATCAAATGCTTCACAAGCTATTGCTTTATATACTTTTAAAGGAGAACAAGGTGGTGATTTACCTTTTAAAAAAGGAGATGTTATTAATATTATAAAAAGAACTGAAACTGTTGATGATTGGTGGACTGGTTCAAATAATGGTCAAACTGGTATTTTCCCAGCTAATTATGTGGAATTAATTTAGATTAAGTTAAAAAAAAATTGATTAATTGCTTTTAACAAGGCAATGTGAAATAAAATAAAAGAAAAAGTTGTAAATTATAGTTATTATTTCTAGTTATATAGTTTACCATGTATTAGTTTTTTTTTATCTCAATGTTTCAGTAGAACTACCTAACTTTTTTTAGTCTTTTTGGCTTGACTTTTGGTTTTTACCGTTTTATTTTGTTTGTTAATTTTAGACTTCGGAGTAGAATTGGTTTCAGGTTTTGAGTTTTCTTTTTCATTTGAAAGTGGTTTATTCTCAATTGTTGCAATTTTTCTGGATTGAACAGTTTTTTTCATTCCATCCAGTTTAATTTTCTCATTAATGATATTATTAGGTTCAATTTGTTTTGGAAAATTTACCTTAACTTTAATTTTAATTTTATAATTTTTAAAAATTGAATTAATATTATAAATCAAATTAAATTTATTAATAAATCTTGAATATTGTAAATTAATTATATGATATTTTGTCAATAAACCAACTGGAGCAAAACTAAAAGAAATTAAATCACCTAATCTTCTAAAAATGGAAATTAAATTTTGTTTTGGAATTAAACTTGATATTCCATAAATTGTTATATAAAATCTTGGATATATTTTTTCAAAATTAAGTGGTAATAAATTAAATTTAAAATTATTATTATTAATTTTTAAAATTTGTAAATTATATTCTTTTAAAAATTTTATAATTTCAAAATTTTCAAATGTTAAAACTTTAAAAACTTCATTACCATTTTTAAAATGTATTGGTGGGAAATTTGTTATTTCAATTTGTATATTTAAATTTTTTAAATTTTCTTTTGGAATACTTATAATTAATCTAATTCCAAAAATTAAAGAATTTAATTTCATAAATGAAAAACTCATTTTTTCATCTTTAAAATGTAATAATATAGCTTGGCCTCCCATTAATACAATAATCAATTGAATTTGGTTTTTGAGTTTTATCTGATACATCTAAAACATATGAGTCATCCCCTAAGACTTGAAAATGATCAATTAAATGATAGACTTCTTTCAATATTTGAAAAATATATGAATGTGTTGCTGAAATTTTAAAATAAATCATGACATACAACTTAAAATTAAAATTTAAGTTTAAATTCCATTTACTTGTCAATATGGGAAATGATACATTGTTTGAAAAAATTGGAGACAAATGATCAAAAATTGGTTGTGCTGAATAGTATTCATATTTATATAGATCATAGTTTTTAATTGTGTCTCGACTTTTATTTACAATCTGTTTGGGGGCAAATTGAGTTGTTTTCTTCTTATCAGCATTCTCTTTTTCAATTGGAACGTTGGCTGCAATTAATTCACACTTTTTTGATGACGTTGGTTTTACCATAGGAGAATTTGAATTGTTGATGTTACTATTGGTAATTAGACTATTTTTATTGTTTAGTGGATCAATAGCTTTAGTTTTTGTATCAGCGTCAGCGCTATGTGATTCCTTTGTTTCTGGTTTTTTGAGCATACCAAACATAGACTTCATATTATCTTTAAAGGTTGGCATTTTCAAGAAATAAATGAATTTGATGTGTGTTTCGTTGTTTGTTGGTTGGTTGGTTGTAAAAATAACAATAAAAAAAGTGATCCTTACAAAGAAAAAAAAAAATTATATTTTTTGCAACCAAAACAATCTCCATACAAAGCAGTTTTACAAACCAAAATTCACTTGAAGATTCATTCAAAACTACAAAGAAAAACACAATTTACCCAAATCATTTATTAAAAATATCTAATAATCTAATTAAAATCTACTTTAAAAAAATTTAAAATATTCATAAATTTCACCATTTCTGTAATACCTTTTACCCAAATTTCAAATCCCATTTGTATTTCTCCTATAAAAATTCATCTATTCCAATTTAAATACATTATCAATAAAATGACCAACGACAACTTTTCCTTCATCAAAATTAGGATCAGCATGTCTAACAATAGCAGCAGCATGAGTTGCAGTAGTATGTCTTAAAATAATTGGATATTTATTCCATTTAATTGAATTTAATTTTTCAACTATAAATGATTGATTTGAATCTAATTTTATCTTGGGGAAAATTTTTGAATGACTTACTTTGTAATTCATTGCATTATACATATCTTCAACTAAAGTATCTTGTTCATCTTCAAATTTATTACTTAAATCAGTTAAAAATGAAGTATCTTCATTATATTCATATAAATGATTTAATTTATTATCTGTATTATTATTAAATTTACGTAATCTTGAACTTAATTTTATTCTTTGAAAAATGGATGATATTAAAAATGATAATGCCCAAAATGGTGTATAAATAATTAATGAACCAATAACTTTTATCCAATTTAAAGTTTTCCAAAAAAATCTTACTATGGGAGGTCTTTCATCATAATTAATTTGTTTTGTATCTCGTTGAATAAAATGTAAAGGTTTCAGATAATCTATTAAATTTGGTTCATAACCTTTAATATATGAACATTCAATATTTTTAGGGGATTTATTATACATTGAATTAACTGGATCATCTGATGATATTGATGACGTAAACCATGAACATCTTTTATCATTTACAACATTTGCATATAACGATTTATATTTAAAATTAGAAAGAGCTTGATAAAATTTTGAATTATGATCAGCCATCCAAACTAATAAAGGTTTATTAAATTCTCCAACTTTATCTTTTAAAAAAAATTGTGATCCTGTTATAGCTAAAAAAAATGGTGCTATATTATTATATAATCTTACTGAAAAATTTTGAGTTTGAGGATTTGATACACCAATATGAGGTGTACAAAATGTTACAAAATTTATTGGTTTGATATTTTCAAAATATTGTCTACTATGTAATATTCCAATTGCATATCTTGAAATTAATCCACCTAATGAATAACCAATAATTGAAAATTTTGTAACTTTATCACCCTGAGAATTTAATATGGAAGTTTGTTCTAATATTTCATCAGTTATTCTTTTACCATTAACATCTATTCCATCATATGTAAGATAACCAGAATGTGAACCAGTTTTATAAACAAATAATTTTTCTCCATTAGTTGGTTTAATTTCTTCATTAATTGTCTTTTCAAGATATGATACATGTGAAGAATTACCCCAGACTCTAAAAGATAAAAAAGTTAGTATTTGTTAGAAACTTTGAGTTTATTAAAAGTTAGGAACATACCCATGGACCAAGATGACTAGATGAGTGTCGACCATTATTAGATTGTGTGTTGATTGTGTAAGCGCAGTATTGACAATTAAACGATTGTGAATGAAAGGACCCCTAATGAAAGTACTTGCGTTAAATTTGGTTGGTCAATTCTTTTATAGATTGATTGTATGATTATATGATACTACTGGTTGAGCAGATGTGGATATGGAAGTAATTCTGATATGGTTGGTATTTTGATGAATATTGTTAATATGATTTGAATTCCAAAAATATTCGTTTATAATAATTGGTAAACCCTATAAAAATAATTTGAACCAAAATTGAGGGGTGGTTTTGAAAAAAAATAAAAATAGAGAATTACAAAATCAGTTTAAATCCGAGTTTTGTTGAAACTATAATAAGGATCAAATGAGGGAGGACTTCCAAATTTACTACTAGGTTTCTACTCAAGTCAGTGCTAATTAACCAATTAATTTATCAGTACATATTTGTATTAATATTAACAGTTAGATATAAATTTGGTAATAATTTGACTAAAAAAACCAACAGAAATAATCATACTGTAAAAAGAAATACGGACTCTTACCCAAAAAAATTTAGAACAAACTTTAAAATTTTGGTTGTTGTATGGTGGTACCTTAATTTTATTACTATTGAATTGGAATGAATTGATTAAATCCACGGTATTTAAATTTTTAGTTTAATCTCTTGTTAAACGAATTTTGTAGCCTAATCAAAGTAATAACATGTATCGATTAAACACAGGCTGATTCTAATGAACTCCTTATTCTCCAAAAATGATACACGATTATAAACAATAAGTCAACTTACTTAATAACGAGATTAACAGTTTGGGTCTAATAACATTTTATTACGTGCACATGAAAAAAATAGAATAAATTGAAATTTAAAGTCCGATTATTATAATTTGAGACATTTATTCTGTAGTAGAATGGATGTTTGTTCTGATCCTACTTTTTTTCATTAATCAACAGGGTTGTAGACGTAAAATTTATAGACGATAAATATCTAGTAATGGCTGATGTTTACTTGATCTTCTATTTCACTGACGAAGACTCTTTTGAAGATCAAAGAAAGAATCAAATTTGAAATTTTGACTTACAAAAATATTTAACTATGTAGGTTAGGATGTACTGTACACAACCAAATGTTTTCAATGTTTCATATTAATTTTGCAACAAATTTGACTTAAGTACGATTTAATCAGTCTACCCTAGACATTTTATACAATTCTAAATCCAAATACAAAAATACAAATTTCAAATTAAAGAGAGACCCAATTGCGAATCCTCATTATTATTTAATTGTCATTACATTCATTATAAAATCTATGTACAAGGTTCTAAGTAATTTATAAACAGCTTTGTATGATTACTCCAGTAGCTACTCCAACATTTAATGAATCAACAATATCATCTTCATCATTCCTATACTTTGGTATACCAACAAGATAATCACTTCTTAATTTCATATTTGTTCTAACACCTTTACCTTCACTACCAATAACCAACATTACTGGAGTCTTTTTTGAAATAGTTTTTAAATCATTTAATTCAATAAATTTATCTTTTAAACTCATTTCAATTTTATAATTTTTATCTCTTAGCAATTTTAAATTTAAATCATCAGGTTTTGAACTTGTACTTATAACATTCCATCCATTATTTCTAACAGAATCAATAAATTTTAAACTTTGATCAGTTTGATAAATATCTATAAGATCCAAAGCTCCTGATGATGCTTTGTTTGCAACTGGACCTAATTTTGCACTTGAATGATCCGGTATTACTATAAAATCAACTCCATAAAAATAAGCAGTTCTTAATATTGAACCCATATTTTGAGGATCTGTTATTTCATCTAAATATAATGCTAATGGATAAAGTTCTTCTTCATCTTCTTCTGATTGTATTTCTTCAGTTCTTATTATGGATTTTTCAATTGGAGTATCAATTCCATCCTCATCTTCGATAATTAATTTATACTTATTATCTTCAGAATGACCAACTTCAGTAATATAAGGTATATTTAGCGGCTTAGTTTTTAATACTATCCCATTATGAACACCATTTTTAGTTAAAATATTTAAAGCATTTTTATCCCTAACATTTTGAGTTTTAACACCATATTCTTTTTCTGCTTTTTTAATTAAATCTTTATCATCAGAATTGAAAGTATATAATCCTAATATTGGTCTTTTTCTTGCTTTTAATACTGAACTTATTGGATGAGTTCCATAAACAAATTCAAAAAATGTTCCACCTATACCACTCATATTACCTTCTTTCCTACTTTTAATTCCATCTTCTTCCATTATTTCTTTAGCACTTTGTCCTTCATAATCAATTTCATTAATACTTCTTTTAAAATTGGGATTTGATTTTTCAAATTTTGAACGTTCATGTTTTTTTTTCATTTCTCTATATCTTCTTTGTCTTGCTACTTTTTCTTGTAAATGTGATCTTCTTTCATCTGACATTTTCCCATATTTTCTTTTAAAAAATCTATCTTTACTTATATTTTCTATTTCCCATGGTTTCTGTGGTTTCTCTGATAACGGTAGGTTTTTTTGGAATGATTGATTATTGTTTTTAGGATTTGAAAAATGTGGTTTGAAAATTGGTTTAATTTCCCTTGACTTTAAAAGTCTCGCAGTGAATGTTGAAAACTGCCTACTTCGTAGATACTGACATGATGATAGAGTCATTCCAAGTCTCTTGTATGTTAATTCAATAAGTTTCAGTTTGATTGTGAATGATTACTTGAACCGAACCTTTTTTTTGCAACAAATTTTCTATTGAGAGAGATGCTACAGATAAAACAATTTATTAGATGATGAATAAATAGATAATTAAATATATTTAGAGCAGATATACAATTCTCTTCTGGACCGCTTCTAAGTCTCATGATAAAACACCTTTAGTACTTGGGACATCATTTTTACCGGTCTTTGAAGTCGCTTCTTTAATAGCAATAGCTAAAGCTTTGAAAGCACTTTCAGCACGATGATGATCATTGAATCCTCTTAAACAATCAACATGCATAGTTATACCAGCAGAAGTTGCAAAACTTTCTAATACGTGAGGTATCATTTCACATGATAAATCACCTATTTTCTCTCTTTTCAATCCTAAATCAATAACTGCATAAGGTCTATTTGATAAGTCCACAACGGCTCTACTTAAAGCTTCATCTAATGGGGCAAAACCATGACCAAATCTTTTAACACCTTTAATTTGTCCAAGTGCATTTTTAAAAGCTAAACCCAAAGCTATTCCTACATCTTCACTTGTATGATGATCATCAATATGTAAATCACCAACACATTCAATTTTTAATGACCAGCCTGAATGTTTGGCTAATGCATGTAACATATGATCTAAAAATCCAATCCCTGTTTGAATATTAATTTGTTGACCTCCAGTAGCTTGTGTTGCATGTTCATCTATTGAATCAGACTTAGGTAGTATTGAATTAGGAATATATACGTTTCCACCATCTAGACTTATGGCTATTTGAATCTTTGTTTCATTAGTATCTCTTTTAATAAAAGCTTCTCTTGCTGTAACTCCATTCGATGTCATTTTGACTAGGGTGTGTTTTGAAAAATAGTAGATAAGAATTGATTCAAATGCATAATAAAAATGTGAAACAACTGAAAAATAATTTTTAGATAAATCTAAAAAGGAAGAAAATTAAAATCAAAACAAACTTTAGACTTAAATCATAAACAATACAACAATCTCAAAGCAACAAGACGATTAAGGCCATAGGTCTATAGTAATGTACACTTATATGGAATATCTTCAAAAATGTTTTTATAAATCAACGAACTGGAATGAAGATAACATATTCTCAAACATAAATGCAACTTCTCAAGCTATATTAGACTTTCCCATACCCAATGGATTAAAAATAGATACATCATCAAAGACTTCAGATTATTCTGCATCAAGTTTCACATTATCAAATTTTCATCAAATTAATGGGTCATTGGCATATTTATACTCGCTGAATCCTTTAACTAATACAATGGGATCGAAAGATGTTTCATTACAAGATGCAATAGCTGGGTTTAGAATTATCGAGCCAATGCTAGTATTACGAAGACAACAGCAAAAGATTAAACAACCAAAACTTAACAATAAACACCTGCTACTATATGGTAGAATGTATTTTCCTGGATCAGCATTGGAAGCAATGGTTATTAAAAGATTAAATGAAAACACACAATTGTTGATCAAATGTGTGAACCATCCATATTTGGAAAAAAACGGTACTATGATAATATATTTACAAAATAATCATGTGAAATACTCAAGAGAAATAATTTATTCAACTAATGAATCATTAATTGGAGTAAGATTTCTATATAATTTAGGAAATACTATAGCAAAAAATATAAATCCTAATCTTATACCAAAATTTGATAATTCTGTAATTTCAATTGGTACTGAAGTTTGGTATGCAGCAAGAACACTAAGTCCAGGTTTATCAACAGCTTTACGATATTCAACTAGATCAACATCAACAGGAAAACCATTAACAATGACATTAGCAATAAATCCAATATTGGGACATGTATCTTCTACCTACACAGTAAAAACTTCAGTTGCTTCAACTTTTTGTTCCAAATATGACTTCAATTTTTTCTCCTATGCAAGTAACTTATCCTTGGGGTTTGAATTATTTAGTTATTCCAAAAAGCGATTATTACAACAGCAACAATTTCAACAACAAAATCCTCCAACGACCTACATCGATGAGCAGGTAGTATCGACTCATGATCATATCAAAAGACAACCAAGTAAATATAAAACCAAAACTTTCAAAAATGGAAAAAGTGGAAATACGATAGTAGAAGAAAAATACCCATCAGATCATTCATCGAACTCATTGAAATCATCTGCATCTAAAAATAGACCAGTATCAACTGCGTTCCAAAATCTAGTTAATGAAAGTGATTTTTCAAGTGTGATCAAGGTATCAACATCTTTAAAAGATAAAACTATAAAATTATTATGGGAAGGAAGAGTTAAAGAATTTCTCGTTAGCACTGGTGCTAGAGTATCTATTAATCCTATAACGAAAGTACCTGAATTTAACAAATTGGGAATTAATTTCGCGTATTCGTTTTAGTTTAATCTACTTAATATAAAACAATAGAAATCTAGATTTAATAAATGGAACTCTTATATTTCAATAATTTGTTTGTTCAATTTGTATCAGCATGAGCCTCTTCATTATTCATGGACGAGTATATTCAGTGTAAATATATATGAGCCTAATCAATTTAGCCTCATAATTAATCTGTATTACATGTATTATCTCTTTATTTCCTTCATTGATATTCTTTGATATAACTAGATCAATTTATCGTTTGAGATTTGTTTCACTGAAAAAAAAAAAAACAATAGGCGTTGTTAATTATGGATCAAACATTCAAAACATCACCTTCATAATAAACAACACTTCACAACATCCATCTATAATTATCAAAAACGTATATGTGCAAATAAAAAATTCAATCACTACGTTTTAGGATCATCTAAATGAGTTCCATATCACAATATAAAAGAACTGAGGTCATTGGAAGAGGTAAATTTGGAGTTGTTTATAAAGCTTATCATAAACAAACAAAACAAGTATATGCCATAAAAGTTCTAAACCTAGATACAGAAGAAGAAGAAATACTTGATGTTCAACAAGAAATACAATTTTTAACAGAATTGAAAAATGTACCAAATATTACTCATTATTATGGATCAATTTTGAATGATACAAAATTATGGATTGTAATGGATTACTGTGCAGGTGGATCATTAAGAACTTTATTGAAACCTGGTGTAATGGAAGAAAAATATATTGCAATAATTGTAAGAGAGTTATTGTTGACATTAAGTGCTGTTCATAAATTAGGAGTAATACATAGAGATTTAAAAGCTGCAAATGTTTTGATATCAAAGGAAGGAAATGTTCAATTGTGTGATTTTGGTGTTGCAGCAAAAATATCAGCAAATGCTACTAAAAGAACAACAATGGCGGGCACACCTTATTGGATGGCACCAGAAGTCATCAAAACTGGGGAATCATATAATAGTAAAGCTGACATTTGGTCTTTAGGTATAACTGTTTATGAAATAGCTACTGGTAATCCTCCTTACGGCGATAAAGATGCATCTTGGGCAATGCAATTAATTTCCAAGGCAACTCCTCCCAGGCTAGAAGGGAGTCAGTATTCTCCAGCATTAAAAGAATGTATAGCATTATGTTTGGATGAAAATCCGGAAGAAAGACCATCTGCAGATGATTTATTTAAATGTAAATTAATGAAAATCTACAAAACATATCCCACTAACATATTGAAGGAAGTCATATCACGTTATTTATTATGGCGAGATCGAAATTCATCAAGAGATTCAGTTTTTATTAATTTAGAGAATGAGCAAGAAGACACTGTTGATGAAATTGTTCAGAATAAATTACCAGGATATAATGATTACGGAATTGGCAACAATGCTAATGATGATCAACTTCAAGTGAAATGGGATTTTGACTCGTTGGAATCTCGTGATTATATCATTGAAAATGACATTGATATGAATAATATTGAGTACCTGAAAAATTATGAAACTCAAAGTGGTGAAAATACATATTCAACGATTCCAACATTAAAAGCTACGACTCTTAATGGTAGTGGTGCAACGCTCAATACACAAACAAAATCTATAGCAGATATTCCCAAATCCTTACAAATGTTATTTGAGGATCCAGCAGAGGAAAGCAGGAATGATCATTCAACATTGCAAGCTCCTTCCATAATGAATGATATGAATGGAACTGAATCACCCACAATTGAGATACCAGATATGTCTGCACTTTCAAACTTCCCATCCACATCAACCTTAATGAGTAATGGTCATCCTGTACTAAATAAGCCTCCAACTTTATATCACACCCAGTCAGCATCAGGAAACCTAGAAACCAGGTATGCGTCAATAGATACATCCCCAATCGAGAATCGACCAAGAAAGAAAACAGTATCAAACACAATGAGCCACCAAAATATACCGACAATAAACACGTCAACAAATTCAAGCACGGCAACTCCTCACACACCACCATATGCATCAGCCGCAGCTGCCAGAAGCCCATCTCCTAAACCTCCTACAAATTTGGGAATGGCTGCAATGAATTCAAAGACAAATTCACCATCAAAAATGAAAGCTGTACAAGGTCAAGGAAATAATAATCCACTTTTACAACCTATTAATTTTAAACCGATTTCTAATGATTTAAATTCCAAGATAAACACTCAACCACCCAACCAAGCACCTCCTCAATTGGTACTGCAGCAATCGATGCCGATTTTGCCAGTCAATCCTCAATCAAATTTGAAGTCCAAACGAAATAAACCAGGATTTATACAAATGCCTACTCCATCAGCCACCTTAAATTCATTATCAGCTTTAACTAATGATCATCACGATGACGATGAAAATGTCAATCAATTTGGTATTAATCCTGCTCAAGCTGCATATATGCATGTTTCGATGACACCTGTTACTGAGAGCGAACCTCCTCAATTTCTGACGAACTCATCATCAGCTACAAAGGCAGAAGATCAAACTTTTAGTAAGCCTAATAAAGAAAGTTCACCAATTCCTCAGAGTCGACCTCATCAAAATAGTATCCTGGCACAAAAGAAAACATTTTCATCATCATCTAATTTAAATGTCAATTCACATATGCATCAAAATCATTCAAATACTACTAGCACCTCAATTCCACAAACTCTGTTATCATCCATGCCTAGTCAACCTCAAAATTCACATAAGGGAAGTACTGTTACACATCAACCACCAGCTGCATCACAACAAAATGTGCCTACGCCAATAACCTTTCCCATCATTCCAAGTATCAAAAATGATTTTTTCATGGACTCAACCACCAACAAAAGCAAATTAGTGAATGAGCTAGATAATATCATAAAATTATTTAATCAAGGCTTAGAAGCATTAGAAGATAACTTATAACAAACACATAATTGATTTTAACATATTTATTTAGATATAGATAGCACTTTTATACGAACACATTAATGAATATTTTACATGACTTATAATATATTATGTCATATTATGCCTTTTATTATCTTCAACTCTTTATATACTTACGCGAAATTTAGAAATACTTAGCAGAAAAAATAAAATCAATGCAAATTCAAATATTATTATTCACACACTTTTTTCCATTCCATTTCTACAACACTTTTCTACATGATTCATCATACATAAGATGCCACCAAGAATAAGGAGGAGACTCACAACCTCTAAAAGAAATGAGATAGAAAAACAACAAGAGTTGGTGGAGCAATCTCAACAAATTGTGCGACCATTTGAAACAATACATTCGCTTCCCGTATCTTTTTCATCAGTTTCACAAGAATCATCATTGAATCAACCATTGACTATCAAAGATACAGGTGTACTATATTTATCCTTAATCAAATCAAGATCAAACTATTTAAAACTTTGTCCCATGTTTCAGTTATATTGGGTTAAACAATCAAGTTATATCAAAAAGCTAGTAGATCAAGATAAACCAATACCTGAACACTTAAAACGAGATGACATATTTGCAAATAGACCTAGTGTTTTGAACAACGAGGTAAGTGCTAGAGATATAATGATTAAGTTAGTAGATTGTGGTTTAACTATTGGAGTACATTTTTTTGAAATTAGAGTATTTATTGCAAAAGATGAAAGAAGTGATACTAAGGAAGAGAAAATCAGATTGAAACAAGAAAGGGCAGAGAAAAAGCTTCAGCGGGAAAAGGAAAAACTTGAAAGAAAAGCTCAAAGAGAGCAGGAGAATAGAGAAAGAGAGGAAAGAAAAAGACAAAAAGAGTTGGAAAAACAAGAATTAATGATGAAAATGAGATTGGAATCTGAAAAACTCAAAACCGAAGCCCAACAACCTACAACATCAACCAGTAATGGATCCAAAAACTCAATAAAAAAAGAAACTCCAACTAAGAAATCAAGTGATACATCGCATGCTCAACAAAAACCTAAATCGCTCCCGACTCAACCAACTACCACTTTAACTAACTCATCACCATCACCAAACCCGGGAGATATGAAAAGTCCTGAAAATCAAAAAATGATTGCAAATTTGAATTTCATAGGGTCGAAAAATGCTGAGTTCAATAATTTAATGACCTTAGTGGCTCATGGAGTAGGTAATTCTCATCAAATAATGATATTTCAAAAATATATAAAGAAGGCTAGAGAATTAAAGCATCCCCCTCATAGTGATAAAACCATCAAAAGAGTTGTTGATTCGATTAATAGAGAAATTGAAACAGAGACACGAAATGAGGTTAACGCTGTTAGGAGACAATTGGAACGAGGCGAACTTGGAATGGTTGTGCAAAACAATGGTGTTGCAAGCAAAGATAGAACCTTAGATAATGAGAATAAAAATTCAAATATTAAATCCGAAAGCACGAGGGTGGCACAAAATACATCTACAGTACAACATCATCATCAAGAAGTAAATAATGACAAGTTGAATGATCTGATAACAGCACCAGATCCTCAGACACAGACAATTAAAACTGAACTGAGACAAAATCAAATTCAAGATAATGACAACAATAACTCTCAGCTATCAAATCAAACAAATCAAGAGGTGAAACAAACACATTCAAATAGCATCACCGGAAGCGTACAAGAACCAAATTCATTGCAACAAGGGGAACATCAACATCCGCAACAGACTCAAAACGGTTATTCCAACAATGTCGACTTGACTTCACCTCAAAACAACATTCATCACAACGCGCCAGCTCCACTGAAAACCAAGTTGGAGATGCAGCAAGAGCTAAATATCAAACTAGAGCCAAATCCTTATCACATTACGTCTAAACATTCATCAGTGGAACCAGAAGGCCACAAGTCAAAGAAACAAAAAGTTCAGGAAATACCAAAAGATCAAAAATTAACTGCATTTCAAGAAAAATATAGCACCAATGCAACTTTAGTATTTGAATTCCTTGAAAATACGAATGTGAGATTTCAGCTACCTAAGTATTCCATTTGTGAAATTTTAGATCCGTCTACATCAATCAATTCTGAAAATGGTAATGCATCAGATAACAAAGATATCTTGGTGAGTTTTTTATGGGTTCATAATCAAAAGGAAATAGATGAATATGAAGTAGCTTTAAAAAAGTACAACACGCAAATGAAAGAGCTAGAAGAAGAGAAAGAAAGGCAGAGGAAGGAAATAGAAAGCGAAGAAAAAAAAGAGACAGATTCAGAAATAAACCAGGTTCCTGAAAACGGATCCAGCAGTAATGTTGAACAAACAAAAGATGATAAAAATCTGGGAACACAAGAGACTGCAAGAGTTGATGAGTGTCAAGAGGTAAAAAAGGAAGAATTAAACGACATAGCAGATGAAGACAACGACGAAGTTGAAATTAAGGAAGAGACAGTAACGTCAAGTGTTCCCGCGAAAAGAAGAGCTCCTCCACCGAGAAGAGGGAAAAAGAAAAGAAGGGGCCCAGTTCCAAAAAAAGCAGCTTCGAAACCTTTACAACCACCAGAAGAGCCAACGTATAGTTATTCAAGTGTCTCATTTACTCTTCATGGGATACCCTCAAAGTTTGTTCCTATATTCGTCAACTCATTTGAACCAGTCGAAAAAGTTCGAGTTCAAATGGAACATATATTGAAAGTCGGAACAAGATTGGCACCCTATCAATTGTGGTATCAAGTTGATGGTAGATTGGATGAAGATTTGGCGGAAAATTTAAGAGTACAGTTGAATCAAGAGGAAAAGAAATTTACAGGAATACCTACCGTTCAAGATAAACCCAAAAAATATCCTAAAAAGAAGAAAGTAGAGCCTGCAGTAGGTGATTCAAAAACCACAAGCAACGGTATTGGAGCTAATAAAACTATTAACCTGGAGTCTACTCCCACACAAAACGAAAACAAGGAAGATGGTTTGCATGTTGAGACGGACAAAGTTGAAGTAGATACAAAATCTGAAAAAGAAAGTAAATCGAACGATCATCAGAGCAACGAAGTGAATGCTGTATCAAATAATGCTGAAGCAAGGGATATCGCAAATTGAACATCAATTTACAACTATAAACATGATAATTCCTAATAAATTAATGACTTTTAATGAATAAATTTAACGTAACTGTATTCTCTTATCTAGATGGTAAAATCAAATTAAGTAAACTCTCTAAACTTTCATCATCAGCCTTATTTCTTTCTGAAGTACTTCCAAAATTTGATCTTATAGAACCGTTGGTATATCTATCATCAGTTTCAGACCAAGTACCATTCTTTATACCTTCGGCAAATATTCTTATCGATCCATCCTCACTCAATTCAGCTTCACTTATTTTAAATGGCATAATGAATTGTCTAGGATGTTTACCAGGATAGTTCCTTGCATAATTTGTTTGCAAAGCAATTGAACGATCAATTACGTTCGAAACAAATCCACCAATTGCTGCTTCCTTTGTACCTACTATTCTTCCTGGCACTATATGGTTGTATTTCACTCCGTTTGGTGTATTTTGCAATCTTCCTTTTTGATTATATGAGAAACCTCCTGTTCCTTGAATATTCTCCAAGTTTTCTCTTGAATTGTTGTAAATCGTACTTTCTTTTTTTGTGACTTCATTAGAACTCTTTAAAAAATCTTTAATTATTGAAATTAATTCGTTATTGTTTGATGAAGTTGAATTTGAGATTGAATTTGATGAGTTGAAAGATAATAAAAACTGAGGGTGATTTTTGGCAAGGAATGATTTAAAATTTGAGTATAGGTTCTTATTCTTGGATAAGATTTTTAAAACTTCTTCAGTTTTAATTCTTGTGTCTAAATTTAATAAGTTTGTCAAAGAACCTTCTCTAGTAGGTTTATTACTTTTGTTTGAATTACTTGGAAATAATGGATTTGATTGTGAAAAATGATTTTTTAAAGGAATTCCAACTTCTTTGAAAATTAATTGTGTATAATGATGTCCTGAATTTTTTTCAACATCAGGCATTCCTTTATAGTTATCTATATCATTGAATGAAATATGTGATTTACCAATTTTTGTTGGTAAAGCAGTTTTTAAACCATAATTTGACCTATAAGCACTTGATGATGGTGTGAAAATTGTTTGATGTGTTGGAATGTTGGATTGTCCTCTAATATTTTTCAGATGTGGTTTGGCGACTTGAGCTAGTCTTGAGTTCTTCACCAAGTCAAAAAGCTCTCTACTCGCAGCCGACATTGATGTGATTGTTGACGTCTGGCAGTTTTGTTTAACATTGAAAAAAATTTAGAAAATCCAATTTTTCAGAAAGTTCATATCTCACACAAAAAGTATTTTTGAAAGCTACCAAAAGACACTACAACTTATCGAGCTCTACATGCATGTTTCAAAAAAAGCACTGTTCTAAAGGCAGTGATTAAAAGTTTGTTTTATTTATCTAATCTATACCTGTACCTAACAACATTTCTAAATCTTACTTAATTTGGGAGTTTGGATCTAGTTGACCTAAGAGCTGAAGTTGCTCATAAGTTAGCAGTCTAGGACGATTTAAGCTTTTACGATTTTTATTTTGATCTGATACTATTGATAAGTTCAACGTATCGTTTGTAATATTTGATTCTTCACCTTCTGTGTTTTCATCAAGTCTGTTATCTTTTTGGTCTGGATTATTATGCTGGCTCGTATCATATGAGTTATTCGAAGATAAATTTTCAATCAATGCAGTCAGTTCTATTGAGCGATCGGATTTACCATCAGAATCATTTGTTTTTAAGCTAATAACATAGTCCGTGTAACCACCCTCGTTGAAAGATACTCCACCATCCTCAGCTGAAACATTATCAGATCCCGGTTGGAATGCACTATCCCAACTTAAAATTAAAACTCCAACTAATACACCAGTCAAACCTATTAAAACCCAAGTAAATTGAAAATATGTCATCTTGTGGTCAACTAATAATTTATTAAAACTTAAATCATTAATCAAATTAATCAAGTTGTATACCAAGAAGCATAATGGATACAATATTGCAGTAGTAATTTGGGCTAAACCTAAATTGAATGCCGTTAGTTGCAATCCAACAATACAAAACATAGTTATCAATAATAAATATGGAACAAAGTTGTGAATCTTGAAAATGTTTTTAAATCCATCTTTCATTATTGTTTCTATGATAACGTCTATTATTGATTTTGCAAATAAAAAAGTATGAGCAGTTAAAGTTCCACTCACGATACCATAGTTTATACCTTTCCAAAACTGATACTTATTGAACTTCACTACCAAAACATTATTATCTCCACCTCTTATTGCAAATTTTTGTCTATGTTGATGATTCTCCTTAATTTTTTTATCCAAATAAAATTTATTTATAGCTACAAGAAAGCCCATGAAGATAAAAGTACCAATGAACCAGACTAAAAAAGATGGATCTAATAATTTGTCAGTTATAATTTTGAATTTTTTATCTATATTATGAATTGGGTCATCATTCAACGAAGGTGGAATTGATCCATTATAGGCAATGGTAAATGCACCGATTGCAATCACTCCCGTGCCAACCCATAATTTTTTTGTGAAATGGTCCCCTGGTAGTAGTAGACAACTGAATATTGAATTAAAAATTAGCCCTATACTTTGTAATGGTGACAATATTATTAACGGTAAAGTTGAAATTTGAACTGCTGATCCTACAACATTCGCAATTATAAACATAGAAAAACCTAGATACCACATGTTTCTTCTATATTTTTGTTGCTGATGATGCGTATTATTATTTGGGTTCAAAAATGAACATTCATTTGTAGTAGAACTTGAGGTCGACGGTAGCTGAATGTGTAATAAATGTGATCTTCTTTGTAATGTGACTCCAAGTGATTGAATAGCTGATGATACAACTGCTACAGAGCATCCCAATACGATTGCTGAACTCGATGCCGAATCAGACATAATGGATACGGGAGTTGTAAAGTGACTACCTTATTTGTGTTTCAATAAAATTTATTTGTGGGGAGGCTGTATTTCCAAGATTTCGTAATACTTCTTGATAGCTATTGTAGAGTGATTGTGTTAAATTGCAAATATGAGCAATGGGTAAAAAATGATGCTTGTCTCAAAGCTTTAAGTATGGTATGATTAGATGATATAAATGTTCAAATGATTTATAAAGGTAACCGCATACCTTACTTAAAATTAACTTAAATTATTTACGTAAATAAAATAAAGTCGCGATTCTATTTTTTGTTGTTACATTTTTGTTTGTCGTGAATCAGTGACTTAAATTAATAGCTCATAACAACCATAGATGTTAATTGACCATCAAGATAAGTGTCGAAACCATCTAGAAAGTTATTTCTAATTTTTCAAAAGTTCAGTTAAAATCGATTCAACATAAAAAGAAATACAAGTTTTCGAGCATTCATGGCGAGTAATCGAAAGCTGTTTTTATGCTGCCAAAATTAAAAAAGAAAAGTATCGATCCAACTACTCTTTATTTGATTATGAGACCCAAATTGAATGTTTAAATACTTTCATTGTATAAAATGATATATCCGATTAATAGATATTTCCGATTAATCGAGATTAATTTTTTGGCAAAAATGATATGAAACTAACCATGTCAATCAATCCCAACAAATATCAAATATGAGGTTATTTGTGATGAAAATAACGATTTAATGAGCTCCGAAAACAACAAATTGGTTAATCATAACGTTTGGAGCCCGGCAGGGTGATTTAGATTCTGCAACTAATTTAATGAGAACTAATTCAATCAATTTGATGGCATAATTCAATCAATCGCCACAGAATGTCTAGAATTGAACTAAATCGAAACCACAGTTTAAAAGATGAAAAATTATAAAACGTTATACAACTATCTAATGAAAACCAAAATTTCAATCAACATGAACAACTCAAATCACTGGTAATTATGTCTGAAAAATTGGTTTCATCAAGCACTAATAGTGATAATTTCTTGAATGATGATGAAAAAAACCCGGTAATAACAACAATTTTATCTGCAGACAATGAAGTTATACAATTAACAGAAAAAGATGCTGATCAAGCTTTGAAATACGCATTAGCTCATAAAGATGATGGATACCAAATTGATGAAGCTTCTAATAGAAGAATTTTGAGGAAAATTGATACTTTTTTGTTACCTATAATGTGTTTATTGTATTGTTTTCAATTCATGGATAAATTGACTACTAGTTATAGTGCAATTTTAGGATTAAGAACAGAATTACATATGAAGGGAGATATGTATAGTTGGACTTCATCATGTTTTTACTTGGGATATTTAGTATTTGAATTTCCAGCTTCGGTCTTATTGCAAAGATTTCCAGTAGCAAAAACAGTTAGTACATTTATTATTTTATGGGGTATGATTTTAGCTTTAAATGCTGTTCCTCAATATGCTGGGTTGATCGCATTAAGAACTATTTTAGGAATGTTAGAATCAGCAGTGACACCAGCATTCGCAATTATAACCTCACAATGGTACAAAAAGGAAGAACAATTTTTGAGAACATCTTGGTGGTTTGCATCAAATGGTATTGGAACAATTCTTGGTCTGGCCATAAGTTATGGGTTATACACACATCAACATTCATACCTGTTACCAGCATGGAAATTAGTATTTATTGTCACTGGTGTTTTGACTATTTTCCTTGGGTTTATCATCTTATTTCATGTTCCTGATACTCCAACTCAAGCATGGTTTTTGAATGAAGAAGAAAAAGTGTTGGTTGTTGAAAGAATTAGATCAAATCAACAAGGATTTGGTAATAAAAGATTCAAGAAAAAGCAATTTATCGAAGCTTTAACTGATCATCGTACTTGGTTATTTTTTTTCTTTGCATTAATTGGTAATATTCCAAATGGTGGACTTTTAGGATTTGGAACTATATTATTAAATGGTCAATTCAAATTTAGTACATCAAAATCGTTATTAATGGGAATGCCACTGGGTGCTGTTGAAATCGTAGGGTGTGTCTTACTAGCTTGGACTACAAGATTTTTCAAGTCTAGAATGTTAATTGCCATTTTTGCAACAGTTCTTTCAGTAATTGCTCAATGTTTGTTAGCTTTTGCACCAACAAATCAAGGTAAATTAGCTGGATATTATCTTAACAGTATAGGACCAGTTGGGTTTATTTGTATAATCTCACAAATCTCATCGTCTGTTGCCGGTCATACCAAAAAAATCACTGTGAATTCACTTTTATTAATTGGTTATTGTGTTGGAAATTTAATTGGACCTCAAACATTTGTTGCAAAAGAAGCTCCTGATTATAGAAGTGCTAAAATTACTATTGTTGTATGTGGATTTCTTGATTTATTCATATTAATTGCAATTTGTATTTCATACTTTTTGGATAATAAAAGAAGAGATGCTAGATCAGGTAAAGAAGAAAAAACTGATGAATTATTTGAAAATTTTGAATTTGCTGATTTGACAGACAAGGAAAACCCAAGATTTAGGTACGCTCTATGAGATATGTTTAATTTGAATCGAAAATTAATTAGAATGTGAATATTATGATTTAGTTTGGAATAATCTGCTAAAAATTACTTCTTCTATATTGACATAAATTATCATGAAATTTTACAAATGTCACGTGTGATTAATTATACGTTGAAACAATTGCAGATCATATCGGGATTCAATTTTTTCTTATCTTCTTTTTCTTTTTTTTCAATTTCCCCTTAATTAAGTAAGTAGCGGAACCAAAATAATATATCAAGAACTTAAAATTTTCTTGGAAAACTAATTATTCCGTAGTGAGCGGAATTTATGAGAGTGAATACTCCACCATTGCTTGATTAGCCTGAATATAGCCCACACTTTGGTTTGAAGCTTGATAAACATCTTATTTCATTTAATCGCACCGGCTACGGATCGGTATTCTTGAGCCGTGAAATCTGTCACTGTTATTTCATTCATTTTGAAGAGGTTTAGTGAATAATAGAATTATTTGGGCAGATCTCTAGAAATTCTTCGAAAGAATGGAATATCCCAGTTTATAGTTTTTGTACATTATGAATCGGCAAGTAAGTACTAGATTCATGCTGTATAGGTATGAATATTTCGGTGCATTTGTGATTATTGTTCCCATCGGTCCTAAAGTACCTCAAAATCTTATCTTGAAAATTTTGATCTAAATTACACAAACCTCATAAATTTAAAATTTATCAATTGTTTGAGATAACAATCACAATTATTGTTATCAGATCAGTAATGTTGGTGCATTATTTAAATCAAGATAACAATTTTATGCTGCACAGAATGAACAGGCGGTTATAGAATTAAGTTCTATGCATCTTTACTTGAAATTTTCACGCTTTAGAATTTGAGTCCTTTAATGAAAAATTGATGTATGATTCCAAGTCATATAAAATTCCAATTACATCTGCAACTTAATTCAAATTCGATGAAATAATTTATTTTCAACTATACTACAGAACGTTCAATATGCTTTCAGAGAAAGAGGATCACCAAACACAACTAGAACCAATAGTATCTTTCACAAAAGATGATCTTGAGGACAAAAATTTACATGTTTTAACAACAATAATATCTCCTAATGGTAAAGAAGTTGAAATCACAAACAATGTTGATCAAGCTATGAAATATGCTTTAGCTCACAAAGGTGATGGTTTTGAGTTGGATGAAAAAACGGATAAGAGAATTTTAAGAAAGATTGATACTTTCTTATTACCAGTTATGTGTCTATTATATTGTTTTCAATTTATGGATAAATTAACCACAAGTTATAGTTCTATTCTTGGATTAAGAACAGAGTTAAATATGGTGGGTGATATGTACAGTTGGACTTCCACTTGTTTTTATTTGGGATATTTAGTATTTGAATTCCCTGCCTCAATGTTATTACAAAGATTTCCAGTTGCAAAAACAGTCAGTGTTTTTATTGTTATATGGGGTATGATTTTAGCATTATGTGCTGTACCTAAATATCCTGGTTTCATTGCTTTAAGAACTATTTTGGGGATGTTAGAATCAGCGGTAACCCCTGCATTTACCATCATTACTTCACAATGGTATAAAAAAGAAGAACAATTTTTAAGAACATCTTGGTGGTTTGCATCAAATGGTATTGGAACAATCGTTGGTTCAAGTATTGCTTATGGTTTATACACACATCAAGATTCATATTCTTTACCAGCTTGGAAATTAGTTTTTGTAGTTACTGGTGTTTTAACTATATTTCTTGGATTTGTCATCTTTGCTCATATTCCAGATACCCCAGTAGGAGCTTGGTTTTTAAATGAAGAAGAAAAAGTATTGGTGGTTGAAAGAATTAGATCAAATCAACAAGGTTTTGGTAACCCTAGATTTAAAAGGAAACAATTTATTGAAGCATTGACTGATCATCGTACTTGGTTATTCTTTCTTTATTCATTATCTTCAAATATTCCTAACGGTGGTATTACAAGTTTTGGTACAATTTTGTTGAACGAGCAGTTTGGATTCACCAAAGCAACTTCTTTGCTCATGCAAATGCCTCAAGGAGCAGTTGAAATAGTTGGTTGTACACTTTTTGCATATTTATCAAGATTTATTAAATCAAGAATGTTAGTAGCTATTTTCACAACTGTAGTAGTAGTGATGGCTGAATGTTTACTAGCATTTGCACCAACCAATCAAGGAAAATTAGCTGGCCTTTATTTATATACACTTGGTCCAATTGGTTTCATCTGTTTGATTTCCCAAATTTCATCGTCTGTTGCCGGTCATACTAAAAAAATCACTGTAAATGCTATATATTTAATTGCTTATTGTGTTGGTAATTTGATAGGACCACAAACATTTATTGCAAATCAAGCACCTGATTATAGTGGAGCCAAAATAGCTATTGTAATATGTGGAGTTATTTCATTATTTTGTCTTATTGCAATTTATTTTTCATATCTTTTGGAAAATAAAAGAAGAGATAAATTACCACCCGTTGATATGTCACATATTGAAAATTATGAATTTGCTGATTTAACTGATAAAGAAAATCCAAACTTTAGATATGCTATCTAGAAAATGTAAAGCTGGTCTTTGAAATTTAAAACGTAGAAGTAGATATATTTATTGATAGACAAATAAACGTTTTTTGCGGCAAGATTGTCTCTTTGTTTACATTTGACTTACATGATTCAAATTTACGCGACCCAAAATTAGTGTTAACTTCAATTAAATCAACTAGAATACCCTCTATTGCTATTTCATATATATCATGGAACGTGATGTATCTACTATTATTGAACATCTAGAGTCTCAAAATCTCAATGGTATATCCACTGGTTTGTATTTGCTAGAAAATTTACTTAAAAATTTATTACCATCGATTGAGAAATCATATCGAAAGACAACTACACAATCAACACCACATGCTCAACAAGTATTAGAATTTTTGGACCTACAAAATAATTTTAGTTTTAATTTGACTTCGGTTTTAATACGCATTTATCGATATGACTTATCGCCAAAGGATATATTAACAAGTAACAAATTACTACAAGGTTTGTTATTACTACATCCACAATCAAAAACAGTATTTAATAAAAGTGAGAATATGGAGCTTATACTTGAACTACTAAACTATAGTTTTTCGGGTTATGACCAAAGTCTAAATATAATTATATCAGCTATCACAACATTAATGCACATTTTGCTTAAAAATTATAATAATTACAGAGTTTTTGAAGCAAATAATGGTTGTAAAACAATTATTAAAAATTTAAGATTAAATTCAATAAATGATATAAATAATTTAAATGATTTAGAAAATAATTCCTTATCTTTAGTTCAACAGAATTTGAATTATAAAATCATTGAGTTTTTGATGTTTTATACTATGGATGAACAAGATAATCCTAATCCTATAACTACAGAAGAGAAAGTTGCATTTTTCAAAGATGAATTTCCAGAAATCAATGCTTTAGTCGAGAGTTTAAATAAATTGATTGATCTATAATGAATCTATATGGACTAAATTAAAATTTTAAGTTGTAATTTTTAGTAAAATTAGCTTGAGCTCTTGCCTTTTTTTCTAGATGATTAGATTGTTTAGATGAAGTAGATATAGATGTGACTTTATCCAAACTGTTTTGTAAAGGTCCTCTTTTTTGCAAAATTTGATTATTTGAGATTGAAATACCAGAAGTTAAATCTGACATCAGTTTTCGAGTTGAATATAAGGATTGTTGATTTTCGTTAATTAAAGGAATTCTGTTGCCATGTTTTGTCGATTCATTATTTTTTACATATTTTGGGATAGGTTTGTACGGGATAACATGATCAGTATCATATCTTCTTTGTTTTAAAGTTAATTCAGCATCTTCATCTATGTCAATTGAACCATCATACTTGTTTTTATAATTTAAACCTAATAATTTCCTTTGCTTTGTGCTCAATGGTAAATCCCAACACTGATCCTGTCCTTTCATCAATTTGAAAAATGAAAATAATATGTTGATTATAGATGGTAGACATATTAATCTACTGACTAGTATAAAATAAAAACTATCAATTAGACTGCCATCTTCAATCTTCTTATCTATACCAGTCTTTATCATTTGGATATACAAAGGCTGAGCTTTTAGATGCAACTCATAAAGAATAATACCTTTCTTAAATAAAGACCTGAATAATAAAATAATCAACAAATATAGTATATTTCGAATGAAAACTTTCATATAATATTCAAGATCGATTTGTCTGGCAATTGCTTCTTTAACGATTGGGCTTTCCCAAATTCCCGTGGGATTATCATATTCAGGATTGAAATCAATTAAATCTTCATTGGCAAATTCATTTTTGATGCTGTCTATGACATCTTTATAATCATGGGTTTTCACAGTAGTTTCATAATTGTATAATTTTGGAATGTTGTATTTGGTCTTTGACGGTGATTTCAAATTTTCACTAATATTGACGTTTGGAGGAAGACAATCTTTAATTTCATTATATATATCCTTATCACTAGAACTAGGTGGTTGATAATATAATGGACGATCATTCTTTTGTATCTTATCTTTGGCTATACTAGATTTATATTTCTCTTCATTTATGGCTAGTTTTGTCTGTAGTAGTCTAAAATTTATATCACTCAATGATGGTTCTTGTTGGTTCGATGCTGTATTTTTCAACTCTGATAATTGTGTTGATGCTTTCGGTTGTGATTTGAAATCTATTCTTGATGCTGCAGAACTTGGTAAAGTAGTCAATGAATTGTTATTGCCAAATGTTGTTGTACTTGAATTATTGATTGGCCGCGTGTTTGATCCAGTTTTCATCGAATAATCCCGAAAAATTCGATCAGAGTTCAAAGCTGTTGTCATAGTTTCAATGATTCATTCAAAACAAGTTGTTATTCTAGTTTACATTTGTGTTTATGTGGAAAAAGAGTCACGTGAATCTTAACTCGATCTCATTACATGCAAACAAACTTTAACTTACAACTTTTTTTTTTCACTTTTCAAAACATACTTTTCTTTGATTAATCAGTTATAAATAACCTTATAATGGTATGTTCAATAGCCTTAAAAAGATGATCACATGATGAATAAAATGTTTACACAGACCTGTACTGAGATGAAGATTACGATTTTCATTCTTTGAAGGATAACGACATGCCTCTTCTGACATGTAATCTTTAAATTTACTTGATATATTTACTAACCAAATTTAACTTATAGAATGAAATGTGACTAAGAATTTATTGATGTGGAGAGATATTGAGGAAATACTTATGTACATTTAAAATAAAGTAGTCAGGTTTGCACTCTCTTGTCAATTGTGACAAATTTCTTCGAGTCAAGATGAATTAATTAATATTTGATCAAATTGAAAAATTCATCGACAGAATCTATCTCGTAGAAGTTAGTTGACAAAGATCGCACTAAGCAGACGTTTCTCTAATTTCAAAGGACATGTTGATTTTCTATTTGTAGATCATCTTAAATTTTCTAATTACCTCTTGACATCTGACGCCTCTACATAAGTCAAATCGCTATTATTTCTGGTGAAGGTATATCAAACTACATTTCAAAATCTTTTACGTTATTTTGTTTTTTATATATTAACAGATCCTAGAAAAAAGACTAAATGCTACATTTATTTATATCATTAAAACCCCAAAATAAAATGAATATATTATGTTTTCCAAGAAAACAATTTTTGATGATGAAAAGATGTTATTATACAGAATGATAATTATATTTATCCAATCATTTATTTTTTGGCAGTTAATCTTCTTAAATAGAAAGCTAATTCTTCACCTTCTAAAATGTAACCATCACATCTTCCAGATTGACCTGGTCTTGATGAAATGACAGCATATAATCTACCAGCACCGAATTGTGAATCAACAGCTTGTTCAATGGCAGCAGCACCTGATCTACCAGCTAATTTTCTTTCTAATTTTCTTGATTTTTTAACATCTGAAACTTCAGTTGTAGCTGGAGCATGTTTCTTTTTACCTAAAGTTGAACCATAATGATTTTCATACCATTGTCTAAATGGAGTAGCATCAATTTGTACAACAGCTGATTTGGTTAAAGTATTAGTTCTAACTAATTCATTATTTGATGGATGATATACAACACCTGCAATTCTAGTTTTTCTTGAAACACCTTCTGAAGCCCATGAGAAGTTACCGGTTTCAATTCTTAAAGCTCTGAATTTTTCATTACCACCTCTAGTTCTGACACTGTGAATTCTTTTTGGTCCGATTTTGGTATTGGCTGATTGTCTACCTAATTCGAACTTTCTCTTTTTTCTAAATTGAGCTCTTTTAGCACCAGTGGCGGCTCTTTTATGACGTGAATCTCTAGAAATACCCATATTTGCCTATTATGAATAGTTAGTACGACTAATTCTTCAATATTGATGTGTTTTAATTTGCAATGGATTTCGGATCTAAAAGTACTTTTGAATTATCTCTCTTATTTCGTTGTTACAAACTTGGAAGTCTACCCTTCGAAGATTTTTTAAATATAACTTGTGGTGTAGTTGTAGAATTCTTTTATATTATTGTAAACTTAATTTGATCTGTATTTGATTAATGTTAAACTTCAGCACTTTGCTTTTGTTAACTCATGATTACGATCTCTTCTTCTCCATTAATGATCATTATAATCCAATATCACATCTATAAATTCCGTTTAATATTGTGGTGAACATACAATTCAATATCACTGATGTACTAGTATAAAAAAGAATCTGAATATAGTTTGTTACTTTCTATTTTATTAAACAGTGCTTGAAAAATTTTTTGGTGCGTATAGAAAATTGATAGAGGAAAAAATTGGTAGCAAAAGTTTTTACACAGAAACTGAAGTTTGTTAGTATTGAATTAGTTATGACGCACATGGTAGTACTAACACGATTATAGATTTATCGTGCGAGCTTGTTTGTTATTAAATTACATCACGTGTGTAAAATTTAGAAAGCGTCAAAACCCTAGCTGAATGTTTCATTACGATGTCAAACATAAAACATGAATTTCTTTTTACAAATAATGGTCTAATGACACAAATTGAAAGCTTATTATCGATAAGATCAAAAATGAAATATTAGATGATCTCATTTTGTTAAACCAAAATATTTCATTACATCTTAATCACAGCATAGATTTTCACTAATGGAATCAATATATGATGAAATAGAAATAGAAGATTTTACATTTGATCCAATAACTCAATTATTTCAACATCCTTGTCCTTGTGGTGATAAATTTGCAATTAGTTTAGATGATTTAAAAGATGGAGAAGATATAGCTGTTTGTCCAAGTTGTTCATTAATGGTTAAGGTTATATTTGAACTTGAAGATTTACAAGAATATATAGATGAGATTAGTGGCTAAAAATGAGGTTGGAAAAGTAAAGAATCATTTATTTGATTTACAATAAGACCTTAACCCATCAACCAAAGCGTATTGGATTTAATATAGAATGCACTGACAATCGAAGTTTGTGGCCAAATGTTGTACTTCTATTTATCAGTCAATTTTGATACTCAAATGAAATGAATTAGACAATGTCACTTGGAGAAGCATCAGAATCATCGAATGCCAATCTCAAAATATAACACTTAAACGGTTTTAGATATATTAAACGGTTCAAATTCAGTTGGAATGAACTCATAGTCGAGACATTTGAAGTAAATAAACCATACTTCATTCATTCGCGCAATTAGTTGAAATTCAACTTTGATATTACCAATTTTAGATCCGATGGCGTGAAGGGCGAGATTGATTGATAGTGAGAGCATTCGACCACCGTTGCATTGACGCTGTCTTGGAGCAATCTAGGCTCTTCGGCTTCGAGACGGTGGAAGTATCACGAGGAGTGCTTCAGGATTTATTAGTATAGGTTAGTATAGACTGAATGTATTCCACAACTAAAAGCTGATGGATCATGTTGTAGAAATGTCTTTTCTCGCACCATCTTTTTAGTCCAAACAGAGTAGACTAAGAGAATTTAAAATTGTTTCATTATCGTGAATTATCATTAGCTATTTACTTCACCCTATAAAACCTTATGATTTTCTAAATTCATTAAGTACAGGATATATAGCTTCAAAAGCAGCATAAATTTCTTCTCTTTGTTTTGCACCAGTTAAAACAATTTTTCCAGAAACAAAAATTAATAAAACAATTTTTGGTTTAACCATTCTATAAATTAATCCAGGAAATAATTCAGGTTCATAAGAAGAGAAAGTACCATGACTAAAAGCTAAACCTTCTAATCTTATTGGAAATTTAACATCACATGAACCAACAATATTTTGAATTTTAAAATCAGTAAATTTTGCATTAAAACCTAATTTTTGGATAATTCTTGCATATTTTCTTGAAGCTAATTTTGAATCATCTTCAGATTTTGCACCTGTAACAACCATTTTACCACTTGCAAAAATTAAAGCAGTTGTTTTTGGATCTCTTATTCGCATTATAACAGCAGCAAAACGTTTTGGATTATATTCTGCATTTCTTGCATGTAATGCTATAGTTTTTAAATCTAATCGACAATCTAAATTTACTGTTGCTACTATATTTTGTAAAGTTGGTACTATACCTGATGTAGCACCATCATCTTCATCTTGTTTTGGTTCTATTATATCTGAATTTTGTGCTTGTTCTTTTTTTATATTTTCTTTTCCTTCTTCTTCATCTAAACCTTTTGGGAATAATAATGAATTTGGAGCTGTAAATACTTTAGCTTGTGCTGCTGTATTTGGTAATTTCAAAGAATCCATTTTTTAATTTTTATTGTGTATCTTTGATATGTTGATGTGAAATGATTAATAGTTAATGTAAATGCAAATAAATGTGAAAACCCCCAATGTATAAAAAAGCCGTTTTAAAATAAATGATGATTGTTGTTGATTTTATATGATAATGTTGATGTTATAAATATAAATTCTTTGGTGAATATATATTTAATTGTTTGATGTGAAATGAAAATAATTTAAATAATAATAGTACAAAATATTTGTTTTAGATTTTGAATGGTATTATAATGATAATAAATTTGTGTAATTTTATGCGTAACAAATTTTCGTTTAAAATCAAATAAACAAAAAAAAAAAGATAAATGATTTGAATTGATAATAGTTGAGATGATAAAAACTCAAAATGAATGAATTAGCTTTCTATTCTTCTATATAAAATTATTCAACTTTTGAATATATATTGAATATTGTATGAATATATTTTATTTAAAAAATATAATAAGTCCCACTGATAAATTAATATAGCGGTTCGTTTTTTTTTTCTAATGTGCGGTCGCGCGTTTTGAAAAACCTTTTTACAAAAGTAAAAATTTTAATTTGTTGGGGAATTCTCGTTCTATTTATATAAATTGTTAAAAGCCGGGTAAAATGAGATTGGAGAGAAAAATTTTTAACTACAACAAGTAAAGAAATCTGTAATACACATCAATTTGCTTAATCAAAACATTATTCAAATGACTTCTTAATAAAACATGGCCCTACAAATTCAGTGATATATATGAGTTGTTATCTTTGTTCCCATTGATCTATTTATCATTCCAATTCATGATAGTTTTGCCCTCCAAATTTTGAAGGGAAAAAAAAGAGTTGCTGGCAATAGAATTTTTTTTTTTGCTCTTTCTCCTTTTTATTTGATTTGTGCACACAGATTATTTGTCGTATATTTTTTATGACGTAACATGTTCACGACACTGACTTTAGCTTGGTTAATCATAATTAAATATTTTTCAACGGATCAAAACTTATTTTAAAGATAATTTTAGTTAAATACAATTGATCTTAAGGGATTTATTTGATCTACTGTGATATGAAATTGATCCACTTGCTAATCTTCGACTGGTACATCTATATGGTGAATCTCGTAGTCTAACACTGCTGCAAGTATTGTGAGTATTGTTGTAGTTTCCCAGGTACCTGTTACGGACTTGGGCAACTATAACAATACTCTTGGTGATCAATTTCACTAACAGTGATTCGATCAATCTAGAGTAAATTTGAAAAAGTAATTCGTAACGGATAACCTTTCTTATTTTATTCATCTAACGCTATATGTAATTTGTTTTACAAAGTCAGGACTTGACCAATGCAAGTTTTAAATTCAACTTGAACCTCTTCCATTATCAATTAATTTCAGGCAAACATCCTTACTGTATTGCTTTGTGTTACAAAGTAAGTTCTACGAAGTAGATAACTCCCGTTATCACTCTTTCCCACTATGACGTTAAGCCTACTCATAACTTGACCATTTGTAAAACCTTTTTCATATATTGCTAATCATTCCTTTCATAAACCATCATTATCTTTCTTTTAATAATTTATTTCTCTTTTCCCTTTTCTTCAATCTTTCAATTTTTTTAGCATTCATTTTAGCAGCCATTTTTTCATATCTTTCCTTTTCTGCTTTAATTTCTCTTCTTTTCTTTAAATCATCAATTTTTTGTTTCTTTATTTGATTTTTTTCATCTTTTAATTCTTTTAACCGTTCTTTATATTGTTGCTCCTGTAATTTTTTCAATTCTCTTTCTTTAAATGAATTTTTTTTACTTATTCCTAAAGTTTTTACTCTGAAAGCATCTTTTTTTAATTTCCAATCTTTACCATTTATTCGTGATCCTTCTCCTTTATCTTTAGATACTGATGGGTCAATATACTTTTTGGGTATTTCGTTATACTGTAGATTTGATGTAGAACTCATTTAGTAATGTTTGGATGTGGGGATGATTTTGATAAGTTGATTTGGTTAAATTCATAGATGAGATGATAATAACTTTAATTTTTTTTGTCGTAAATCTTATCATTTGTCAATTTTAAAATTCGCGTCATGGAATACTTCAGACATATGCATTGATTATAAAGTCAGTTCCATATCTTGACATTTCGATCACCTACCTAGTTTCTACCTCCTACTAATTTGGCGAAAAGACGGGTCAAAACTGGATTGGGTGTTTTTGAATCTCTCATCCCGTTTGGTTTGTCATAAATTGATCTTAAGAGAAGCATAATTGATCAAGTACATTTCCTGATCTATGTGAGAGCTAATACCCTTACCTTCAGGTCAAGATAAATCTTTTATTCATCATATACAGTTTCATGTTTATCAATAATTAAAGCAGCAGTTCTAATCCATTTTCTTGATCTTGTATATTTACTAAATCCATCTTTATATCTTGGATGTTCCCATTTATTATCATAATAAACCCAACCATCTCTACCTTTCCCCTTATTAAATTCATTATCAACTTTCCAAAATTTATCTATCCATTCCCATTGATATACATAAATATCATTTTCAAATATAGGAAATGGAAAATCATCATCTTGATTATTTATTAAAATATTTGGAGCTGGTTGAAAAGTATTATTATAACAAAAATTATTTCTTTCACTTGGATATAATAATGTTGACCAACCTATTCCTAACCATCTTCTTTGATTTTCTAATATTTCAAATACTACTGTTTGTTTTAATTGAGTTGGTGATATCATTTTTTTATTAATAATTTTAAAATTTGATAATGTTGGTAATTTATTCTGATCTTCTGAATCATTGGTAGTTGTTGTTGTTAGATTTGTATTAATTGGTAAGTCAGAAGCATTTGTAAATTCATTTGAATTAATATATTTTGAAACCTTTATATCTAATCCTGTTACATATACAACGGCTATCCTCAAATATAGAGATCTCCACAACAACTGCCTTATAGCGTATGAATAAGGACTATTAAAAGTGAAAATAAAAATTCCAACAAACCATAAATATTTCTGAGGTGGTAAAATTGTTTTAATTAATAATAAATGTATAGGAGTAATCAAAATAGTACCAAAAATTAATCTTGAAAAATTTTTAAATGTAAATGGTAAATGTTTTATTGGTCTTAAAATCATTTCAAATCTAACTGTTATATTATGTAAAGTATATATTACTTCATCAATTGTTGGTTTTTCATCATATTTTGAATCATATATAATTGAACTAATCAGCCATATTAAATTTGCAAAAAATAATGATAATAATATTGGTAAAATAAAATAACTTATTAAATTCCAATATATAACAAGACATGAATATATAGTCATTATTAAAAAATTTCTATAATGATCATCATTTGTCCAAGTTATTGTTTCTAAAAAACTATCTATTAATAATAAATATGGAAAAATTTGTGATAATGCTGTAACTAAAGTTGGTGATTCTATTAATAATTTTGAAGTTGATGATGATGTTAATAATTTTGTATCACTTGGTTCAAATGTAGCTCTTAAATGATTTGCATATTCAGGCATTACTATAGTTTGAATTGTGTGTTTATTTCATTAATATTGCAAAATGAATTGTAATATTCGTAGTAATTCTTGTGTCAATTGATTGAGATTGTTGATTGTAAATGAATGATGCTAGATTCTTGAAATATGGAGAATCAATTTTTCGGTTGTTCTAACATTAAGTAAATTTAATTTTTTTTTTTTTTTTTTCAGAAGATAAATTTTGACATTTAGTGGGGAACAAATTTTGAAACTTCATTTATGATTAAATTGCAAACAATCATCAGAACAAAACCTACGAAGTCTTATATATATTGTGATTATCTGCTTAAAGTTATAGCTATGGATTGTCAAAATTTGAATCATCGATTAGTTCAAAGAATATGAATTCTCCTATAGTCGAGCGTTGCTATCTGCTTGCTCTTGTGATTAAAAACCCTCTTGAATCGAGGAATGCTTACTGACCTTAATGCGGTTTAGTTGGTGTTTGGCTGGTTAGTACCTCTTTACATAAGTTGAGAATTTTTTTGTTTTGAGATTTTGCAATTTGATGTTTTTTGTTGTAACATATAATAAAATCTCAAATTTTCTGCAAAAAACTTTAGGTCTCAAATTACAGCCTGTTCTTATGCTTTTGAAATTTGCTTAATGAACATATCATTCATGTTGTGATTCAGTAAAAGCAATCTCAAAACTAGTTATGAAAATGGCAAAACCGATATTTCGAATGACGAAGCTTGAACTCAGGTTCAAAAAAAATATAATTATCACATAATATGAAAATAAAAGTGAAAAAAATCAATTTCATTAAAAATTGCAGGAAATTCAAATATACCGATACTTTTGATGTTTATCAAGACTTCAGTGCAATGTAATAATCACATGCTCTAAAAGTAACCACAACGTGTTGCAATGTTTGATTAGAGAGATAAAAAAAGGATGAAATATCAACAACATTCATCTAACAAACAGTACGTTTGAGATATCAAGTTCAAATACAGTCCAAACTGATGCCTACTTCTCGTACGGCACGAAACTAATGTTTATATAGCGCATGTTGAAGTCATTGTACAACCATGGAGTCCGGGAACATAAGAACATTATGATACTAATTATGGCTATGATAAAAGTATGTTTTGAAACAAATTGTATAATTATCACCAAAAGAGAAAAATTTGTAAATATTGCTTCTGCTAAAGTCTTTGGTTATTAAATGTATTTTTACCCTTTTGGTACATGAATATGGTGTTTACCTTAGTTTTTATTTTGATTTTCATTTCAATGTTTATACTTTGTTCATTGACGTGTTGTATATGGTGTTGTAAAATTTGTATAGTTTATGTTTGTGTTCTTGTTTTAAAAAATATGGTCGCATATATTGATTTAAAAATGAGATAAAATTTAAAATAACTTGATCCGTAGAAAAGTCTTTAAACTCAAGATGAAGCAAATGTTAATAGAATCATCATTGGTCGTATATAATTTGTTGAAAGACTTTTGATGAATCGCGCGTATGTAAGTCAATTTCTAATTCCAGTGATTTATAAAATTTGAAACATGAAACATTAAATATGAAACACTTAATTATTTTTGTATGTGTCAAAGCTACCAATTACTATGCTCTAATATAGTTTTGTGTAATATTCTTAATTATTCTATTTTAGGTGTGTTTGTGTAACTTTATATATTTTTGTAATCTTCTGATGGCAATTTATTAAAAACATACACACACGAAGAACTAATTATGAAGAGTTAATATACCCAATACTGGTAAATTACTATGAGAATGTAGCCAACCTGCTGTACGGCATCAAATAGAGAGTGTTTAAATAGTTTGAAAGTTGGGGTATTGATTAAAAGCTTTTTTAAACCGTGGTTTATTGAACTCGTCAATGAAATGCAATTTTGCTTGCAAAAAAATAAGAAAAATAAAAAAATTAAAATGGCAAAGTTAATTTTGTGTCTGAATAAAATCTCATCTTAAATTTTGAAACATTTACTATATAAAAAGATCTTTAAATCTACTCATAATTTATATTTCATAAACTCAATTTAAGAATTACGAAACAGATCTTAACATATACAATCGATACAATAGACATAAACAAAAGATATAAAGATGGGATCGAAATCAAATAGTAAAGGTAAATTTTCAAAAAAGAATTTACATTCTAAATATGGTACACCACCAAGTAGAAATTATAATCATATTCATCATATTTCACCAAAAACTACTCCAATAAAAAAGAAACATTATAGAAAATATTATCATGAACAACCTTCTAAAAAATATGCTTATGTTGAAGAACCAGATAGTGAAGCTGAATCAAGTGAACAAGAAGACATACAAGAAGAAGATGATATTGAATTAGAAGATGATCAAGATTTAGAAGATGAAGATGATTTAATGGAAGAAGATTATGAAGATGAAGATGATTTAGAAGTTGGATATGATGATATTCCAGATATTTTAAGAGCTTTAGCTGAGAATGGTATTGATTTGGATGATATTTCATCTAGTTCATCTAGTTCATCATCGTCAAGTGATAGCGATGATGACAGTGATAGCTCATCAAGCTCATCAAGCTCTAGCTCCAGTAGCTCATCAAGTTCATCAAGTTCAAGCTCAAGTTCAAGCTCCAGTTCGTCCAGCTCATCTAGGTCATCGTCATCTAGCGATAGCGATATCGACGATATTGATAGTGATGATATTGATAGTGACAGTTCGTCATCTTCAAGCTCATCATCTAGCTCATCGTCAAGTTCATCATCAAGCTCATCATCAAGCTCATCATCTAGCTCTTCTTCTTCGTCTTCAAGTGATAGTGATAGTGATAGCGATAGCTCCTCCAGCTCCTCCAGCTCCTCAAGCTCATCTAGTTCATCTAGTTCATCAAGCTCATCCAGCTCTTCTAGTTCAAGTGATAGCTCATCAGATGAAAGTTCAAGCGATGAAGAAGATGAAGAAATTTATGAATTTGCCCTTAAACCAAGAAAAAGACGTTATGAATCAAGTTCCGAAGAAGAAGATGAAGAAGATGATGTTGATTTCGTAAATGCAAGTGATATATACGTTGATTCAGATGGTAATGAATATTTAATTGATTTAGATGATAATTTAGTTGATGCTGATGAATTAGCTTATCCAATCATTCATGATTTAAATGATGAAATTGTTGCTTATTATGATGAAAATACATCTGACGATGATGATGATGAAGATGAAGAATTAGATGACGTTGAAGGAGTCGTTCGTTTAATTGAAGCTGATTCTGAAGATGACGATGATGAAGACGACTTAAACGATAGATTATTAATCAAAAATGTGAGAGCAAATGAAGAAAGTGATGAAGATGAAGATATTGATTTAGGTTCTGAACCTGAATTTTTCGAAGTTGATAGTGAAAATGATAATTCATCTGATGATGATGAAGGAGTTGTCATTTATAGAAAAGATGGTTTATGTGATGATTGTGAATGTGAATGTCAAGAAGAAGATGAAGAAGAATCAGATGATGATTTATGTGAAAATTGTAAAAGGGAAGAAGAAGAAGAAGAAGAAGATGACTCAAACGATTTGATTGTTATCAACGATGACGAAAATGAATTTTCAGTAATTGATTTAACTGAAGATTTAGCAAATAGTCAAGATTACGTTTTAAAAGAAATTGATGATAATACATATAAATTAAATGTTAGATTTCCATCATTAGTTAAAGAAGAATTAAAAATTGAATTTTTGAAAAATGAAAATGAATTAGTTATAAAAGGTAAATTAAATTTTAATGATATTGATATCGAAGAAAATGATGAAGATGATGATGATGTTAAAATTACACCAGAAGAATTTGTTGAATATGCTCTTGAAGAAGATGAAGATTCAGAAGATGATGATGATTATTTTGAAGGAAATACTGAAGAAGTTTCAGAAGAAGAATATTCAGGTGATGAAGATTCACTTGTAAATATTCAAAAAGAAAATTCTAAAATTGCCAAAGCTAAAAGAGATTTAATTTTAAAACAAATTGAAGAATTAGAAAAATCAGATAAATATAATGAAGATGAAGATGAAGATTTTGAAATTGATAGTGATAGTGAAGTTGATGAAACTGCTGAATTTAATTGGCCTGAAGATGAAGAAGATGAAGATATCGAAGAAGATGAAGAAAAAGAAGAACAAGATGATTTTCCAATTTTTGAAGCAATTGATTCATCAGATGAAGATGAAGAGATTCAAGAAGATGCACAAGATTTAATTAATGAATTTAAAAATAAAGAAATTCATTTTGAAAAACATTTTCAATTTGATAAAATTATAAAATTTAATAAAATAAAAGCAAAATTTATAAATGATGATGAATTAGAATTAATTATACCAAATGAAGATATCACCACCGAGGAAAATAATTCATTTATAATACCTGTTGAACCTTTAGAAGAAGATGAAGATAAAGAAAGTAGTACAACTGAAGAAATTGAAAATGTTACTGCACCAATATTAATTGGTTTGGAAGATTTAATTGAATAAAAATTATTACTGAGAATTAAAGAGTTTTAAGTGTATAGATAGAAAAGATAAATTTTAAGAATTTAATATATTTTGCCAATCTCTTACCTTTTTTCTAGGTTGAAGTTGAGGTACTTGTAGGTTGTAGGTTGTAGTTTACTCGAAACACAATTTGGAGAATTAAACATCTAATCTAGAAGCTCTTATATCAGCTTTTCAATGAGAAATACTTCATAGTCAGATTCAAAAATAGTGCATTGAACCACTACTTACGTCAGCATCAAGACAAGAATCAACAATAGATCAGACTTATGACAAATTTTGAAGATTTGAGCTAGCCAGTCGTTGCATAAACTCTTAAATCGTTGTCAAATTTTTATTGTGTTGTAGCTTCGTAAGAATTCACTTTTTCAAAACAAAAATAAAGATCACTCTAATATACGAGACAACGCTTTAAATCATCATTCATTTCATAGGTAGCTGCTGTACACAATACATTAACTGATTTTATAGTGTCATCTCAGTATGTCAAGCGCATCATCACACAATCAACGAACAAATGATGATACTAACGGACAATCATCGGCAAGATCATCTAGTACACAACAATCATCAAGACCATCACATCCCAATAGTAATTACAATAATGGATCTCAAAATATGAATAATGGGTCTGATTACTCTGATCTTTTTTCAAGAAGAGACGACAGGCGACCAGTAGCTGCTTCGAATGAATTTAGAGATCGTGGTAGAGAAAGGACAAGTAATGGGCCTACAGATGATGGAAATAAAAGAAAATTTAATGATGATGGTGATAATGCATTTGGATCTCGTCGTCCAAAGCAACCAAGAAGTGATAGAACACAAGAATATCCTCAACAACCTAGGTATAATCGAGATCAACAAGATTGGAATCCTAGAGATCAACATTATCCACAACAACCAAGAAGTAACAATAGATTTCCACAATATCCTCAACAACCTAGATCCTCATATCATCCACAATCTTCCTACTCACAGCAACCACCTAGACCGAGGGATCGATATGAAGGAAATATTGCACGAAGTAGAGATCATCAACAATATCAATCACCAAGGGTAGAGCGTTATTCACCCCATAACCAAAGAGAATCAGGCTCTTCGACATCACATAATGAATCAACCACAACTCAACCTAAAGCTCCAGTAACGAAAGAATCTATTGAATCATCTATTAAAAAATTAGAAGAAAATTTATCCAAGCTTGAAGATGTTCAAAGTATTGATGAAATTAAAGTTATTGATTCCAGATGGGGAGTTAAACCAAAAGGATTCGAACAAGTCAGTGCACCAAGAGCAAAATTATCTGGATTATTCCCTTTACCAGGATATCCAAGACCTGTCGATTTTACCAAATTGGAAGGATTGGTTAAAGACAGATTACTGAATACTAATGATATATTAAATGAAACTTCAAAAATCGATCCTTGTGATTCACGAGCCGCAAAGACTTTAATTATATGTAATATTGAAGAAATCAATTATTTAAAAATTGTTGAATTTTTTAATGATTATTTGAAAATGATTGATTTTGAACAAAGTTCAAGTAATAACATCCATAATAAAAAAAAATTAAAAGATGATAAAACTTTAATTATAGAGTTTAATAATAATGAATGTGCAACCATTATAAATTCATTAAATGGTACTGATTTATTATTCAATGCTTATAAGAATGATGATATACCGAGAAAGGAAATTAATGATAAATATAAATTACAAATTTTAAGACCTCGAGAATATGTTGTACAGGATGAGCCCACTGAGTCTGATGAAATAAATGAAGTTGTTAAAGATAGTCCAAGAAAAATATCAGTTTTAATCACTCCAAACATTACAAATGATCAAGCTTTGGAAGAATTTGAAAAGATCGCACCACTTCAGGGTTTTCATTATTATAGACAAAAGGGTACAAAAGAACCATTAGGATTAGTTGAAATCGAATTTAAAGAACAATTACCAAATATTATCGACTTATTAAAAAACATTTCATTTGTTAATGATGCTTTTTATGCTTGTGTGAATCCTGATACTCCAATTCAAAAAGGTCCAATCAATCACAATACTCTTCTCAAACTTGTTAAAAATGAAATAGTTCAACCACGTAAAAGTTCAAATGTAATTCAATTAATAAATGTTGTTTCTTCAAAAGATTTAATTGATGATTCAAATTTTAAATTTATTAATGAAGATATAAAGTTAGAAGCAAAAAAGTTTGGTAATATAAAATCGATGAAAATTCCAAGACCTGCTAATGATTTTACTCCAGGTTTACAACAATTTGATGTACCTGGATTAGGTAAAATATTTATTGAATTTGAAGATGTAGAAACTGCTTTAAAAGCTATTATGGAATTATCAGGTAGATCTTATAATGATAGAATAGTACTTGCATCTTATTTTGATGAACAAGACTATAAAATGGGGTTATTTTGATAATTCCTTAATCTATATAGAAGTCTCTGCAATATATGCTTTCAATTTTTTGGGAACACTTTTATCAAACCCATGTCTTGCAATTAATTCATATAACGTCTTCGGTAATTCAGGTATAAAACTTAAACTTAATTTTATGATTTCATTTGCTTCTAAATTTGGAAAATTTCTTAAAATTTTCATAGGTTGTTCTGAATTTAAAATTATCGACCTATTTATAATTAATTGAGCAACAATAAATAAAATATTCATATGAAATCCATAAGCAAATAAAAAATCCCATAATTTTAATACTGATTTTAATGGAGGTGTACATGCACTTAATGTTAAAACTGATGGAAATGCATAAATTTCAGGTTTTAAAAATTTTGAATCTAAATATTCACTTAATATTGGATCTATAATTTTTAAAACTGTATCAACTAAACTTAATCCAGTATGAACACCTTCTAAGTTTGGAGTAATATATAATGGAATATGATAAGTTATAATAGTATGTAATATGGCAAATGCTTGTGGTTCACTTTTATGACAACAATAAGCTATTGGAGCTAGTAGTACATTTAATCCTTGAACATATCCTACTTTATTTGTAATTCCAATACATGATAATATTCGTATTAACATCTCTTCATTTACTTTTTGATGAAATTTTTGATCATTCATTAATGTTCTAAATGTATCATTTTTAATTTTTGATAAAATTTCAATTGATAAATTATTTTCTAATTCCGATAGTAGTTTAACATAATTCTTTGTTGGAAATGTTGGTGTTCGACTTAATATTGACCAAACATAAGATCTATAAGGACATTGATCATATCCTTCAGGAATTGTTAATCCTTCAATTAATATCATATATCGTAGTTGTGATAATCCATTTTCTAGAAAAAATTGTGAACTTCCAATAAATTGTTCTATATTATCCTTTTTTCTACCTTTAAACACTTCTTCATTTTCATGAAACATGGTGGAATGGTTTGTAAATGGTTGAATATGATATGAAGAATACTTTATTTTTCATGATTTGTTTTTGTTTACATTTTCCTGATTTGGTGTTGTACAAAATATGGACGCTGCGAAACAAAAAGGAAAAGAAAATTTTTCATAGAGAAAACTAGTTTATAGAACCTCGAGCAAAAGAGTTAGAGTTCAGCAATATACAAATATCAAAGTTTAAGATCATAAGATAGTTCGTGTAGTTTATCGAAGGTAGTCGAAAGTTGATTTTCGAGGGTGACGTACGCGTGTATTGGGCCGGTAAACTTTATTTTTCTGAGCTCTAATAATGCAACACCAACTCATACCCTTATTAAAACTTTCAATATCAAGCAGTACTTGACGAGGCCAGATTATTTTGTCAATGCAACTATGACTCTTTATGCTTACGTGAAAAACATATTGACGAGTAAAGTGGAGAGATTAAATTACTAAAGATATGGTAAATTTAGTACAAGTATGGAATAACCTTTTTTTAAAACGCAACTAGTTTTTTCATTCGAGGTGAAAAAGTCACGTTGGCGCAAAATATTTGGTAGCTCACGGAGGTTATTTTTCCCTCTTCTAGTTTATCTACTTAAACAAATCGAGAAACGAAGAGATTAGAAGTCACACACTCAACTTCTTGACGCTCACCTAAAACTACCAACACCAAGAAAGACGACAAGTCCACCATCTACCGCAGATTCTTCCGCAAATATCATTGCGGAAGCCTTTAGAATAATGAATTTAAAATCAAAAGAAAATATTAGTTCTCATATTAAAGATCATTATGAAACCTTGTTAAACAAAATCTCAAGACTACCACAATACAACCAATCAAACTCCAGAGCTTTGACTGGATATAGTTGATGTTTTAAGTAGATAATCAGGATGAAGTTGACATTCCAGCCAAATCCAATTTGCATTACCAAAAATATTTATTGAGTTATCCGGCGTATGGAAATATTGCTAGATTATATGATGATGCAAAATCAACTGATCGTAAAGTCACTAGTATTATTATGGAAATACATGTTAAAACTTACCGCAAGTGGAAGCAAAACCCAAAAATGACATTGCCAACCATAAATGAATTTGTATCTGAAATGCTACAACATCCTGATTATCTACTTAAAACATCAACTGGCGTAAAACTGGTAAACATGGTTAAAAAAGGAAAATCTAAGGCTAAACAACAGCGAAAACCAAAGAGAAAATCATCAAAATCGACAGCTACTACCGAACATTCAAGTGCTTTAGATGATACAGAAACCGAAGATGATCTGAAATTTGATTTCGCATCCGATGAAGACATAGAATGACAAGGTGGTGAGAAAGAGGAAAAGCATATAGCAAGGTATAGACAATCACCAAATACAAATGATAATAAAACATCATCGTATCCCCTTTCGAAACCGCAAAAACACATCTTCAACATAAAGAATTTCTGGACATCTCGCAAAGATAAAAATCTCATAACTTATGATAGTGGTGCAACAATCAGCATTGTCCACAACCTTTCACTTTTACAAAACAAACATTCATGTGCAGAAACCATCGTAGTGGCTAACAATGAAACACTCACATTGAACACAAAAGGAAACATAACTCTCAAAGTCAACGGTCTAAACATTGAAATAAAAAATGTTTTCTATCATCCACAAGTGCCATTAAACTTACTCGCTTTTAATGCGTTAAACTCGAAAACTTATAGTTTTCTTACTTTACATGATCAATTATTTCTTATTAATAATCATCTACAAACAAACACCTTGATTGCCATCAGAAATCTCAACCAAGAGTTATATCAGGGTCCAATTCAGGGAATTTTAAAACCATGACATGCACAGTCCACTTTCAAATTCCAAAACAAACCATTAAAATTTGTCGGCTTATCTTCAAACATATATTCAAATCCTATAAATTCACCTTTTCATGCAATCACCAATCAATCAATTGTTATAGCAAATCCTGCAGCTACAGATGGTCACAACCTACACCTCAAACTCAACCACACGTCACTTCGAAACTTGAAAAAATTATACCCGGAACAATCTTTCAAAGAACCAGATATTGAGAAGATCGCAAAACTGTATCACATGCACCATCACCAATCAAAAACAAGCTTCACACAATCACTCATCACAAAAAGCCGAATTTATTAGTCGTCCAAACATGAAAGTTCATTCTGATCTCATGGGACCATTCACAAATTCTACGGGGAAAGTCTATGCTACAAGTCTTATCGATCATTACAGTAAGTATGCAGAACTAATACTTACAAATACAAAATCTGAAAGATCTCATCCTCAAAAACTCAGAGTATGGAACAACCGATTCCCAAATAAAATAATTTCATACCGATCAGACAATGGAACAGAGCAACCAAGACTGCAAGATCTAGAATCCGAATTCGGGATAATTAGAGACTCCATTCCAGTTGCAAGTCCGAAGTTGAATGGTTTAGCAGAAAATTTCAACTATCAAATATTGAAAAACGTTTACAAAGTTGTCGTTGGTTTTGATGAAAGAATTTTGGTATTAATAGAATATATCTTGAAGTATGCATTAGTTATATACAATCACACACCCAAAAAGGCGATTAATGATCAGACGCCATATGAATGTTACTACAATTTGCCAAAATACAGAATTACTCCAATTTAATGGGGGTCGACGTCGTGGTAAAAATGCTGTCACCACAAGAAGCAGCTAAATTTGGTTTGTCAACAGAAAAATCATATCCTTCCAGTGTATTAGGTACATTCTTGGGTTACTCCGAAGACAGATATGCTTACTATGTCATGGTATCAGTTCCAAAATTTGAAATCATATTAAGTCCTAACGTTTCGGTATTAAATACGATGCATGTGCTTCATAAATTTCTATCAACCATAGACAAGAAAGATCAATCAGCTTTGGATCATCAATTTCTCATCAATTTCCCATTCACTGATAAAAATACATTCTCCAACGATCATGAAACTCCTCAGGCAAATATTCCCATACACCAAAATATACCTGGATCTACTAGTGATGACGATATGACAATTGATTGGAGTGATACGTGTTCCGAAAATATGAATCCCGATTGGAATCATGAAGTCTTAACAAACAATCATCAAACTTACAATAATCAAACAGCTCCTCAAGTACCTCAAACATACAATAATGAAACAGAACCTCAAGTACCTCAAACATACAATAATCAAACAGAAACTCAAGTACCTCAATTACCGTCCGAAATCAATCATGAATTACATCCAAAACTTAACAACTTGGAAAATATAGAACCTGTCGAAACCGATCATTCTGATCAATTCATTTTTGAAGAAAATCGAGCAAGGGAAGGGTCACTACCTGCACCAGGGCTTGAACCTAAATCATTAGAAGAAGTTACTACAAATGAAAATGCAAACGTCATTGAAGAACCACATTTACCAATTAAGTAGCACTATTATCGACGAGGTCTCCTCAAACAAACAAATTTTAGCAGACACTACACAAGTGTCTAAAATACGAAGACAAGTGAACAGGAGCGGAGATCAATCTTCACATGAGAACCACATTTCTAATCGACTTCAATCAAGAAACGTTGTTAGCAAAAATCCAAGTCACACTCCGTCACATAGGAGGAATCCAAACCAAGATACATTACAATTGCAAGAAACATGGTCAAGAATTTTACGACAACGGGCGCCTGAGAAAATTCAAATATGAATCAAGAGCCATCCAATGTTAATGTGGAACAAGAAAATCAAGTATCTCCAGATTTAGAAAACCGAGATCAAGAAACTGAATTATCAGGATCGAGAACTATTAATGAATCATCATCATCATCATCATCAAAATCTTCAATCACACCACTTGAAAGACTTATTCCTGTTTCAACTACTAAAACACCTGAAACAAAATTACTTGCATCAACAACTATTAATGAATCATCATCATCAGAATCTTCAGTCACATCACCTGAAAGACTTATTTCTGTTCCAACTACTAAAACATCTGAACCACATATACCAGATTTGGCTGATTTATTCACAAAAGCTTTAAGTTTCCCAACATTCGCTGTACACAGAGAGAGAGTACTAAAGAGAAAGGACTGGTAGACATGAGTATTAATACACACCTCAGAAATCGGTATGCATGAAACAAGGGAGTGTTGTACAAAATATGGACGCTGCGAAACAAAAAGGAAAAGAAAAATTTTCATAGAGAAAACTAGTTTATAGAACCTCGAACAAAAGAGTTAGAGTTCAGTAATATACAAATATCAAAGTTTAAGATCATAAGATAGTTCGTGTAGTTTATATACTTATACAAATCGAGAAGACCGTATAGCGTATATATTACAATATTTGGAATTCTACAGCCGCACGAGACATAGACTCTTTTGCAATGCATCTAGACAAGTTAATTCTCTCCAAGTTCCAAGGACATCTAGTTGTTTTGCGGATGGAAATTGAGTATTCTAGTTATAATAGTATAAGTAATCTGACTGCTTTTGTAAAGCATTATCGCCATCAAGTTTAATTGCAGTTTTCTGTAAAGCAGAATCAAATCAAATTCAATATTCTTCTGTTGTGAATTGTTTTCCTTCCATTAAGTCTTTGTTCATTCAATAGCCGCTAGCTGTATTGTATTGACACAGTGACAGAATGACTTAATTTTACTCATATGTCAACTGTTTAGAGGAATTCATCAATTTAGCTCATATTTTGTGTTCGTATTCAAAACTGTTTGAGAAAAAGAATCTCTGAATATTGATCGCACACATCATTCTTAATCACACCAATCTATTGACATAATAATACAACCAAATAATACATATAATGTTTGGACTAGGGAAGTTATTCTACGTGGTAGTTTTAACAATAAATGGTATAGCTGTACTAAGTGAAGATAGATTTTTAAATAGAATTGGTTGGGGATCTACAACATCATCAAATTCAAATGGTAATATACAAAATCAATTTAATCAATTTCAAACAGGATTAGATAGTAGTGAAGGTTCAGTAAAGAAAAAATTAATAAATCTAATAAGTGCTGTTAGAACTTTAATGAGGATACCTTTGATTGCTGTAAATATTGCAATTATATTGTATGAGATTATATTGGGTTAAAAGATGAACGTAACGATTGTATGATGGGAACGACATTAGAGAGAAGTCAACAGTTACTGGGAAATTGGATACATCAAGCATAATAATTTTTGGAGTGAATATATATTATTATCCTGAATCTTCTTGTTTTACATCATGATTTGGAGAACCAGATTGACTTTGTAAACGATCTCTTGACTTCTTAAACAATTCTTCTTGTTGTCTCAATAACTCTTCTTCACTTAATCCTGAATTTTGAAACTTATTATTCCTCTTTTCTTTACCTTTTAATAATTCCTTTTGTTCACTTAGTATCTTATTTATGATTTCAAGATAATTATTGAAATCTAATTCCTCTAAAGCTTTTACCACATGATCAGACGCTATGGTCTTCTTTGCTTCTTTTTCAGCTATATCATTCAGTTGAGTAGACAACATCATTATAAATTCTATACTACATTCCGTTATTGCTTCTCTTGCTTCTTTTGATATTGCAATATCTTTTGGTAATATTTCTGCTATAATTTTTTGGACAGTTGCCTTCGGTAGTGATAAATCATCTGAGTTTGATGGATATTCAGACATTGTGAATTAGTGTGTATGATTGTTTACTATGTAAAAGATCATGAACGTTTAAAAAAGAGTTACAAAATAAACTTCATTTTCCTAGTTGGATTTTATCTACAATACAAACTACTTTTTATCACTTTTTTGATCTATACATTTTCTTCAGGACTTTTTTTCGTTTTGGTGGATCCTCATAATTTCTAGAACTTGGTGGAGAAATAAACATTATCAACAGATTTAGAAATTCTTTAGGTTTTTCAACTGAAATCCAATGACCGGTATCAAATTCTTCAAATTTTAAATTAGTGAAATACTTTTTAAATATCTCGAAGTTATCCTTTTTCACAAAATTTGATTTGATTCCATACATTATTAAAACTGGATTTTCAAATTTAGGAATATTTGAAGGTAATTTTGGCCATGCTCCCATTGCATCTATTATATCATGTTTCCAAAAATTCATTACAGGGACTTTAAAAACTTCTTTCTTTTTGTCCTTTATTGATACACTTCGATAATCTTTTTGAGTTATTATTAAATTACTCATTAATAACAGTCTACTAATTGGATCTTTCTGATATTTACTTAAAAATTTATTTATATCTTTAACTTCAGTAACTCTTTTACCATTCTCACCTTTCTTATATTCTGCTCCATTCAATTCTACCTCACACATTCCTAATAAATCATTTTTAAATTGATCATCTAAAGGTTCATTATGAGGTGTATTATCAACAACAACTAATTTTGAGATTAATTCAGGGTATAACAAACTAATAAGCATGGCTACTTTTGCACCCATTGAGTGACCCACCAAAACACATTGGTCCCATTTTCTTTCTTTTATAAAATTATGTACATCATGAGCCATTTGTGAATAAGTATGTGGTAAAACATGTGGTGATTCTCCATGATTTCTTAAATCTAATGAATACGTCGGCACTCTAGTTAATTCACTGAATAATCTTCCTATTTTATTGAAACTCAATTTCGATCCAAATAGTCCATGTAAAAATAATACTGGTGTATCAGTATTTCGTAGTTTGATTTTATAAGGTATTAATTGTTTCCATGCTAATTCTATATTCTCGTTGAATGGTAAATCTTTGATACTATTAACATCAAATGTAGCTTTTAGAACCTTAGATTCTACCGGATCTCGTAGTATAGATGTGGTTTTAAAGTGACGAAAGATTGTTTTTATCATTTGCATATCTGGCAACCAGATCGGACTTTAATTTTTTTTAAGAGCATTCATAAACTTAATTACAAAAATCTTTTATAAACTATATAAATTCTTCTAATCACTACCACCTTGATTGTTATTATTATTTCTACCACCAAGTCCTCCCATGAATTGACTAAGCATTGGATTGTTTAACAAATTTTGCATTGCTTGAGGATCAGACATCATTTGTTGAGCTGCTTGCATTATAGCAGGATTATTCATCATTTCAGCAAAATTTGGCATTCCTCCAGCACCTCCTCCAAGACCACCAAGTAAGGAACTTAAATCAGGTAATCCACCAGCACCTGCACCACCTGAGGCAGGTTCACTTGACCCTGCATCTCTATCATTAGTTGCAATTGAATCTTCCAACAATTCTTCAACTCTCTTCTTTGCAGTTTCATATCCTTTTTTCATAGCTTCTGATTTTGAATCTCCTTCAACATCTAAACCCTTTTTATAAGCTTCCATTGATGCTTTTGCATCACCTAAAGCATATTGAGCTAAACCTAATCTTGAATAAGCTTTTGAAAAATTTGGATTTAATTTTATAGCTTTTTCAGCATCTTCAACTGCTTGTTCATGATTTTTAGCTGATGAATGAGCAGCTGCTCTATTTGATAAATAAACAACATTTGTTGGATCTAAACCTATAGCTTCTGTATATTTTGCAATTGCAGTTGGATAATCTTTTGCCGCCATTGCTCTATTTCCTTCTACTTTTAATTCATCAGCTTTTTTTTTGGTTTCTTCATCAACTTCAATTGGAGTTGGTTCATCTTGTTTTGAAATGGTTTGATTTTTTAATAATTCTGGTAATGATTTACCTCCGAATTTAGAGGCAATTGTGTTTTTATCATCATCTTTATTTACTTCAAATGCATCTGCAATACAGTCAATTGCTATATCCATGGATTCTGCATAATCTTCAGCAACTTCCTTTGATGCTACCGCTTGCTTTAAAAAGCCTATGATAGACAAAGCAATGTCTTTGTTGGAAACGGTTGACATGGTGGATTTGGTTTAATAAGTCTGAAACGTGTAAATATAAATCAAGAGGAAAAAAAATATTGAAAAAAATGTCCGATCTTAAATAATATTTTATTACGAGAAGATTCTTCAACGAAATGAACTAATTTTTAATTTTATACAAAACTTTATTCAATTCTAATAGCCTTTTCCTTGAATTTATGAGTTCTTCTTTAAGGTATATTTTTATTCCAAATTGTAAAAAGTTGGTTTTAAATTTTAAAAAATTTGAAATTTCTGTTGCAATTAATTCAAATTCATATTTTAAATCAAGGTTTAATTTCATTAATTTTTCAACAAGTGAAGCTTTGGAAAGGAGTAAATCTTTATATTTTGATTTCTTTGTTTTACCAAATGCAAAAAATCCTTCACTTTCATTATCTTGAACATTATTTTGGGTGACTGAGTATACAGAGCTATTAGTTCTAGTTTTAGTTAATGCAGGTTCTCCTTCTGTAGGTGGAGGTGGTTCTTGTAGTCTCAACTCTGTATTTATTGAGCGTATATGATGAAAAATATCATTCCATGTATCAATATTTTGAAGTAATTTATGAATATTTTTCTTCAACTCAAAACCAATAAATTCAATCCATTGTAAATAATCAGCTAATTTCCCCAAGCTAGCACTCTGTGAATCGTATTCGGGTATTTCAAAAGATTTTGTAAAAAACTCTTCATTATTGATTCTACTTAAACATAAGTTTTCCACATTTTTCAAATCCAATTGTTTTTGTTCACCTATATCAAGTAATTTTATAAATTTATGTAATACTTGACCCTGATTATTTAGATCCAGTAAAGAAAAATTGAGGAATGTTTGCATTTCTTGAACTTGAGTTGATTTTAGTTTGACATCTCCTAATTTCAGTTTTTCCTCTTCAACAGAGGTTGAAATCCTTTGTTTCAGATCAAGGACAGATATCTCTTCATCAGTTACAAATGAATGATAAAATTTTTGAAGATCAATATTTTGAAAAACCATACTTTGAAATAAAATGTTCAATCTATCTATCAATTTATTGATTCTAAATTTTTGAAACATTGGTGTGGTGCCTGCTCCTATTGTATAATTTCTCCAAAATACTTCAGATTCAGGGATTGTTGACATTGGAAAATTGAGCTTTTTAACGTATAAAACTTGTTTTAATGATTTTAAGGTTTTACTTTTCAGACCACTATCAGTTTTTAGATTTAAAATCCAATCTTTCGAATTAGAATCATATTTTCCATTTAAAACAAATAATTTTGTCGAAGAATCAGGAAAATAATTTTCAAATATATAATTTGATAAAATTTGATCAATTTGTTTCAAATTGTTTGATTTTGATTTATTCGCAACAAAACTTAGATAATCAAACACAGTATAATGATTTCTATTATCTTCAAACATAAAATCTAATCTTTCATCTTGTAAAATATCTTTCAAATTCTCCAATCTGCTGTATTTAACATACGACATTAAAGGAGTTAAACTTTTTGTATTTGTTGCATTCAAATCTATTAAGTTTTGTTTATTTGATAAAATTTGAGTTTGTGGTAAACCCTTTAAAATCACATGCAATAATGTATTACCTGATTTATCCACATGAAGATCAAAATCAATGGTTTTATATTTTTCATAAACAACATCGAAGCCATTTTTCAAAATTTCGAGATAATCAGGATGGTCATAACATCGACATAGACTGAATAAAGGAGTATGTGAATTGTGATCTTTTATCTCCCAATCTATTAGATGACTTAGTCTTGGAATTAGTTTATGCTTGTGAAAAAGATAATGCCCAACGGTCCTCCCCGAATTGTCTTTCATATTCAAATATGAGATTTGCTCTTCCAAAGTCGTGTTATCTAAAATAGTGCTTACCAAATCATCTAAAATTTCATCATCCGTCTCTTCAACCAAAGCAATCACCAACAAATTTTGATTTCTTATCACATTTTTATCAAATAGAATAAAATCAATTGAAAACCAATTAAGATTTTCCATAATCATTTGATAAATTTCGAAATTTTTAACTTTGATTGCAAAATTAATTAAACTTTCACCACTTATATTTTTACTTTTCAAAAAATGATTTAATGGTAAATCAGATTCGGGATCTATCTCACTAAGCATATCCTTTAACTTAGATATATTCTGTTCAAAGACTGCACTCCATAATTCAAAATTTTGTTGTGAACAATGCAATAAATTTGTGTCATGACTCGATACATGACAAATAACTGCATCTAAATTACTCATGATATAGTTAAATTGACCATCATTTGATTTTTCAGTTGCATTAAAATTTAGTATGTAGTAAATTTGAGCTTCTAGGTTATCAATTTTAGAATGAACAACCGTCATAACCAATAACCCCATAAGTGTATCGGCATCAATTACCAAATTTTTATCACTTTTAGATAAAATTTCAATAGTATTTCGAATAATATTGGTTTTCAAAGTCAGATTAGTCATTGATGGATCAGCTAATTTTCTTAATTCTTGAATCGCATAAAATATTCTCGAATATAGCTCATTCATTTGCCACGGTTTATCAATAGGTAAGTCCATTTGATTTAATGATAGACAAGATAAAGACTCGTATTTTGATAGCAGTAAAACTTTCATCGCTTCTTGATCATATTCCATTTTATCATCATTTGAATAATTAAATTGAAAGATTAATTGTGACCACAAGACATCGTATAAGTTTAACTCCACATATTCATGAACTAGTTTATTAAAATCAATACCAGGATAAATGCTAACTATATGATTTATAATATTATACGTTTGTTCACTATTTGGATTTTCAACTTTGACGCTATCCAGAATTATTTTGAATGCTTCATCTACTACTTTTTTAAATTCAGTTTTTATAACATTTAATTGCTTTCTCGTTCGTGTTCGTAGTAGTTGTGATTGAGTATTATTATGATGGAAAAGTCTATAAAATTTATCACTTACAGCTTTTGATAATAAAGGAAAATTTCGTAGTAATTTTTCAAATGTCATTGTATCTAAATCTTCTTGCAGTAGAATTGAACCATTTGATTGTACAGTACTGGTCGGTACTTGATATGGAGGTGTTCCACCAATTAATGAACTTTCAATATAAATAATCATAAATTGTGATCCAGTGGGGAAATAATCGCAAAATGATTTGACATACAGTATAGATGTAATTTTAAGTTTCAAACTCCTTTTAAACCCCTTTCCAGTATAAATCATTCGATTTTTAATTAAGATTTGTTTATTATTCATCGTGTAATAAGTAACCAGTTGTTCTTTTGAAATTGGTGTGATTGTTGATGATATTGGAGCTACAGTCTTAATGACATGCAGTTTAATAAAATCTTCACTATAATAACATAAATCTTTCAATTTTATTTTAGATCTTGATGAGTCTGATGCTGGATCATTAAATTCGTTTAATATATATGCTGGTGGTATAAGTATAGTATATTGATTATGTTTGGTTTTCAACTCTTCAATGACATTTTTAAATGGGGATTTTGAATGATTTGGATTATTGAATATACAATTTAACAATGGATTATATAATGTAGGTAGATGAGTTGTCTTTAGATTATTTTGTACCATACTTTTGGTATAACATTTTGATAGGCGTTTATTCAAAAGTAATGAAGTTGTTAATATTTGCGCTGCCAATTAAAGTTGAATGTCATTCTTTTATTATAATATGTCTGTCTATAAAATACTTAGCATGTAATAAATAATAGATAAAGAATAAAGAAAGTACATTATCCTAATAATTACGAATTTTACAAAATGAAATTTGCAGATTGTAGAATGTAATAATTCATTTTCGAAAATTTCAAGATTATCAGGTTAAATTTATAAAAACTTTAATTGTAATGTCTTTTACGGATATGGTTTACCTTTTTTTTCAAAAAAAAGGTATTTCAAAAAAAAAATTTTGGGGCGGAAATGAAATTAATAGGGTTGACGTAACTCCAAACGATAAAAAATTGCAGTGTACCTAAGTTTAAAAATAATTTTAGACTCGTCTCTACTACTTCACCTTTTTTTGCTAACTCAAGCTTCAACTAATGAACCGTTGCAGGTGCCTAGAACGTTAATGTGAATATAAAGACAATAAGATATACATCCAATCAAAATTTATAGCATCTTACATTATTTTGAATAGAAAAATCCCGCTAAGTTTTATACACAATATAGATTATCAGTTTGATTCCATACCTTTGTATTGTTAAATATGTTGATCGTATTAAAGTTCAATAAATTGTTGAAATTAAATTTGATAAGCTTCAATTATGTGCAGGTCAATTTCTGTTATCAGCAAAAAAAAAAAAACCAAAAAAAAAACCCACACAAATCTAACCTGCGGTATGAATTAAAGATTATGCTTTGTTTAATACTATTTCAACTACGATGATGTTCTATTTTAACTAAGATCCGTTATCTTTTGGAAATAATATATAAAAAAGAAGATGTCTGTATATCAATATTTTCGTTAGTTGCAAAATTTGCTTTTTAAAACCATTATCATCAAACTTCAAATTTTAAACCATCAACAAGAGTTTCCACCTTTTGTCAATATCATATCATTTAAATTCATCAATAAGAGTTTCCACCCTTTATCAATATCATATAACTAAAATGGAGGCAATCAGATCAAGAACTGAAACTCATCTACATAATATTATGTCAAATAGATCTGAAGTTAGATCTATTGACCCAAAACGAAACGCAGGAGATGAAGAATTATTGAATCAAATAGGTTATAAACAAGAATTAAGAAGACATTATAGTACATTTGAGACTTTTGGTATTAGTTTTTCAATTATGAGTTTACTTCCATCAATAGCTTCAATTTTACCAGTTTTATTAGAATCAGGATTAGGTGGTGCATGGTGGAGTTGGTTTGCAGCATCATGTATGATAACGTTGGTTGGATGTAGTATGAGTTTTTTGGGACTGGCTCTTCCAACGTCTGGAGGTTTATATTACTACGCTAACTATTATTCACCTGACAGTATTCGGGTCCCAATAAGTTTTTTGATTGGATGGGCAAATACTTTGGGTCTATTAGGTGGATATTGTTCAATTAGTTGGGGATTTGCGGTTGAAGTCTTATCAGCAGTCAATATTTCGATGGATGGTAATTTCGATGTAACTAACGCAAGATGCTATGGAATTTATGCAGCAACAATAATCTCCACTGTTATAATTGCATGTTTAACTACAAAGAATGCAGCTAGACTACAGGGAATTGCAGTTTATGTTAATGTATTCTTGGTTTTGCTATTTGTGATAGCTGTTCCTGTCGGATATTCCCGAAATCATACGTTCAACACTAGAGGTCAAATTTTTGGAGATTTCACGAATTCAAGGAGTTGGAGTACTGGATGGAGTGTATGTCTAAGTTTACAGGGTGCAGTCTGGGTTATAGGATCATTTGATTCCGTTATTCATTGTTCGGAAGAGTGCAAAGACCCTCAACGTGCAATTGGATTTGGTATAGTCGGCTCAATTGTTGCTTGCGCAATCTTGGGTATTGGAGTTGTGTCAGTTTGTTGTGCTTGTATTATAGATGGAGATATAAGTAGAGTTCTTGAAAGTGAAACTGGATCAGCAATGGCACAAATTATCGATGATGCTCTAGGCCGCAAATGGGCAACAGCTTTCATGGCCTTGATATCAGTTGGCCAGTACATGATGGCGGTCTCCATTGTCCTTGCCATTAGCCGTCAAGTTTTTGCTTCATCAAGGGATTCATTGATCCCTGTTGTATCCAATTACTTGAAATACATCAATCCAAAATACAAAATCCCCGTTAGAAGTACTTGTTTTTGTGGAATAATGGCTCTTATTTTGGGTTTGCTATCATTAATCGGCCCAGCTGGAGCTAATGCTTTGTTCTCATTAGCAATCAATAGTAATTCTGTTGCATGGGGAACTCCAATGTTACTTGTTCTTTTGCCGTACGGTAGAAAAAAATTCATCCCAGGACCATTTTGGTTTGGTAAAACGATTAGTTATTCCATAATGTTGCTTGCAGTGCTTTGGTTAATGTTTATTATTATACTGTCTACATTCCCAGACAATATAGAAGTTGATAAGAAAACAATGAATTATACAGTTGTTATAAATGTTGGTATTTGGATTTTAGCGTTGATCTATTATTTCGTTTATGGTTATAAAGTCTATTCTGGTCCTAAGTCAAACTTAGATGAACCAGAATATTCTGATGGTTCAAGTGTTGCTATTATGGACGAGGTTTTATCAGAAAAGGTGTAACATTTTTTCTCAGACGTTGTTTTTGTGCTTTATTTATTTAGTGTTCGTTTCAAAATTTGCCTTTGTGCACTACTTAATGTAATTAATTTAAAAATTTTCCTCTTTTTTTAATATTATTATTCTTGATTTTCTTCTTCCAAATTGATTGTTGAGTAAGCTGATAGTTTAGCTATTTCTAGTTGAATCAAAGAAAAAATTGTTGAACAATTCCTTATTCTACTCTGCATTTCGATTGATACGATATCATATCCATGAATTCAAAATGGCACATGTAACAGTGAATGAAAACCCAGGACATATATCTTAGGAAAATATATATTGTAGTTTTCATGTATATCTTGGAAAGGTAAATCAAATAATTTTAATTAAGACATTCGAAAACACACTTATTTCGAAAAGTGAAGTTTATCATAGATTTTGGCAAGTTTTCGAACAATTAAAATCTTCAAATTGATCACAAGTAATAGCTTTTTGCAAGAATTATCATAGATTCCTCAATTTACTAATCTGTCCATATGCGACAGTTTAATTGAAAGTGGTAGTACGGTCGTTAGCAAAAAAACATCACAAAGTACTTTCTAAAATCACTACTACAAATTTGATTCGTTACTCTAATCTTCATTTTGCTTTCTGAATGAAAAACTTTCATGATTTTGTTAACCGGAATAATGGTTTGAATGTTTATAGCCCAACCAACTAAAGGAAAAAGTTAGCAACTGACTTTAACTATATAAAAATTAAATGTAGCTACATAGTTTTTTTTTACAATCCATTACACGTTTATTAGATTCGTAGTCATAGTTAATAAAGTTTCTACTCGAAAATTATATTTTCACATTGACAAGTCTTTGCGGTAAATCTGATCAACAGAAGGTACTTTTATTGGCAAACGAAATGAATTTCCATTCATATTTATACCCTATATAATTTGATCACTCAATCTATAATATCCATTCCGAGACAGTGTTTAATACTTGCTAACATGCAAAAGAGTGATAACGTCTCCGAAATAATTATTTGATTGGAATATTTCATTTCATGTTTCAATTTTAATTCTACTTGCAAAAAGATTATCATAGAACGTAATATTTGAGTCAACAATCATTTATTGAATACGAGTAATTGTTAGTTAACTATAAAAATTAACTGCCCTATTATTCAACGCGCAAACTTTATTTAAAATTTGCGCAAATCAGCCAGACTATGCAAATCTTGATACTTTCATAATTAATATATTCTATTGTATACTCTATTGTCATGAGATAAACAATATACAAAGTAAACAAAATACGAGATTGGCTTGTTGAATTGAATACATTGTATTCGAGAATCAAGCAAATTTTTTCGTTAATACTTTTACAAACAAAGACTAGTTTCGAATAGACCATATTTGAAAGAACTTAGTTCTGATATTTTATGTACAATTTATCTTTAATTTCTTAGGCTAAACCCAATATAGGGTAAGGCTAAATTTTATTCTAAGATGCATTAAGTCCTGTGATATTAAAAATTTTTTAAGCAAGGGGTTGCGGTAGACGGATATTGAGTATTAAGAAAGCCAGTATTTCAGTAATGTACCAGCATTGAAAAAAAAAACTCGACTATACTTCAATTTTTTTGGTACCTTAAGATGTAAAGGGTTCAATTACTAATTCATTACATTTTCAAGTTGATATTGAGCTCGGGGAAAGCTCGATAGTTTTTTCTATGATGTGATACTTTATGATAGGTTGTCAATTGAAGTGATGGCTAATTATTATAAAAGCATTCGTCCCAAATCAGTTATAATAATGGTCTTTATATGGGGATAGCTTTATAATATTTGATATTAGTAATTTAAAAGTAAGATTTTTTTTTTTTTTTTTTTTTTTCTGCTTCGTAAAATTCAATTTTGTGTAATATTGAAGTTTTTTGTCTAATTATATTTTTTACCAGCCATTAAAGTTTAAGTAAACTAAGTATCTTTCTGCTGGTTCGTTGTCAAGTAGAGCTAATATATTCTTTAGGTTGCAATAAATTAGTTCTAAAACGGCTCAAACTTACGGTACTCAAGTATTTAAAGATATTACACAACAAGGTATTGCTAATTATGTGGGTTTAATGAATATTTAATTTTTCTATCCCGCTGGTTAAAATTATATTCTGAAACGGTACATCTTAAAATTAAGTTAGCAAGGGGTTTACCTTATGCATCTCATTTAATTACTAGCCATTTCAATTCGAAAGTTTTATAAATACATTTTCAAATCCTTCAATTGCTAATTGAAACTCAAGATTTTTTTCAAACTATTCAAACTTCACTTCAACCCATTGCAAAGGCATAATCAATTCCATCATCTTCTTCATCATCATCATCCACCATTTTAATAACTCACCCTAGTCTATCATTTAACTTAGCATTTTTTTTATTTTATTTTCATGTTCACTTCTTTCATTTAGAATTTTACTTTTATTGATATATTAAATTATATCATCAAGTTTTATTTGCATATTAATTAGATTATGGCTTTCAATTTTACTGTACCTACTAATTATACATATTCAAACTTAAGAGAAAGTCTCACCCAAGAAGATGAGGAAACACCATTTAGAAAAGCAAGAAGGACAAATTCTTCTAATTCATTATCTGATACAAGAAAGTTAAGAAATGAAAGTACTTGTTCTAATTCAGCTTCTGATTTGGAAAGTTTACCTGATTTAACTGATGATGATGATAATTGGACTCCTGAATCTTCACCAATAAAACCTCCTTCAAATCATAGATTCATATTTTTAGAATCACCAAGTACAAAGTCATTTAATTTAAAACAACAACCTCCTGCAACAAAATTATCAATATTTCATATTCCTGAAATTGTATATAAAATAGTTTCATTTGTTGATATACAAAATACTCAATTACCAAGTGAAGCAACAGTGATAAGAAGGAAACCAACAAGCTATAAACATGCTTTATTAATATACGGAGATAAAGATAAAGCCAAAGCTGCCTTAGAAAGTTCAACTTCAATTAAGCAGTCGTCTAAAGATCCCATGCTTAATTGTCTTTTAATTAATAAATTATTCAATAAAATTACAAGAGAAATAATGTCAACGAAATTATACTTCACTAATGAAATACAACTATTGAAATATATTGAGTCAAATTCATCAATAACTTTTCAAAATCCAACTAATTTAAATCTCCATAAGTTATTTCATTTGAAAAATTCAAATTTCCTCAAACTTATTTCAAATATTCAATTTCACAAGTTACAATCATTAGAGTTATTTATGTGTCCAAAATTACAACCACCTTCAATCGTGTTACAACAAAGTTCACAATTTTTACAAAAAATCATTATAACAGGTTCAAAAATTATTGATGATGAATTTTGTTATCAAATTAGTCTTTATTGTAAAAATTTAAAACATTTAGATCTTAGAGGTTGTGAATTAATAACTGATTCAGGATTATATTTTATTTTTCAAAATAATTTTCAATTAACTTATGTTAATATTGGTAGAAAAAATAAAAATCATTTAATAACAGATCAATCTATTCATTATTTGGTGAAAAATAATACTAATTTAGATACTCTTGGGTTAGCTGGTACATATATTTCTGATAATGTACTTTGGGAAATTTCTCAATCACTTCCTCAATTAAAAAGGTTATCATTAAATAATTGTAGAAATTTAACAAATTCCGGAATAAATCGAATTTTTAATAATAATTCCAAGATACTACCACAATTAAATGTTTTAGAACTATGTTATAATTATCAAATTATGGATTTAACTCAATTAATAAAATTCAAAAATTTTAAAAATAATTTAAATGGTATCGGAAATAACACCTTTATATTAGAGCTTTGTGAACAATTATTATCAAAATATAGAGATCAAGAATTTCAATTGGATAAAATCACTTCTATTAGTATTCTTGATGATATTTCTTATTATATAAATAATTGAATAAATTGATAATTTTTGACTTAATGAGTAGCGATTTCTCTGATTGTATTTTGTGATAATTCATCCATCTGATATGGGAATACCAAGGAAAATAATAACTCCGATATTCTTAAGTTCTTAACTTTCAGAACAAGCTTCACGGCGTCTTGCCTATGAGCCTTTCAAGGAGAGGGAGCTCAGAAATTAAAGAAACCACACTTGATGTTCTGCATGTAAGCAAATTTATGTTCATCATGTTCGTATCAAAATGCAAGTTTATTTTGAATATAAAAAGTTCTTAGGGAGGAAAAAGGTTAGGATTTATGAGTGAAAAAACCATCAATCGTGTAATGATGATCCTCAATGCATGTTACTTTTTCCACAACTTTGAATTGAAGTTACATTAAGGAGGTGGAAAGAAAAGAAAAGGGATTTGCAACAGAATTAAGAATTTTTAACAGAAACTTCCAACTGGTTACAAACCTTAATTTCAATTTTATTATTACGAAAGGATTGAAGCGTGATGATAATTTTTATTGAAAATTCTTATTTTTTTTTAAGGCGGTGGGTAGAGAATTGGATGCCATGTAATAAGCACTGTTCAAAAAGATGCTCTATAAGATGTGAAAGAACATGTAAGATTTTAGGATGTTTCAAAATGTAAAATGAATTTCGAGATGACAGTGGAGATTTTTATCTGCAGTGACTTCTGTTTAACATTTGCATGATTTTCGTTTAGAATGGTTATCGATTAGTATGTTTTGAGCTTATGATGGTTTCAAGTATTGTCACTATACTGCATTGAATGACTGGAATGACTTTACCGACTCGTATTATAAAAATCCTCATTCTCATACCTGCATCCAGGTAGCTGAGTAGGCGCGAATTACTACACAAACAAATGAATAGATATAAAATCCATTGATTCTCCATAAAACGATACAATCTAATTAATTTACTTTATATTTATATTCTGTGGTAGCTAATAATAACTGAAATATGGTAGCTATCCCACAGTAGCTTCACTTCTTGGCCGGTTCAATAGTTCAACTAAAGTTTCCCTTTCTTTTAAATTTAGAAACGAATTAAAAAAGAAGGTAGAAAATTGACCTCCGTCGAAAGTTGATTTTCGAGGGTGACGTACGCGTGTATTGGGCCGGTAAACTTTATTTTTCTGAGCTCTAATAATGCAACACCAACTCATACCCTTATTAAAACTTTCAATATCAAGCAGTACTTGACGAGTGTCAATGCAACTATGACTCTTTATGCTTACGTGAAAAACATATTGACGAGTAAAGTGGAGGGATTAAATTACTAAGGATATGGTAAATTAGTACAAGTATGGAATAACCTTTTTTTAAAACGCAACTAGTTTTTTCATTCGAGGTTAAAAAGTCACGTTGGCGCAAAATATTTGGTAGCTCACGGAGGTTATTTTTCCCTATTCATTAAAAAATACCACTGTTTGATACTAAACAATTGTACCTAAATTCAAAAATATGGATTAGATTAACTTATAATATCCTTATAGTTGAGGAAGTTCAGCAATCTTGCAAATTGAATCTCCTGCGGTAGGTATAAAACTAGCTTGAATAACTGAATTTTAATTCAACTAATATAACCGAATAACAATCTAAGCAAACAATCAGATTAATGCATTAAGAAATTATGGCCAATACGCTCGTCAACTGTAAACCCATCCCTAAATTGTCATACAAAGTCAAAGTTCAATATCACAACCATACTCTGATAAAGCGATAACCCCTTAATTGAAAATAACCATCTCCACAGTCCTTTTAAAAGTTCACTTACTACTCATTGAACCTACTTCTCTAAACTGCATCCCTCAATTTCCAACTATTGTTTTAATTTTCCCGTTATCTTGAAAGAAAATCTTTTGCTTATCTTTCATTTACGGTATTGATATTTCACGATTTATAAATAAACTATTATTAAACTTTTATTTATTGTTTTAAGTAAGTAGATCTAGATTCGTAAAGCTTAGATCTCTAAAGCTAAAGACTGGTAGTGCACTCATGCTCAAAAGTTAATTTATATACTATATACAGTCCTTCTGTACTAGTAATTACTTAATTAAGATTTATTATTATTATTATGTATTCTACTTATGTAGTATACACATTGTAATTACTTACATGAATTTTTATTGAATAGGTACACCTAAAAACTCAACAAAATATATACCAATAAAAGAATACTTTCAAGACAAATACCTCATATTCTAACCAGCATTTCATAACTTACTCATCCAATTAAAGTTTCAATTAAACATATTCATTTCATACCACACTCATCGTGTATTTTCAAACCAGTTTAGAAACAAAAGTAAACAACGGAAAACTATCTGATAATTGGATCCCAATTGCTACTAGCTATCTTACATCAACAAATCAATCTCAAAAACCACAGCTGCTACAACTCATTGTTTTCCAAAAATCATGACAAAGTCTTTGAAACATCAACTATCAACACTAGATTTAATAGATGATTCTACTTTAACTTCACTACCTTTCCCACCTCCACCTCCAATTAAAAAGAGGTCTTCTACATTATCGAATAACTCATCATCAAATAAAATACGACCGGTGAATTCATCTTCATTATCTCAATTCCCAATACATAAATCTAAAGATACCATAACAAGTGATGAAGATAATGAAGAAGATGAAATTTTTGAATATTCATACGAGGAAGAAGATCCAATAGTATTAGTTGAAGATTATTTAACTTCAAACAATCCATTTTACACAACTCATAATTTATCAAGACAAAAATCATTAGCAGATTTTAAAAAAAGAATAATGTCGAATAATTCAGTTAATTCTTCATCGAGTTTAAATTCATCAATTGATACGATAAGAGAATCTCAAGAAACTCAAACAAATACCACTATGCAAACCTCACTATCATCTAATCATCAACAACAAGTAATCAATGATTTACAACTGATTTTTGGAAATTTACCAAGTTTTGAATTATTAAAATATTGTGATTTATGTAATAAACCATTATATGAAATTTCTTCAATTATAAATTCAACAACAATAACTAATAACAGCTGTACTGCATCATTTAATTTAAATGAATTTATATGTGGTGATTGTGTTGAAAATTATGAAATTTTTTTAAATGTTTATAATAATAATCTAGAATATGTCGATAAGAATAATGTGAATATGACTGAAGAAAATCGTGTTGGTGAAAGATTTACTCAAAAAAATAATAACAAGACAAAGAACTCAAAATTGTGGAATATTTTACATCAAATTTCATGTAAATATAATATCAAAAGAGAAGTTATATGATGTTTTGTAAGACCAGCTAGCGTTAAAAGCTTATCATAGAACAAATAGAACAACTAACGACGGGATATAAATCCAAGGTGTAAATGACACGACTAATTGAATTTGGTTTTAAAGACTAGTACGGTTGTTAATTATCCTCATCCTCAACAGCCATATACTTTCATCTTTCAATAAAAAAACTAGTTTTCAGCTATCTGGGTTTAGTGACTGATTAACTCAGCGTCATTCATAAATATTTTAAAAGTCAGACTTGTCCAATTATATTGAAACAAGGTTCATTGACAATTATGTCAGCTCCTAGTATATAAGATATAGGTATGGTGGAAAATAAAAATTTTTGGTAAGGAAAACCAATTTTAAAATTTAAATGATTATGAGCTCTTTCAATAAATTTTTGGTTAGACTTCAAATCCCTCTTTCATCAATTTTCACTTCCGGTGGTCTGTCTTTTGATGTTACATAATCCCCGGCAGAACGGTCTCCATCAGGGTGATTTAAAAAATTACTTAAAGGTTATTGCACAGTTCAAGTGTTGCTAAAGTTGTTAAAGTTTTGTTGATAGAGAATTTTTTGACGAGAACAATCTGAAACGTATTTGGTAGCGTTGTGATGGGTTTGAATCTATATCAAGATCTTCAGAAATCCACCTTGTATCAATTTGTTCGGAATTAGTTTAGGCGTCTTTACCTGTTTGAATGGGACGCGTATGGATTCTAAAATCTGTTTTTATTTTTGGGTAATTTCGTCCATAGTTTAAAAAGTGGCAAAAAACAAAAAAAAAATATCATTTAAACTTAATTGTTATACATCTTTACTCACATATTCAGCTCCAATTACACCATATATCACTGGCTCAAAGCTATTTCAAACTATTGTAACTATTTATTTCATTTATTGATGCTATGAACAATCAAGAGCAAGGTCAAAATCAAGAGAACCCGCAACCGAAGGATAGAATTAATCTAATTTCAGGCTTAGACGATTTGGCAGCAAGGAGTGAACAAGCTTATCAAGAACAAAAGAAAACTAGAGTACACAATGATATCTCACGTCATGAAGTCAAAGAAAATAAAACCAATCCACTAGATAGTCCAGCTTTCAATGTTTTTAGAGAAATGAAACAAGAAGTGTTGATTAAATTTTTAAATGAATATCAATCCAAACTTCAAGACTTATATGAAGTCAATGTTTTGAATAAAGAAGATAAATCGAAGCTAAATACACCAGATAATTTGGAACAAGGACCATCAAAAAAAAGTAACCAGCCAAAAGATGATGGGGTTAAAACTGAACCTTCGAAATGTTCAGTTTGTGATACCACTTTTGGAAAATATCATCATCACCTCATGAATCACATATTAAAAAAGCCAATTTGTTTATTGAACCATATTTTGAAACCCAATGATCTAAATGAGGTAATAAATCCACCTTTGAAAAGTAATAAGACTATTGAAGAAGCAATGGCAGAATCCACAAAACCAATTCCATTAATTAAAAGAAATGAATATTGTTGTTACAAATGTAAAGAAGAAATGCCTAATCCTAATGAATTACAGACCCATATAGAAAAACATCATTTACCAAATAATTACAAATGTCCAGACTGTAGAAGCATCCTCACCTATAAAAAAACAACTCACGAAAGCTGTGCAGCAAACATTAAAAGAAAATTAGACTTTTGTCAAAAATTTACTGAATTATCAATTCTTTTGTTACTTTTGATTAATAATTTGACTGAAAATGACACAGATTTGGATTCTTGGTTAAAAAATGAAGCTAGTAATTGTTTTAAAGGTCCATCTGAACCACACATAGACAAGGTTCTTCAAATTATTGGTAAAAACAATCATAATGAATCAAATCTTTCTTTGAAAATTGCAACAAATATATACTCAACTTTGCTGTATGGTGTTAGAAATGCTGATGTCAAATTAGATTCCATTGAAGATACTTTTAAAAAAGGGACTAAAAAACTGTCACGTCAATCAAGAAAACGAAACAGGGGTAACTCTTTGAAAGCTGACGGAAATGGAGCTTTGGCTAAAAAAAGATGAGTAATTTGTGCTAGTTGCGCTATTTATGGTATAATTGAAAAAAGTTAACAAAATTGATGAGTTTAATGTTCATTGTGATGATGTTTTTTATATGAAGTAGTCTAAAAAGTTGATTAATTATAATTTATTGTGTTAACCGCGTTCTCTTATCTAATACAATTTCGGTGATTAATATGCGAAGTTTATATTCAATCAAATTTCAAAACCCTTAAATCTAAATTGACGAGCTAAATCTACTACTTTAATACTCCAATGAGAATCCAATTAGACCCAGACTACTTTAACAATGTCTACGACTGTAATACTTGAGGATATAGAATTGAACAATAATTTTCATTCGAGGTCAAATAATGGTAAACACGATGATGTGACCACACAAATTCAAAATCCACAAATTGATTTGCAACTGTTTGAAGAATCGGATGCTATTGCGGAACTAAATAATAACGTCAACAACAACGATGACATTTCATTTGAAGATACCCTTGATGATCCAAAAAGTTATCCTGATGGAGGCTTTAAAGCTTATTTAACATTATTTGGATGTTTTTTAGGATTAATAGTGAATTTAGGATTAATAAATTCAATCGGAGCAGTTCAATCATATGTTTCTAATAATATTTTACAAAATTATACTCAATCAACAATATCATGGATTTTTTCAATTTATTTATCATTAGCTTATGCTGGAGGAATTTTTAGTGGTCCGATATTTGATAGGTATGGAACTTTATATCTTTTAATTAGTAGTGGAGGATTTATATTTATTGGATTAATGGGAGCTGCTCAAAGTAATAAAATTTATCAGTTTATATTAAGTTTTATAGCTTTGGGTTTGGGAAATGGAATTGGAATGGCACCTTTAGTTAGTGTTATTAGTCATTTTTTTTTCAATAAAAGAGGTGTTTGCACTGGAATAGCTACTTCAGGAGGTAGTGTTGGTGGATTAATGTTTCCTTTAATGTTAAGAAAATTATATGTTAGTGTTGGATATGTATGGGCTTTAAGAATTTTAGGATTTACTTGTCTTGGATGTATGATAAGTTCTGTATTATTAGTAAAAGAAAGATTCAGAAGAATTAATAAAAAATCTACAATTGAAGTTGAAATTAATACTTTAGATAAACTTAAATCAGAAGTTTTGGAATTTATAAAGATCAAAGATATCAAATTTGTTTTTGTTATATTAGGTGGATTTTTTGCTGAATTTAGTTTGGTTCTAATTGTTACATATTTTGCAAATTATGCAATAGCTCAAGGATTGAGTGAAAGTGAGAGTTTATTATTATTAACTATTTGGAATGCTGTAGGAATTGCTGGTAGATGGTTACCTGGTTTAGCAAGTGATTATTTTGGTAGATTTAATGTGAATGTGGTAATGTTGATAATGTATACTTTAAGTATATTAGTATTGTTATTACCATTTGGTCATAATCATAAAATTCTTTATGCATTTGCTGTTCTTGGTGGTATTTCACTGGGTTGTATATTAACTTTATTACCAGCTTGTTTATCACAAATAACAAGAACTGATCAATTAGGGAAAAGATATGGTTTATTAAATTTTTATTTATCTTTAGCTAATTTATTTGGTATTCCCATAGCGGCTGCTATATTGGATACAAATTATAATAATTTAATTATCTTTATAGGTTGTTTATCTATAGCAGGGTTAGTATTTTGGACAGCTGCAAGAGTTTCAATAGTAGGTGTAAAATTAAATGTAAAAGTTTAAACGATAATTTGATTTACGAAATGACTCAAAACCATTTTTTGACGTGAAGACTCAATCGCATAAACTAACATGCTCGGAAATTAATCACCGGAACGGTTATGACATTGATAAGATAAAATATTTAAAGTGTAAACTAAATTTTAAACAAAATTTTTATCAATGACATCAAAAAAAAGGCTTGTATCGGATAAACTTTTAGATCTGAAGCTTTCAAGATCTCCCGGAAGAATTGTTTTCTTAAACTACGTCTTTAATGTTTAATCATATAGATTAAATTCCAAAATCAATTGCTTTTTTTTCCACGTTATCTTGCTTTAAAGAATACGATATTGTGTATTGGTTTTGTATCTCTTCTAAAAACATAAAATAAATTTATCTTTTTTAAGTTATTTATGATAATATCTTTCTTCAACGAAAATTGGGACTATTCTGAAGAACTAACAAAGTCGTATACACAGTTGTTATCAATCTCATCCAACTTGACTCAAACTCACTCATTTCCAAACTTCAAAACGCTGATCACGCAGATTAAGGTTTAACAACAAGTGAAAAAAAAAACTCCGAAAACTTTAATTTCACTTCCCACTAAAGCTAGTCCATTTACTCAAAATATGTTAAAGAAACCACATCATACCACAAATAAATCAACTTCACTATTTGAAATCAGATTGAAAAACTTAGAACATGATGTATTAGTATTGAAAGGAAATGAACATGAAGCAGGATCAGTACTAATTTCTGGAAATATAGTAATATCAGTAAATGAACCAATAACAATAAAAAAATTATCATTGCGATTATACTCAACTTTGAAACTCAAAGCTGATCTAACTTCTGCTTCATCAGCAACTGTTGGAAATAATAGAAAACTTTTAAATTTTAAAAAACAAATTTATGAATATAATTGGGATTCAAATGAATTTAATAAATATTTTGATCATATGTATGAAAATTCAAGTGTTGGAAATAATGGGGCAATAAATCCGCCACCTCAATTGGTTAAAAATCATTCAACTTCATCTCTCAAGGGATTAGGTGGTCTAAGATCTAAAAGTGGGTTAAACTTATCAACTTTGTCAAATAATAATAGTTCAACTAATCTAAACAAAGCTGCATTAAATCATTCAATGGGTTCAAATCATGTCTTAGTTCAAGGAAATTATGAAATCCCATTTAGTGCAATTTTACCTGGAAATATACCGGAATCTATTGAAGGATTACCTGGTTGTTCATCAATTTATAGATTAGAAGCAACAATTGATAGAGGGAAATTTCATAGTACAATGATAACAAAAAAACATATTAGAGTCGTAAGAACATTAACTACTGATGCAGTTGAATTATCAGAAACTATAGCTGTTGACAATACATGGCCTAAAAAAGTTGAGTATTCATTAAGTTGTCCAACAAGGGCATTAGCTATTGGTAGTGGGACTCCAATTAGTATGATGCTTGTACCTTTGTTAAAAGGTTTAACATTAGGAGATATTAAAATACAATTAGTTGAATTTTATTCATATGTTGGAAATATCCCACCAATGCATTCAGCGGAAAGGATTATTGCTTCAAAGAAAGTCGCAAAACCCAAACCAAATGAATATGAATTTGATAAATGGGAATTAGAAACTTTTATGAAAATTCCTGCAAGTTTATCAAAGTGTTGTCAAGATGTTGATTTAATGCAACATGTTAAAGTAAGACATAAATTGAAATTTAATATTGGATTAGTTAATCCTGATGGTCATGTTTCTGAATTAAGAGCTTCCTTACCTGTACAATTATTTATTTCACCATTTGTGACAGTAAGTTCAAAACATGATGATGAAGTTAGTGAAGATGAACGTAAAGGTGAAGAGGATATTTTATTTACTAGTGATTCGTATGATGATTTAAACTATTTGGGAAATGGTAATAATAATAACAATGGAAGTACACTAAATTCAAACAGTAGCTCACATACTTCATTAACTGGTTTAGTTGCTCCTCCATTATATGAAAGACATATATATGATAGATTATGGTCTGATGTTTCACCAATTGAAACTCCATTAACTTCAGGTACATCCACTCCAAGAAGTAGACAAGGTGGTTTGAATAATTATGGTGAATTTTCAATGCAACCATTAGATTCATCAGCATTAAGTGAAAATTTAAGACAATTAAGTATTCAAAGACAAGCTCAAGAAGCAGAGGCCAATAATCATCATGATAATAATAACGGTAGAGCTACTTTTAATTTTGAAGATGAAGATAATCAACAATCTCACACTGCTCAACCTGATTATTTCAATAATAGACCATCAGCAATTTCAAGAAATCATAGCTTTTTAAAAGATCCACTTATGACTCCAATGACTCCTCCAGTACATTTATCTCGTGTAAATTCAGATGCAAATTTGTATAATTCAAATGAAATGAAACAAGTTCCATCTTATAGCCAAGCTATTAAAAGTGATACAATGGATGATTTATCACCAGCTTATGAGCCTCCTTCATCAAATTCAAGTATAAATTTAAATGAATTGAATAAGAATTTACAACCATCTAATCAAAGACCAAACATAGGCTCAAGAAACTCAACGTTACTGAAACTAAGTAGTTCAAGAAATTCTTCAACAAATTCTTCCCCTTCTAATTCAAGAAATGTCTCCTCATCAAATTTATCTAATTTATTACCATCTAAAAAATCATCAAGTAATTTATTGAACATTGGTTCATTGACCCCTTCAAGCGGTCATGGTAGTGGTTCAAATAGTAATGGAAATTCATCAATTAATTTATTATCTACATCACCAGTAAGTCATTTAAGAAATCCAACAAATCATTCAATACAAAGCGAAAATAACAGTAGTACCAATAATTCTTCAAATCATAGTATAAGTCAATTATCAAGTAGTGCTAATGATAGGCAAAATGGTATACCAATGAGAACTAATTCAAGTTTGAGTTTGCATAATTTACATTTATTTAGTAAAAAAAATAATAAAAAAGCTGGATAGAATTTTAAGTAGATAGATTGTCTAGAATATATTCCACCAAAGTTTATCGGTGTAACATGAAACATTAAGCATGTTTAGTATTTATTCCACAGTCTCTAAAATCATTCATGATTCACTTATCTTGTATGTAACGCTATTGGTATCATGTATTAAAATAAAGTTGAATGTTGAAATTACTTAATAGAATTTCTCACGTAAGAGTTTTTGTGACACCGAATTCTTTATCTATTCCACGAACAACTGAGCCATCTACAGTTTTATATTCACACCGTTCATTAAACACTTCAGCTGACGTGATACATACTATTCATCGATGATGCAATGACAAGACATATTCAGCTTGGTGTTAACATCTCAGCTAACTGCTAAATTTTCATTCACGAAATTTGAGCTGTTCCATAAAGACAATCAAAGTTTTATTTCATCTTTGCTGTTGAATGACATGATTCATCTAAGGGAACACTTTGATAAGTTTCAGAAAGATCACAGGATTTGTAATTTGAATTAATATTGATAAGCATCATATTTCGAACCTGTATAGTTTCAATGAATGAAAAAGAGTCGAAGAGTTATACCCAGTTCATCTCAATGGATTTTAAATCAAATTAGTCCTATTAAACATTTTTAATCGGCCATTTCATGATTTTGTGCTCAAATTTGTGGATACTGTAAACAAAATAAGCATCTACTTCAAAATTTTATGCTCAAGTTTATAGACACGGTGATTTGGAATTATATGAGGTAAATTGAGTTTCTGGTGTTTTTTGTCAATCTTAATCTTGAACTCGAAAATCTTTTAGTCAAGTCCATCTGGATGTCATAGTCAAATAAGGAAGCCTTGTAGGATTAATTGGTTAAATTCGTCAATTTAATTTTTAGTTTGACGAAAATCACAATTTTGAGAAATTTGAAAATAGAATTGAATTATGGTTAATTTAATGGCTTCAAATATCAGTATAGGGTACTAAATGAAGAAGCAAAAGAGATTTTTTTCGACTGTTGATGCATTAGCTTTGACATATTTTATTACACTATATAAAATCTTGTCAAAAGACAGTATCAAGTAATTTATTCTACTTTGCCTTCGAAGTCATGGTAGTTTAAACAAACAATGAAATTAGCTTGAGAGGTTTCTCGAACAATGTAAAAGGCAAGATGAGTAAACACTGAAATACTGAGTCCAATGAACATAATGTTGTTAATTATTAACCCTTTTTATAAATTTCATTTCAATAAATGAAGGAGTAATTATTAAATTTGGTTTGTCTCATACTCAAATTATCACGCGTGATAAGTTTGTTGTACTAAATTGCAATTGGTTCTTCTGTTATTTCTGTGGGTACTTGGATTAGACGAAACAATCTTGAAACACTATATGGTAGCAATTCATTAAGACACGTCCAAAAATTTAATTTTCAATATTTTTTCGTAATAAAAAGAAAAATAGTGGCAACCAATATCAGAATTCACCTTCATTCTGATTCATCAACACAAATCAAATATCATAAAGTTCATGTCAACAATAAAGGATGGAAATATTTTTAAAACTACCAGAAGAATTATGGATGCTAATCATAAATTATATTGATTATCAACCAACACTTGAAGAGTTAGTCTTGATCCCAACTTTACAAAAATATGCTTTACAAGAAAGGTTTTCAAATTTCATACTTGGCAGTTCAGACACTTCTGATGGATCAATGAAAGACTTACAAAGATTATATGAGGTATACAATTTCAAACCTTCAAGAATAGTTATTGAAGCAACCAAGTTAAGTGAATTGTTGGGGTTACAAGCATCTACTACTGAGTCAGAAGAAACAGGGAATTTTGAAGCTGAAGCTATGAATCTTTACGGTCACGCTAAATTTGAAATTCTAATAACAGACGGAATGCATGTTGATTTGAAACTGATACTTAAAAACGTCAATGTCGTTGGGGTTCATTTGTCGGAATCTGAACCATTTGGCATTCTGGAAGATGGTGCAATAGAATTTCAAGCTTATTTGCAAGCCATTCAAACTAGCAAGATAGAGTTTATGACAGCGATTTATGCCAACTATTTTGCATTTAAATTTCCTACATCTTTGAAAAGATTGAAATTAGATACTATGATAGTTGAAATTGCGATCAATTTGAGTGATTTACAATGTCTTGAATATTTTGAATGCAGCGACTTAATTGGAGTAAAATCCTTAGATGATCTTCGGTTGACTAGGACAATACGATCCATCAAACTTTGCGGTTGTGAATTTGAAACTTTGGGAAATTTAGATGAATATGTGAAGTTGAGGTCCATTGAAGTTAACGATTTTAGCTATTTATTCGAAATTTTCAAAAGTACTTTCCCGGAATCTTTAGAGAGGTTGACATTATGTCCTTCTTTTGATGAATCCAATATTAGAGACTTATTTACAAGTGCGATAGAAGGGACAAACGAATATTTCGTATTTCCAGACTTCTCAGATGATGGGACTCTCCTTCGTATTGGGTTCAATTTTAAACTTACTTCAAACCTAAAAGTATTAAAGATTCATGATTATTACAAGACTAGCTTAGAGGTTGGTTTTAATTCATGCTTCGTGACACTCAGTAGTTTGGATCTTTGTGGCATTAAAATCAAATTAATCGAGCTTTTTCTGTCTATACCAGTGTTTATGGAGAAAGTCAAAATTATTCGATGTGAAGTTACAGATGTTTATAGGAAGCCACAATATCCTATAGTCAGGCAACTTTATTTCTCAGACAATCTAGTATTTAATACTTTCCAAATAAATTTCAAGGAAATGGTAAATCTAAATCAATTGGAGATCAAAAATAACTTTTTATATGTACTGGACACCGAGGAAAATAACCTTGAACTTGATCCTTGTCGATTCCTCATTGGTGAATTTGATGCGCTTGATGAAACTAGCGAATTTTTGAATAAGAAGAGAAAAATAAGCAAAGAATCTGAAACTTTGCAAATTGATGTATCTAATATCACATCTTTGGTTTTAGGTAAGTCCGATTTGAATACCTCGACAGTACCAGGAGTGGATCATTCAAACTGCATTCCTCAACTTCCATCACAAATTTGTATTAAAGGCTGTACAATTTTAAAGACTTTGCACTTGTCTGGGTTGGGAATTCAAATATTGGATTTACACAAATTTCCTATTTCCTTAAAGGATATAAGTATATCAAATTTAAAGCTTTTTCAAATAAAAGGAGAATTCAGCTTGCTAAATCAGTTAACACAGCTATGGCTGATTAACAATGGAATCACTCATTCAATGTTACTCCATCAAAGGTTTCCATCATCTTTGGAAAGATTATACTTATGTAACGATAAGATTGAAGATTTGACTTGCTTAAAAATAGATAATTGTGACAAATTGCATATTTTGATGTTGTTGGAAGTTACTGGACTGCTAAAACCGAAGGGTGCAAATGTATTGAAGACAACGTTTGTTGAGTTAAATGGTAATGCCTCTTCATCTTATGGAGTCGCTACAACTTATGATTCAGAAGAGGTGTTTTTGGTAGTTGATGGGGTTGATAAGAATCAAAATACCCTTTAGAATTTTAACGTTATATAATTAAAGGTCAAAATTGTTTCAAAATGTGCAGCTGAGTATAGTTATGATAAATTAATATCTTATAATTAAATCACACATTTTAATAACTTGTAGTTCACTCTCCTCAATAGTAAAACGTTAATGAAACATTTTTGAAAATCAAAATCAATAGATCATGATAAAAATTATTTTGCAAGCTATTGATTTCAGATTTACTTCAATTGATAATTTAAATTCAAATAAGTATCATCTGTAATCGTAGTCTATCATGACGTTTAAAGTATTTTAAAATAATGTTTAGAGGGAGGTAAATTGGTTAATACCCAGGATCAACTTCTTCCAGATGTAAATAGATCAATATGTGAATTTTGACAGAAACTATCATGTCATGGATTTTGATGAAATTTCTGAACAAATTTGATGAATCAGTTTCACCTACTAAGAATAAATAATGGTGAAAAATAGTTTAATTGATAGATAAATTGTAAACAATTAAGTAATTCGTGATGTCTACTAAGGTTTTTATCTACTACTTTGAGCCGTTGATGAATAACGTTTGAAAGGAATATAAAGCAGTACTTACCGATCATAATCTTGAATAACAATTCGAAAATAAAACTGAGTCTTACAAATTCTAATCTCTATACTCTACTTATACAAATTTTTGGATGGGTCTCCAGTCCAGAAAACAAACGAAGAATTGGTTGGAAGGATGCAAAGTTGAATCAACATATAGTGTCCAATGTGGATCATTAATTCTTATACATTATTGATCTATAATTAGTTTATGTGGTATCTTGTCGAAACATTTAGTTGTACCTAGTTATTGTTGATCTGAATTGATTCAATAGGTTCCTGATTCACAACAACTTAATAGACTTGTAGATTCACTTCATGAAAGAAACCTTGAAGTACTCAAGTTACTTTGTATATTATTTGGAATAGGGGTATAACTTTATAATTAGCAAAAGATATTTAATAAACAAGGTAGTGTAATCCTCGACAGAAAAAAATAAATTAATGTTTTAATTTACGAGAGAAAAAAAACAAAACAGAGCCGTATGACAATTAAGGAGTAGGAATTAATAGTACAAAGTCATAATCTTCTTACAATTGTCTCAGAGATAACCCACAGTTTTGTTTCATTTGTACTACATTCTAATCAATCATAGCATCTAAGGCGATGTAGACTGGTAGTTAAGTTCTAAACATACGTTGTGAGAATACAGGATATTATAAAAATTTGAAGATGTCTTATCCACATGGTTAAAGTAACTATGTGAATAATATTCAAGGCTATGTGAAACAATTCCAAAGCAATTGATTTGATCTATCTACTTAATTTTTTATAATACGAATAAAGCAATAAAGAAGGATATGACAAGGGGCTAATTAAATTAATTTTAATACGTACATTTTCATACTGTTTATTGAGTGCTTACAAGCAAGTGTAATTGAGATTTCTTTAATTTATTTTATAGCAAATCTAATCTACTTTTGACTGTTTATAGTTAAGTTAATTAGTCTATTGTGTTTGTATGTTGCATAGAAGTTGATTTTGTACCTCTTACTTTTTATTTCGTTTACATATGTTAAAAGATAAAGAAAGTGAAAATAAGAAATTAAAAACCCAGATCTTCTTAGTTTTTACCAAGTCAATTGATTCGTTATAAGTTTTGATCACTAACTGCCTCTGGTAAATATCCTATTTCACTAATTTTATCTAAATTGTCTTTAAACTCTGGTAATTGTCTATCTTTTATTTTATATGTTTCAGCCTTTTGTATGTGTGTAAAGTAATACAAAATTAAATACGCGAAATAAATTTTAATTTAATTAAATTTAATCAAATAAATAAAATAAAAATACAATTCAACAACATTCTTTTTCTAAATATTATTGAACAAACCATCGAGTTATACAACAAGGATAAACTATACATTTCAAGTTATTAGCTACCATTAGAACTACTACAACAGCCCTATTCATTTAAACTAACCATATTATTATTTAAATTTGAAAAAAGAAACCAAATCAACACTTGTTTCAAAACTTACGATTTTTAAAATTCAAATTTTTTTACAACACAATTTTTTACAACAAAAATCTTATAATTGAGAGACAAATTGCTTAAAGAAGTCAAGAAAACAGATAGCACCTATATCACCTATATCACATACTAGTAGGATCTAAAAAACCCGTATATTCAAAAAAAAATGGGGTTTAAACTAAGTTTTAATACAATATCATTTGTATTAATATTAATATCATTTGTATTTTTATTATTAGCAACAATTAGTTCACCAATTGTTACAATATTTAATTTAGGTAAAACTTCATCACATACTTATGGAGTATTTGGTTATTGTACAAATAATAATAATGATTGTTCTTCTGCTACTTATCCTATAAAATTTAGTTCAATTGATGATAATAGTAAAAATTGGATAATGAGTTCATCAACAAGAGATACTTTGGGAAAAATATTTATATTAACTCCAATTGCTTTAGGTTTTAATTTTATTTTATTGGTATTAATTTTTATTTCACATTTTGGTTTAAAACCTGTGGTATTAATTGGTATTGCAGTTAATGTTATTGCTGCAATTTTAACTATTATAAGTTGTATTATAACAATTTTAGTATTTCATCCAAATTTAGCTTGGACAGGTTGGATATTAATAGGAGCTGCAGCAGCTACTTTAATTTCCCTTGTATTTATGATTTTAACATTAACCGTCACAGGATCAAATGATGATGATGATGATAATGATTCAAACGATACAGGATTTGGTAGATTTACAAATAATAAATATGATAAATTAGATGATAAATTTAATCATATTCAAACTTCAACTTTTAAAAGTCCAAATAGTACAAGTTCAATGGATAATGATTATGATTATAAACCTTATGGTTCAAATAATAATGGTTTGTATGGTAAACAGAATAATGGTTATGGTAATGGTAATACTGGATATACTCCAACAAATGGAAGTAATAATGGTTTAGCTGGTGCTGCTGGAACTACTGCTGGAGCTGCTGCTGCAAGTGCTTATGGAATTAATAAAAGTTTTAATGGACCACCTGCTACATCAAGTAATGTAAATGGATCTTTTACAAGTAATTCATCATCATATTATACTAAACCACAAACTGCTAATGATTTCACTCAAAGACAAAATAATGGTAGTGGAACATCTTTAAGAAATATAAATAATCCAAATTATAATTCTTCAAATCCACCATATCCAGCAACAATTAATAATGGTCAACCAAATAATCCAAATACCGATGGTAATTCAACTTTTTCAAGAAGTGTATTTGAACATCATCCACAAGTAGAAGGTCATAAACCATTTACTGAATTAGATGATGATTTTGAAGATGAAGAAGATGAAATTAATAATAGAGGAGGTACAAATATTATAGTTACAACAAATGATTCAGATGAAGATTCTGATTTTACAAGTGTTTCACAAAGAGCTCCAAATCCTCAATATAATCAATTTCCTCAACAACAACATCCTCAACAAAATAATTATTATAATACTTATTCAAATGTTCAACAATATCAACCAATAAGTCAACAACAACAACAAGTACCACATCAATTACCAAATCAACCACAACAAGCACAATATCCTCAAAATTATTCAACATCATCATCACAATACGTAACTAGTCCGAATTCATATACATCAAATCAATATTTTCAACAAAATCAATCACCACATCAACATCATCAACAACCTCCCTTGCAACAAAGACCAACAATATCAGATAATGTATTAAATAATAATCCAGATTTTAATTTTAGTAGAAATTTACAAATTCAACAAAAACAACAACAAAAAAGAAGAATTTCTCCTGGATTTGTTCCTGTTGCTGCAAGATATAATAATAATACAAATAGTACTAATGCTAATGTTAGTTCATTAATGGGTAGAAATGGTGGTACTCAAGCTAGAAGTGGTCCATATGGAATAACTAGATAAGGATTGTTTGAGTACGATGTTTGGATGTTTGTGTACGAATGTTTGCGGTACTGATGAATTAAAAATCTACTAACTGATAATTCCGTGAATTGCATTTAAAATTATCTGAATTTGATTCAATTCTTTTTCTGTTTATGTTTTGTTGCTTCAATTCTTTATTATATGTTAATTAGTATTATTATTAAAGCTCTTTATATGTTGTTATTTGAATAATTTTTAAATAATACATCTTTATATATTATATAGTTTTATAGTTTTAATTCGATATATTAGTTTTAATACAATATAATTCGTATTTTAATTGATAATAAAAGAAGTAATGAAAAACGAGAAGTAAGGGTGTTCTGATATTGTTACTGTTCTATTATTGTGTAGAAAAATTAGGATTATCATGTTAATGCTTACTTCATTTTTGCAATAAAATATTATACAAACTTACTTTTGGAATCAAATGACTTTCATTGAACTTATCACCTTTGAGCGTACGATCATTATTTTGATTTTTTACTCGACGTTTAGAAACCCCATTTTAGCTCGTTTTACTCATAACTTATTTGTTTGCAAATTCATCATAATGTCAAAAAAAATATATTTATATCACCAGTACTTTGGATCAGAGGCTTCTCAAGATAAAGAAGTTATCGACTGTGTTTTAAAGTTCCTTTTCTCTGTTGTAAAATTGTGTTTGGGACCTAAGTCATTTAGATGCAAAAAATGGCCAGATTTTATGCCTTTTTTTCACAATAATAGAACAGTTTCAATAATAGAACATTCTCAATAATAGAACAGTCTCAATAATAGAACAGTCTCAATAATAGAACAGTCTCAATAATAGAACAGTTTTAATAATAGAACAGTTTCAATATTAGAACAGTTTCAATAATAGAACAGTCTCAATAATAGAACAGCTTCAATAATAGAACAGTTTAAATAATAGAACAGTTTCAATAATAGAACAGTCTCAATAATAGAACAGTCTCAATAATAGAACAGTTTCAATAATAGAACAGTTTCAATAATAGAACAGCTTCAATAATAGAACAGTTTAAATAATAGAACAGTTTCAATAATAGAACAGTCTCAATAATAGAACAGTCTCAATAATAGAACAGTTTCAATAATAGAACAGTTTCAATAATAGAACAGCTTCAATAATAGAACAGTTTAAATAATAGAACAGTTTCAATAATAGAACAGTCTCAATAATAGAACAGTCTCAATAATAGAACAGTTTCAATAATAGAACAGTTTCAATAATAGAACAGCTTCAATAATAGAACAGTTTAAATAATAGAACAGTTTCAATGATAAAACAGTCTCAATAATAGAACAGTCTCAATATTAGAAAATTTTCAATAATAGAACAGTCTCAATGATAGAACAACTGACTTAACTTATATTAATTCTATACCTATAGCTTTTGTTCCATCTATATTTGAATTTGGATGATTTATTTCATTATTTACTACATTATCAGAAGAATCATCAGTCAGCAGTTTATCATCATCATTAGGTCTTTCATTTGACGGTCTATCATCACTTGGTTTATCATTCGTAGGTTTATCATTATTACCAGGTTTTTCTATAATTTTAGTTTTCCCACCACCAGGTCTTAACATAAAAATCAATAATAAACAAAAAACACATAAAACCAAGAAAAATATAATTTTACATTTTGTTGATCTTTTTTGATAAGATTGAGCTTTAATTAATTCTTTATTTGCTTGATTTAAATCTTGAGATGTATTTGTTAAATTATAATCAATTCTATCTAATAATGTACCTTGTTGTGAAACCATTGATGACATTTCTTTAAATATTGTACTTATTTCTAATATTCCCATTGCTAATTTATTTATTTCTTTTTCTCTTTGATTGAGTAAAGGGTCGTTAGTTTGTAATTGTTGTTGTTGTTGTTGTAATTGTTGCTGCGGTTGTCCATTTGATGAAGTGTTTTCAATAATTTGTTTACTAAATTCATCAATATTATTCGAATTTTTAAAATTTTTTAAATTAATTAAATTATCTAATTCATCATCTTCATCTTTTAAAAAATTTATATAATTATTTTGTAAATTTCTAAATTCAATTAATGCAGTCTGGATCTTAGAAACATTTTTCAATTTCAAATTATTTAAAATTTCTAAATCATAATTATTATAACCTAATTTTAATTTTTCATGATTTTTCGCAAGATTTTCAAATTTTTTTATACTTACATAACATTTTTCAAAATTTATTAATATCTTGTAATTTAAATCTTCAATTTTTGATTCTAATTGCTTTTTATCATGTTTATTAGTTATTATTAATTGTTTATATAATGAATTTAAATCTTTTGTATCAATTTCAATTTGTTTTAAATAATTATTTAAATCATTTGATATTTCAAATTTTGATGGTTTTACAGATTTCATTTCTATATCTTCTGAATCCATTGATTTTTTATTTTTCCTTGATCCAAATATTAATGTATCTTTCTCTGATTCATCATAAAATGGATCTTGAATTGATGAATCATTAAAATTATCTCGATATGGTTGTGTGGATGTTGTAAGTGGGATATCTCGTGATATAGTTCTTCTATACGATAGAAATAATTTCGTTCGATCTCTAAACATTCTTGTGTGTTTATGCTATATGTCAAGTTGTAAGTGGAGGTTGAGGTTGTAAACTCGGTGATTATTAGTATGCAATTACTTTTGGTTGATGTAATTGGTCAGTCCAAAGTAGGTGAATTCGCAAGAAACGCCAATAATTGATGTGTAGGCCGGATGATATTCAAAATTATATGAATAATGACTGATGTATTTGATTTAATTAATATTTAGTCTTTACTGATAAGTCCGTATCAACAAATTTGAAAGGTCAATTACGATTAGAATAATTTGAAGAAAACTACGCTACCATATTCCTGATTACTATAAAAAATCAAAATTGAGAACAACAAAAATTTCAATGAATTTGTTGAATTGAGGAGGAAATTAATTTATAGTTAGAGTTTATGGTGAAGTAAGTAAGGTGCTTTGAGGTTTTCAAATCAAACAATAGTAGGGTGTTTAAATGCCGGCTCTGACTATGGCTGCTCTGAATTTGGCTGCTCATACTGTTTAAGATGGATTTACTTCTGTCAATATCAAATCATTTTTAAATTCCTTCCCATTATCTGATTTGAATTCGTGGAAACACCTTACTTCCTTCTCCATCCATCAAAATGCAAATTGATTGGTTATTGATGGATTGAGGTTAAGGATTTGAGATTTAATGAGGAGCACTTGTTGTGAATATTGTTCCTATTGATGATCAGATGATTGCTTGCAGAAATTTATTGGTTATTTGAAATCTGGTGCAAATTCAGCTGGAAGATAATTTCAAGTGGGTACAAATGCTTCTGGAGCTGAATAATCATTCATTTTTCATCTAGCTGCAGGTTCAAGACCTTGATACAGGAGAAATTTGGGATAACAAATGGAGCATGAAACGAAGGATTAAATCAGAATTACAAATTTTCAAAGAAAAGGGCTAGAAACAGTTGAGGGACAAAACGATTACTGCAAATTTAAAAGATTTAACAAATGATGTATCATTTTGCATTTTCAAAGGTAAGTTTTGACTTCCAATGTGTTGCAGTAGTCATACTTTTCCATTCTTCACTAAGACCCGGGTTTTTGAAGAGGAGAAGGATGAAAAATCATGAATACAGCAATAGATTGGAAGCCAAAAGATTGCTTTGAGAATGCAAGTAATTGCAACATCAATGCTTCGTTAATTGTCAGCAATATATTTTCACAACTTAGTTTCTTTTACAAATAAAAACAAACATAAGACGTGTTCTGTCTGTTTTTGTTTGTAAAGGTAACTATCAGATTTTCAAGAATCATTCAATCTATTGTCTAATCTGTTGGGTTTATTTAATTAAATCATTATTCACATCTCCCGCTCAATTCAAATACTCACTTATTCCTCAATTACTTATGGACTTTTGTAGCAAATGAGTAACTTCGAAGAAACTTCAAAGAACAAGTACAAAGTAAAAAATATATCAAGTTAGAGTTTGTAATGTACAAAAGTTATTAATCAAATTTTTTCATGATTAAACTCAATAGATATTCTATCTACTTCTATCTACCCTTCTTCTTCTTCTTTTTTATAATTTTCAACACCTCTTAAACCATATTTATTAGTTAATTTAAAATATTTTAATTTTAAAGGATCTAAAATCATATTTTCAAAATCTAATTTTAATTTTTTATTAGAAGATTTAAATTTATTATTTCTACCATAATTTTCACAATAATTTGTTGATGATTCCATTGCACAAACTACATTGTTGTTATTGTTATGGTTTTGCTTTTGATCAGTTATTTCAAAAATGTTCAAGTCTTTCAAGTTTTTTAATAATCCTTTTATATTTATTCTATAATTTTCATAATCACTTATTGTTAATGTAATTGTTAAGTAATCATCTTTTATATTGTTCAAAATTCTGTGAACTCGTGTTTCAATTTCATTTGATGTTGGCGTCTCTTCTTTTGATACTTCTTTATTTGATATTTCTTCTTCTTCTTTTAATATTTCCTTCTTTGATATCTCTTCTAATTTTGGTAGGTCCTCTTTCGTTTCAAATGACCAAACTGATATACCATTAGGTATTAAGATATTTAATTTCCCACAACTATCTTCAGGTATCATTATATCCCAACCAAAAACAAACATATTGAAAGTTAAAGCTGAAGAAACATGAGTTAATTGAAATTCATTATTCCCTTCTTCCTTTTTGGAATTTAAATCCCTTGAAATTATAACTAAATTCGGTCTATACATAGTTTCTCCACATCCACAATTATCTAAATGAGCTCTTGCTACCCCTATCCAAATTTCCTTTGGGTATTCAATTGGTAAATCCAATATTTCATTAATATTAATTAATTGAGTTCCACCTCTTAATGGTCCAACTTGATTATATGTTGATAATTTATTATCTAATCTATAATCAAATTTACAATTTCCAAATTTAAAATCACATTTTAAAACTTCTAAATTTGCCCATCTAAAAATAAAATATAAATGAGTATCATAACCTAATCCATTACCTTCTACCCCGTCTTTTGAAAATCTATCATGATAACTTATAAAAGGAGTCCAATTTTTTTGAACTTTTAAACTTTTAAAATCTTGTAAATTTAATTCAATTATATTAATCTCATTCTTATGACTATTTGGTTTTATTTGCCATGGCCATGCTAAAAACATTGATCTATAATAATCAAATTTTTGATTAATTCTTGTATCATCATCATCATCATAAAGATCAGGTTTTAAATGATAAGAATTAAATATAATTATAGGTTCTTCATATCCTAATTTGTTTTTTACAAGAATTAATCTTGGATCTTCTGGTCCATAATAATTTGCATCTGGATTATTTAAATCCTTGAAGAATGGTATTGAAACAAAATGTGGAAATTTTATAATTTTATGTTGAAAAGTTTTTAGTTTTTTCAATTTATATTTGAGAGTTTTTGGGTTTTTATTTGATTTTGCATTGGCATTAGTTTGGGTGTTTGATTGTTTTGATGACTTATCTGCTGATACTTGAACATTCATATCAACTAGATTACCTGGTTTGCTTATGGGTTTGCTTGGTGGTTTGTCGGATGGTTTGTTGGATTGTTTGAGAGGTTGTTTCTCGGCGTTGACTTGCACATTGGTATCAACAAGGTTAGCATGGTTTTCAGAATCAGGTGCTTTAGGATCTCTATTTTCAGACTCTAGATTTTCAGGTTCCACTTTTGTATCTGGATTTATTGATTCTGGTTTTTCAAGATCATTTTCATTAATTTTATCAACTTCAACTTCATCTTTAGCTGGTGGTTTTTCTCCATGCTTTTCAGATTCAACTTCCTCTTTTGACTGTGGTGTTGTTTCTCCCTCCTTCTCAGTCTCCACAATCTCCTTCTCCATTTCTCTTTTCTCAAGTTTAATATTAACATCATCATCTTCATAAATATCAGATTCAACTTCTTTTAAAGCATCTTCAATAGATTCAACTGGAATAAATAACTTATAATCTTTTAATTCATTCCAATTTTCATCAAATATTTGAGCATAAGTTAAAGAAAATAATGGTCTATTTCTAATACCTGTTGGACTATACATTATTCTTGAAATCAGATAATATATTCCATAATTTTTCAACCAAATTGAACTTATTGCAACTTTATACCAAAATTTTTCAATAATATTTAAATTTAATTGCAATTTTAATTCTGGTAATATCATTTGTTTTAGATCCTTTAGATATTGATCTCCATTAGGATCTTCAATTTCTTTTAATATATTTTTTAAAATTAAAGTTAATTCATTCTCAATTGCTTTTGATTCAGATATTTCAAATTGATTATTTGTTTCAATTTCTTCACATCTTGTTAAATCTAAATCAATGTTTTTTACATTATTAAACATTGAATATTCTAATGGTTTATATTCCATTTGTTTTTGATTATTCATTGGATTTATATTTTTAGCATAAATATATTTTGCTTTTTCTCCATGAAGTTTGATATCCTTTTTGTAATTGTCAATGAATGTTGCAAATTGATGATCATTTTTAAAATAATTATTAGGGAAAATTATAGGACTAGTTTGTAAATTAAATAAATTTCTTAAATTTGATATTAGATATATAGATGATGAAGGAGATGAAAATAAATATGAAGATGAGCCAAAATATAATTGTAATGGTATAAATAGTAGTAGTATTCCAATTATCCAATATGATGAATATGTTTTTAATTTTTTAAATACTTTGGAAATATAACTTTTAATCATTTATAAATATATTAGGTATATCATGTAGTATTATGGAATAGATGGATTTTCTAATTGATAAAGCAAACACAGGTTAACTCTGTTAAAGATTCAGATAATGATAACGACAAGGATTCTTAAGATACACATTCATCTAAGTAAGTCTCTTTATTTTTCAATTTAATGGAATTTGAAAAATAAAAATTAATTTTTAATGATAAAGTTCGTAAATTATGAAATTGTGCTTCTTTAATTAGGCTTAAACAATAGTGTGTGATTTTTAACATAAGTTTCATCGATTTTTAACCCTACCGTTCCGCCCTCAAGCTACCAGCCTTTCCCGAGAACATATCTTTCAGTCTCCATATCATCCCTCATCTGGTGTTACGCGTTACATTCTTTTCTCACTAAAGTTTTGTTAAGTATATTGGTTAACCCAACCCGCCTTGTGTTTCTAATTTGAATGTAACTGAATCTTAATTCTTTTTAAACTTTATCCAAATTACACAAAATTAGATTTCTAATTTTGAACTTAAAATAAGGAGAAAATATTATTATAATTATAATTTTGCACCCAAAAGTATAAATGGTTGAATACCAAGAGAATAAAAATAAGATCGTACCTTAAACATCTTGATATTTTTATTAGGGTCTAGTCTTGTGACTTAAGCAAAGAGTGAGATACTACTGAGCAGTCTATACGAAGTTAAAAGTCTTTCCATTAGATTCCGATTTGAACGAGGCTTATACATTTATTTTAATTCTTCGTAACCAGTTTGATAAATTGTATCCTATTCTCTGTGTTAAGCAATTACCACACAAAAGCTCTACCTTTTCTCTCAAATATTTTTAAAATCAACTCAAATTTAACTAAATAATTCTTACATTAGTTAAGTCTATTCTAAGATGCTAAAAATGTGTATAGAATATAATGTATAAATGCTATAAAATCTAATGTAAAATAAATAAATGATGAAATGAATAGTAATAAATAAATGGCGAATCAAGAGTTTTTAACTTGGGTTAGTTAAACCATTACTTTCTTTATATGATTTTGAATATTCAATACAATAATCAAAAGCAGATTTTATAGAACATTCAACATTAAAATTTGTAAAATCTTGATTATCTTCGTCAATCTTTGTTGTTACTAAGTTATGAATATAATTTTCATCTTCATCCGAAAATAAACTTGTTAATAAACCTTTTATATAAATCATATCAATAGTAACATCAGCTCTTGAAAAAGTTAAAGTTAATAAATCTTCAGAACCCGTTAGTTCCCATGATGATATACCATTGGGTATAATTAAATTTTTACCATTACATAAATTTTGATCATTTTCATCCCATGATTTTATTTTAATATTATTAAAATCTATACTTTTGGAAATATGTGAAATTTGATATTTTTTAGTCTCTTCATTTTTTATTAACATGTATAGGTTAGGTCTATAAAATTTTTCACCACATCCACAATTTTTTAATGCTATTCTTGCAAAACCTATCCAAATTTGAATTTTAAAAGTTTTTAATAAATTTTGTAATTGAATTAATTGTTTGTTATTAGGTGTTGGATCACTAATTCCATAATTATCATTTTTCTTATCAAGTATCTCCCTAATATTATATAATTGTGTACCACCTCTAAACTCACTTATTAAATTTTTTTTATTCATTAAATATTCCCATTCACATAATTCTTTATCCCAAAAACATTTTAAAATTTTTAAATTTTTAAATTGATAAATAAAATTTATTGATTTATCAATTCCATTATTTTTAAATCTTTCCAGAAAATCAATGAAGGGAGTCCAATTTTTTTCTTTTTCCATACGTTTAAAATTTGGTAATATTAATTCTTTAATTTTTATATATTCTTGATTCTTATATTTTTCATCAATTTCTTCGATTGAGTTTTTACCAATTTGAGTTTCCCATAACCATCCAATATAAATTGATCTAAAAAATTCAAAATATATTGATCCTTCATTATCATTTTCAATTGTTTTAAATTTTGAAATTTTTCTATGATATGAATTATATATTATCAAAGGTTCATCAAATCCCATATCATTTTTAATTAGTATTAATCTTGGATCTTCTGCTCCATAAAATCTACCTGATTGTTTCTTTGCGTTATGATAAATTGGAATAGGTAGGAATTGAGGATAATGAAATGATTTATATTCTATATTATTATTTTTTTGATTATTTTCCTTATCTTTACTAAATCTCGGTATAATTAATTCAACATTTTTTAATTCATTCCAATTCGAATCAAAAATTTGTACATAAATTAATGATATAACTGGTTTAACTTTATTTCCAGTTGATGTATAAAATATTCTTGAAGTTAATAAATGAATACCATATTGTTCTAACCATACTGAACTTCCAATTAATTGAAACCAATATTTATTAATTGTATTTTCTTGTAATTGTTGTTTTAAATTGGGGATTAGTTCTTTAATTTCTTGATAATATGGACTATTTGATTGCATAAATTGATAAAGTATTGCAGTCAAATTAGCATTTCGATTTTCATATTCACTAATTTGAAATTCAATTTCTCTAAACTTATCGCTACATTTGAGATTGGGCTTCGATTCAGTTGTTGCAGAATTTTCATTTGATTTAGGTTCTTCCTTTTGCTTTAGTTCTTCATTGACATAATTTGAATCAAATATACCAATTTTATAATTTTCAAATTTCAAATCATTAGGATATTTTACACTATTTTCATTATTAACAATTAAGAAATCATTTTTTTGAACTTTAGAACTTAATTGCTTTTCATAAATCCAATTTAATTTATTTTTATTTAATTTTAAATCATTTGGGAATATTATAATTTTATTGGTGTCTTCATTTATTGAATTGAAATTATTATTTTGTAATTCTGATTCTATAAAATTTGTTGATGGTATAACTATATCATTTATTGGTTGATTATCATATAAATTTATTAATAATGATATAAATGAAAATGCTAATAAGATTAAACATAATTTATAAATCGAATACATTTATACACAGCCAAGTTTTGAAAATGTCCTTTTCAATATATATGGTTCTTGCTTATAGTGCGGTTTTTTGGAACTTCTTATGAATTGTACTACTTGTTCATATTAATTTTGAATTGAACTTGAATTCTAAGAATTGTGATATTCTATCCGACTTTATTAACTTCTTATTAATTTTAAGTATAACTTGAAATTCCTAAATCTACTCAATTTGAAGTGATATCTGTATTAACAATACCAAATTGATCAATTTCTCAAGTTGTAATCTCAATTACTTTTTTCAACCTTTATGTCCAAGTCAAAGTAACATGAAAGAAAGTGGTTGTAAAAGATGAGATTGTTAATTATGGAAAATTATTTTTATTTGAAAATGGTTTGATTTATTTATAAAATAAATATGTAAATACAAAAAATAAAATGTGTTACAAATTCAAACTTTAAATATCTATTAACAAATTCCTAATCATTTAAGGACAAATTACTCGTGTGCTATTTAAATTTCGATATGTCAATTGCTTAAGCTACAGTATCCGAGATAAGAACCTTAAAATCTAAGTTGAATTTATAGGCTATATTTGATCATGGCTTTTTCTGTGTAGAAAAAATTCTAATTTTAGAATTCTATATAGCCCTATAGTATTGATTTTGTATCATTTATTTATCTGGTTAAATTTACCAATACGTTTACAACCATTAACCTGAAAAAGGTAAAGAAATGACCAATCGGTTCTCAGTTTATCATTTGAGATAAAAGTTATCACTTCTAGGTACAGCTTTAATGAATGGGTACACTCGATCTTGCCAATCATCCGTACCACGTTGTTTCAAATAGTTTACAAATTTATTTTATTTTTTTTCGTTTTGCTTAAGATTTTTGTGATTTTTGAAACTAAGCCCTTGAGGGGCTTTTTAACCTGAAAATAGCGGATAGATACTTGTATTATAATTACGTACAGACTACTTGCCTTCATTGAAGACTATTCAATCGTTGTAAGATTGAATAAAGATTAATATACTCCAGCTCTAATAAGAACAAGATTTTGAATATTGAGAATCAGAAAAGATGTATTGCACCAATTTAACGTTCCTCTTTTCCACGACTTTGTGAATAATTGGAACAAAAATTGACCAAATTTTCTAGCAAAGAGAAAATCCATAAATTATACTATAAAATTGACTTTTATTAAAATATTTATAAAACTCTACCAACAGTAGCACCACTTGAAACTTTAGTTTCTACTTTACGTAATGTTGAACCTCCTGTAATTTGATTTAATAAAGCTCCTATATTTGGATTTCCTGTAGCTTGATTTTGAAGCTGATTTTCAGTTGTTGAGTTTGATCCTTGTCCATTATTCGAAGCTGGAGGAGGTGGTGGTGGTGCTGGCGGAGCAGCTGCAGATGGTGCTGCTCCATTATTCGTTTGTGGGAAAGGAGGAGCTGGTGGTGGTGCAGAATTTAAAGGAGGGGGTGGTGGAATGTTTGAAGGAGGAGCAGGTGGAATGTTTGAAGGAGGTGGTGGAGGTGGAACATCAGATGGTATTGATGGTGGACCATTAGTTGGTGGAGAAGGAGCTGAAAATTGTTGAGGTTGTTGTGTTGGTAGTGGTGGTGGCGGTGGAACTGATTGAGGCAATGATGGAGCACTATCAGATGGTTGAGATGAAGCAAATGAAGGTGATTCAACTGATAACTCTGGTTCTACATTTCTATTTTCTTGATCAAAATTTGTATCTTCAACTTCTTTGGAATAATTAGTTTGTGGTTGCACAGACTCTTGAACAGGATTGTTTGATTCTGTTGCTTCAGACTGAGTATTACCAGTTTGTTGTGGTGCCATACCTCCAAATAATAAATTAGCTAAATGAGCAGCTCCAGCTCTATTTGGTGCATCATCTTCTGAATCATCATCTTCTGAGTCACTCCAATTATCATTATTTGAAATTCCTCTTTGAAAACCTCTTTGAATAGATGCCTTTTGAGTATCAACTGGAGTTGATTGAAATTGTTTTTTAAAAAATGGATTATTATCATGTCTTTTTGGAGGTTGTGATTGTATAGGTTGTTCGGCTTCTTTCTTCTCTTCTAATTTTGGTGTAGGAATTTGATCATTAGTTGATTCCTGTTGCGTTCCAGGTCTTGCTAAAGTTGACTCTTGAGATTTATTCGAAGTTGATTGACCATGAGCAGTGTATGTCTTAGCAGTATTTGGTTGGAAATCGAAATCTTCATCATCTGAAGAAGAATAATCTTGAGGAGCTTGTGTTGAAGAGGGTAATGGTTGTTGATGGTTGTTTTGGGTGCTAGAAGATACTTCAGGCTGCTTTGGTGGTTCAGCAACGTCATTCTTAATTGGCTCTGGTTTTGCAACTGACTCGACTGGCTCCTCTTTTTTAACAGGTTTTTCTTGATTAACCTTTGGTTCAGTTTCCTGTGGGTTTGATGGCTCAATTTTTTGTTCTGGTTGTTGTGGTTTAATAGTTGATTCTTTTTGCTGTGATTTTGGTGGCTCGACTTTATTCACTTCTTTTTCAACCGGTGCTGGTGCGGTTTGGCTCTCTCCCGACTTTTTGGCATTTCTACTACTTCTACTGATTCCAAGTTTTTCAAGTCTAGCGGCCATTCTTCTTTCAGCTTCAGCTTTAATATAAGCTGCCCTTTCTTCGGCAGTGTTGTAGGTTGACGGAGTAGATGAAGTAGCCGGTTGAGAAGATACATCGTTTTTGACAAATTTATCATTATTTGTTGTAGCATGGCTTGGTTGAGCTTGTTGTTGTCTTGGTTGTTCGTTTTTAACTGGTTTATCTGGATTTTGATACCTTGATAATTCTCTAACAAAAGATGCTACTGCTTCATTAATACCAAATCCTTTTTCCCATTTTTCATAACCTGATTCTAATCGAGATGAGGTTTTTAACTTAGATGCACATTCATTTTCTAATGATTTGATTCCAGATTCAATGTCTTTAATCATTTCTGATTGACTTTTTAAATCAGAATTCGATTTTTCAATTGCTTCTTTGAATTTATGATCAGAATTACCATTTGGATTTTTCCCAGTTAACATGGCCATTTTTTGTTTCAAATCAAACTTACCAGGATTATTTACATCAATATTAGATTCATCCCAATTTGGATTCTCACTTTTAATTTGTTTCTTCACAAGCTCAACTTTTTTATCTGATATATCTTTATTGATTTGATTTATATCGGAAATTAATTTTGGAATTTGATCTCTTGTAATATGATCCAATTTTTTAAGTAAATTCAGTTTTTTATTATTACCATCTTGTTTAACAATTTTTGTATGTAAATCAAAAATTTGTGTCTTTAATTTATCAATTTCATTTGAACCAGCTGATTGTTTCTCTTCATCTTCAACATCCATTGCATCTAATAATATTTTCTTTTCTCTAATTAATTTCTTTAATTCATCAATTGTTAAATCAGAATCTTTGGAAGATCTAACACTAGATTTTTCAGCTGGTTCCTCAGATGATCCTTTCTTTTTATAACGTGCACTTGATACATATCCAACATCGTCATCATCATTCTTAAATCTTGAACCACTCAATTTCGTTTGAGGCTTACTTTTATTTGATTTATTAGCTCCATTATTTTTCAATGAATTTTTCAAACTGTCCATTGTATCTCTAAAAGTTTTATCAGCTGGTGGAATCAATTCAGGAGGTAATCTAGTTGGAATATCTAAACCATTTAATCTTCTATAAATCAAATGCATAGCAACAGCAAATTGATTTTTATTCAATTTCCCTACATCATCAGTATCAGCTAATGTCCAAATTGCTTCCAAATCAGATCTACTTAAACCGGATTTGGTAAATACATTTAATGCAACATTGGAATCAACATAACCTTTCCTACCAGTATCCCAAGCCTGAAACAAATTATCATATATCAATTTTTCTTGCTTAGAAATAGCCCAAGTGACATTACTTGATGAATTTTGATTCATAACTTTATTTAAATCTTGATAATTTTGAGAATTATTATTTGGTTGAAAAACTGAATGCATAGTATTTAAACCTTGATAACCACCTGTTGGCATCGAGACAAACCCCCATTCACCCGGTCTCCCAGTAGGTTGAGCTCTCAACATACCTGTTGGTTGCAGTTGTAAAAATCCATTGGAACCAGTTTGTTGAGGTAACATTTGTCCTGTTTGTTGAGATTGAATTGGTATTGGACCTGTTTTATTTGCTTGTAATGGTCCCGTTTTTTGTGGTTGTAAACCAATTGTATTGAAACCTGTTTGTTGTGGTTGAAAACCAGTAGATTGTGGTACTAATCCTCCCGTACGTTGTGGTTGAATTCCGTTTGGTTGTGGAGCAAAATTGCCTGTACGCTGTGGTCCAAGTTGATTGAATCCAGTTCCTTGTGCTTGAAGTGGACCAGTTTTTTGAATCAAACCAGCAGTTTGTTGAGGTTGTAGTGGAACAAATTCGCCTGCTCCACCAAATGAAGTGGCTGGAGGTTGTTGACGTTGCTGATTGAAACCTGTACCTTGAGGTGCTAACCAATTATTTTGAGTCGGTTGTTGATTAAAACCAGTGGTTTGAGGTTGTATAAAATTGTTTTGTTGTTGTCCAAATCCAGTTTGTTGTTGAGCAAATCCAGTCTGTTGTGGGGCAAATCCAGTTTGTTGTGGTACGAATCCTGTTGATTGTGCTCCAAAACTTGTATTTGGTGGGTTATAGCCTGTAGCTTGAGAGCTTAAGCCTGGTTGTGAAAACCAATCATTCTTTTTGGCGAATGGTGTGTTGGCTAAAATTTTATTTGGATCATCAGGTATACTAAAATTGATAGCATCCATGAAACTTTTTACTTCATTCAACCATTTTGCTGGTAATACCCCTGGTAATGGCTCACCTTTTTTTGCAACATTACATAAATGTAAACTTAAAGCAAATTCTGGAAATAATAATGATCCTGTCTTGTCAACGTCAGATAAAGTCCAAATTTCAGCTAATGTAACCGCATTTAAACCAGATCTAAGCAATATGTTACTTGCTGAATCACCACTTATTGCTTGTTCACCTCTAGGAACTGCAGTTCTGAAAAGATGTTCGAATTTACGTTGATCTTCAGCTGTTATAAATGATAATCTAAAACTAGGTATTTTCAACTCATTGTTTTCAACCACAGTCGGAGCTCCACTGAAACCCGTTGCTTGAGTTTGTATATACCCTGGTTGAATATTGGATTGAAATAAATTAGGTTGCATGAAACCAGTACTTTGAGTATACAAAGGTTGTTGTTGCTGTTGTGGTTGCTGCTGCTGTTGATATTGTTGTTGGTATTGTTGGTTGTTGGGTTGGCCGTAACCCATGCCAGTTGCTTGATAAGAATTGAACATAGTTGAAGTATATCAATTATAATGCAACAATTTAATAATCAATCTTCTTCTTGGTCTATAATTGTGATTTCGATAATTCTTGGTGCCTTTTTTCTTGTTCCAACGAAATACTTCCGACCGATAAATTTATACAGAATGTCGATTTAAATGAAATACTGACAAAGGAGATTATGAGACATTTAGCGATCTTAACATATCGATGAAATCTAGAAACTACAGTATATTAATCTAATCTAATTATCTAATTCTAAAACTTCTGACCAAAAATTGATTTCCAATAAAGTAACATCATTAAATATTCTCACCAATTCCTCTACTCTTTTTTTAGGAAGTTCATCAACTAACAGATTCAATGCTTTCGTACCTTCAATATTGGCTTGTTGATACCAATCAGAAGTATATTCATCTAACCATGACTTGTAAACCTTTTTAGATTCTGAATCCTCGGATTTTGGATTTGCCTTGAACAAGTTCAAACCGTAAACACCAGCTTCTGCATATCCATGTAAGCAAGGAGCTAAAGCTGTTTTGATCCCTAAGTAATCTTCTTTCATTCCACAACTAATCAAGTAATCACAATATTCAATACATGCTTTACCTGGTTTCAATTCATCAATATCTTTATCATAATCAACATCATATGCTTTTAGTTTTCTTTTATGATTTTCGATTTCTTGGACAATTTCACTTATGATTGTAGCTTGAGAATGAGTCTGTTGATATGTTTCAGCTTTTGAAGCGGATAACCCATGCATTCTAGCATAAATAATAAGGTAATGATAATCTTGTTTTAAATAATACAAAAATTTATCAAATGGTAAAGTATTATTGGCAACCTGTTGTACAAATGGATGTTGGGTATACTTTTTCCAGTTGTCCTTAACTGAAGGATGATTTATTAAGTAGTTCAAAAAAGTATGTTCAGTATCAAACTTCATTAAATCCCCATTTTCATATTCCACTAACTCATGCAAGTAATTGACCGGTTGTACGTTATGATTCAAAGGACCATTCCCATGTCCTAATTTTGACATTTGTAACATCCCTTTGTGAATATAATCTATTGATATACCAACAGATTCAACAAGATCCTTATTCTTTGCAAGATTAGCTGCAATTGCAGAAGATAAGGAGCAACCGGTACCATGGGTATTTTCTGACTTTATAAACTTTGATTCAAATACTGTTACTTCTCCAGAGGGTTGATAAAGAATATCTATAATTCTTTCACCTGTCGATGATTCTCTATCGTTATTATCAAATGGAATATGACCTCCTTTTACCAATAAATTCTCACATTTCAAAAGGTTTTGTAAACTTATCACAAAAGATTTAAAATCTTGTATTGTGTTAATTACAGGAACTTCTCCTCCAAGTAATGAATAAATTGTCTTGGCTTCAACAAAATTAGGAGTGACTAGGTATGACTTTGGAATCAAATAATTAATACAATGTTGAATTCCTTCTGTGTCAATTAATGTACTACCTGAAGTACTTATCATCACTGGATCTATAACAAATTTGATTCCATTTAATTCATACTTTGTAAGTTCCAATATTGCTTCTTTTGTTAACATCCCTGTTTTGATTACCTTTAATGGTCCCTCATTGTCATAAAAATCTTCAAAGTTGGCCAACAATATCTGACTCAACAAGTTGCTCGAAGTTTTCTCGAATGTTTTAACTCCCTTTGTGTTTTGAGCAGTTAATGCAGTAATGCAAGTCATACCATAGACTCCAAAAGCACTAAATGTTTTCAAGTCAGCTTCAATTCCTGCACCTCCTGAAGAATCACTACCTGCAATAGTCATCACTACCGGCAATTCAACATGATTGGCTTTTGATTCTCGGATTTTTATATGATTGGTTTTCATGAAATAAGTTGTCTTCCCCACATTATGTAGTAATCAATTTTTCAAAATATTATGCTTCAACTAATTTATAACATTCATTAGTTTATGCGCTTAAGAGGAAATGAATTCAACAATGCTACCAACAATATTATATTTCTAATCTACTTTACCATGTACCTATTTATTTTTTATCATTCCCTTTTCCACCAATCTTATTATAATAATCTATCAAATGTTCTTCAGATTTACGTGTTTCATCACGAAATTCACATCTAATATTTGGAATATTTGTTTTCTCAATATCATTTCCATCAACTCCTCCAAGCATATAATTTTTACCTAACCAATGTTTTTTATTTTCTGCTTCATATCCGCTTTGTAAACATGAATTTCTAGCTAATTCACACATATCAACACTGGATAACTTATAAATTTGAGCAGCTACTGAATATTCTTCAATAAGCGGTTCCTTGGTGTAAGAAAATTGTAATGGATCATCTGTGGATAACGATACATTCATACCCTTTTTGAAAAAATTGTAAAATGGATTCTTATCATATGTAAGAAATAATGCATTATTTGAAAGTGGGGACATTGCAATTCCAATTTGATCCAAGTAATAAAGATATTGAACAAATGGTAATTTTCTTAATAATATTCCATGAGAAATACCATATGAAGTTAAAAAAGCACTTATTAAATGTTCGGGATCACCTGCTTCTCCACAATGAGGTCTTAGCACAAATGTATTCATTTTATTTTTCAATCTCAAATGATTCAAAGTTGCCATATTTGCATATAAGTAATACAAATAATAAGAATATGGTGGATTATTCGTATAATTCCATTCACTTGCAGGTGGAAATTTTCTTGATTCAATTGGTTTATCAGCTTTTGATTCATCATCAACTGAATCAAACCCAACTACTCTTTGTAAAAATACATAAAGTTTAGGATGAGTTTTTGGGTTTTTGGAAACTTCAAATAATGGTTCAAATAAATTTTTAACAATATCTAAGAAACAACGAACATTCCCATTCTTTTTATAAATATCATATAATCTTGGAACTTGAATTAACCATCTTACGTTATGACTGAATAATTTATTGTCGATAATCCAAGCTGCTAATTTATCCCATTCATGAATTGATCTTCCATAGATTGAAATTCTCAATTCACACATTTGATATTTTGAATTTTCTAAATCTTCCATAACTTGTTTAGTTATTTCTGCTAAATATTTACCATCTATAAAATTATCCGTTTTTAGAAAAATTTCTCTTAATCTAGATTCTCCAATGGGATTATATTTTAAATTAAATTTATCAAATCTATGGAATGTATCAGTATGAGCATGCATATCTAATGTATCGATTGATAAATCATAAGCTGTTAAATTCAAAGATTTAAAAACTTCAGCTAATGTTAAAATCTTACCATCTCTGAAAATTACAGGTTCATCAGGATCATTTTTTAATTTGTATTTGATAAATCTTAATAAATGCTTTTGATTCATACAAGCAGAATGATGAATGTGAGTATCTACCTTACGAACATTATAAAAATCACGATGAGGATTTCTTTTTGACTGTTTTGTTTCTTCAAATTCATTTAAAAGATAGTACATATTCCATTTTGCTTCAAGGTATTGTAATCTTTTAAATGCAAATGATTTTGTAGGACCATCTGATGAAATTTTACTAATAATGTTCATATCTCTGTGGTATTGATCTAAGCTTGGAATATTGACCAATTTTTGGTCATTTTCACTATCATAAACTTGATAAACTCCTTCTTCGTCTAAAATAAAATGAAAATTATCATCGATTAAATCAGGGATTACACATTTACTAAAATCAAATTCTTCTTGTTCATCTTCATTTTTACTAGTTTGATTAAACTTGTTTTTGGATTTATATGTGGGTTTCGGTGGTGGTGGATAAATTTTCCAATCCGGCTGATTCCTTGGATTTAACAGTTCTGGGATTTGTAATGATAATTTCAAATATTTATGTCTTAAATCTAAACACTCTTTAACATTCTGATAAAATTCAATCAATTCTCCAGAAGGGTATTCTTCAGGTAATGCATTTTGAGTAGAAACTGGATCTGCTCGGGATGCAGCTAAATGGGGAGCTTGAGTTGGTAAAGGATGTCCATTCAGACCGTAAGGTAAATCTATAATTGAAGGTCTTCTTTTTAGGTTTGAATTATTGGGAGGCGATGGGGTAAAATGTTGATTTCCATTATGTAATGCTTGAAAAGTTTTCATTTTCAAATCATGATCCTTCATATATCTATCTTGAGATGTTGAAAATTGAGCAGAATTCATGGTTTTAGAATATTCATCATCACTTTCTGAATCAAAATGGTGATCATAATCATTGTCATCCATTATTGGAGTTTCTTTATCGGGTAGACTATTTGCAGAATTGTCTTTCAACCTCATACTTAAGTTAGACTTCCCACACATCGTTGCTTGGTTGATGTAGTAAGCAATTTATTTTGAGATTTAATTCACAAAAACGGAGAATTTCAAAAATTATAAAAGCCGCTTAATTTACAAAATAAATTAAAAATGTGTATTAACAAATTTATAAACTAACTAAAGAATTGAAAGAAACTGGGTTGAGAATAGGTATTTTAATTTTTTGTCAACGTTGGAATGAAATCTATGAAAATGTTTTTTTAATGCCTCGAATTGAAAAATGGTTGCTTATAAGATTAATGCGGATAATCCGATAGCTGCAAGCGCCATTGGTGCAAATTTATTTGTGTTTGGAATAGCACCATTAACTGTGACAACACTTGAAGAATTAGTGGCATTGTGAATGGTTGATTGAGTAACTGTTGAAATTGATACAGATGAGTTAGCAAATTGATCTCTAGCAATGAATTTTAAATCTCTTAATTGTAATTCAGTTAATTCTAAATCTCTTTTGAAAATTTGTTGTAAATCTCTATATAAAGCATTTTTCAAATCTTGATCATTAAAAGCTCTAGTGATAATGTCTGTTAATAATCCTGAGTTTAATAATGAGTTGACTAATGGAACAAGTTTAGACCAGTCGGTATTTAAAGCACCTGATAAAGTTGAACCAATGTTTGCAAAAACACCAGTTAAAATTTGAACGACTGCTCCTTCAAATTGATCATCCGTAACTAAATATTGAATAGTTTCATTAAGTAAACCTGATCTTGTAATTGATGAAAAAATAGTAGTTAATAAATCTTCAATATTATCTCTTTTCATGTTTTGTAAAGCAATTGCTACTTCATCTGTTTCTTGTCTTTTTTGTTTCATAGCTTGTAAAACTTCTTCGACAAAATCATCTCTTTTTTTAGAACCACCTCCACCGAGAGCAGCAGTGACTTGAGCTAATGCTGAATAGTTGATTGTAGTAGCTCCAATACCAAATTGTGATGGTGGAAGTGATTGGAAAGCTGGACCTTGAATAGTTCTGAAATCATATGATGTAACACCACCGTTTCCGTTAGCAGCAGCAGCAGTAGTAGCAGCAGGAGCTTGAGTAGTTGCAGGAGCAACTTGTGTAGATTGAGCTTGAGCTCTAGTAGTTGTAGTACCAGCAGCATTAAGTGTTAACTGAGTGTTACCACTTTCTTGAGCAGCAGCAGCTGAAATTAATGCGGCAATTGAAGCAGTATTAATATTACTGACATCAACTGATCCTTGAGGAATACCAAAAGTAACACCACCAGCACCACCATTAGCTGATCCACCATTTGTGTTTATATTTGATATAGCAGCAGTAGCAAATGAACTTAAACTAGAACCCAAACTTGATAAACTACCCAAATTTGAAAGTGAACCAGTGGCAAGTGTAAGAGCAGCGGTATTTCCAACAGCTCCAGAAACTTGAATAGTAGTACTTCCACTACCACCAATACCATTAACAATATTACCAAAACTTGTGCCAGCTAAAGTGTCTTTAACAACTTGAATAACAAAAGGTAAAGTATTTGGGTTTTCTATTAAATCAGCAATTAAAGTATAAAGTAAACCTGAATTTTTTAATGCAACAAAAACAGGAGTTATATCAAATTGACCAGCAACTCCTAATAATCCAACAACAGCATCACCTGCAATACTTCTTGTTGAATTATTACTGACTATATAACTTATTGCGGCTGGAACCAAATTAGTTGTACCAATAAATTCCAAAATATAATCCAAATATTTAACATTATCATCTTCTGTTAATAAATTATTTGCCCAACCTGCTATTCCTTCAAAATCAATTGAATCAATGATTGAAGTAAGATTGATTGATGAGGCTAACTCTTCAGCGTATGTCAATAAATCTCTATCTTGAATATCTTGATATAAATCTGTTAAATCTCTTGGGGTTACATCTAATCCCAAAGGATCTGATCTTGGAGTCAAGATTGGTTTAGATGCTGCAATTGTGACTATGGAAATGGATGCAAATATAGTTGAGAACTTCATGGTGAGGGAGTTTGATTAACGAAAGAACTGGTTGATGATAAAAGAAAAAAAAAACTAGTCATTTAGATTCATGATAATTCAGCTTATATATAAAACTTATACACCATGGAATGTTTCTCCTTCATATTATTCCATGTTTTACTATAAAAAGTAAGTTAAAGTTGGCTCAGATTTTGTGTTACTGAAGATTTAATTTTCACGATCTTTTATTAAAAAAAATAAAATTAAAATTTAATTTGACTTCCTAATTAAGTAATTTTTTAGATATTTCGTAAAAGAGGCTTTCAAAATTACACTTAAAGCTGGGACTTATGGATCAAACATAAACATTTTCACAGTTTTTCCACGTTGATACAAGCTTTTTCATTAGAAGATCTCCTCAGATTGAGTTGGAAGCTAAGATTGAATATTATTTAGACAAGAGTTGGTTTGTAAATGAGAAAACGTTAAAATGTTCATAAATATTTTGATATTAAGCAATTAAGTATAAATTGTTTCAAAACGAGACATGTTCAAATTAGGAAATCAATTCTCGAGGAAAAACATGAATCTAGAATCCACGACTATAATATATATAATGGAACCTTAAAATGATAAGTCGATCCAACCACTTCCGATTTAAAATATTTATCTTGTATATCTGATTCTGAATTTATATCATCTTTTGAGAAATTGAATTGAAAGTTTAAATAATACTTTAAATCCATAAATGATTTACTTTGAAATTGGGAAGTGATGAATTTAGGAATATTTATGAAATCGTTGATTAAATTTGTTCCTTTTGAAAATGTTAATGATAAAGTATTTAATTTATTGTTTCCTGTTATATTGTAGTTGTTTATGACCTCTTGATTGGTATGATATATTTCATTAGCTTCGATATATGCAATCACACCAACAATTTTTGTTTCCCCAGGTGAAATTTCTAAAGTATAATGAATATCTTCACCCTTATGGAAATAAGGCTTAGATAGATATATTTTACAGATGTCTTCACTATTGACTTTTAATTGGTACAGGGTTTTCAAATGTGGGGGTAGTTGCTGCAAGTAAGAACCGTTATTCATTGAATCGGTTACAATATTTAAACTCAGTTTTCTTCTTTCATTTGTTGATATTTTTGGCATACTATAAACATCGGAATCAATAAGCAGGGATAAATCATTTAAGAAATCTTTTTTACCTGATGTTGTGCCGTTAATGCTTGAAGGTTCAGGATCTTTCTCTATTATCGACCAAGATTTGTCTAGTCCTAAAGGTTTTTCAAAATAATTCGGTTGTAAATGTCCAGATTTTTGATTGGGTCTTATATCTAGTGGAAAATAGATTGATTTAGACTTATTGATATTATTTTCATGTAGACTCACTACAAGTGAATATCTTATACTTGTCCAACCTTGATCGCACGCTGGACCGGTAGATCTAGTATTATAACTAGGTGGTAAATTTTCATTTACAGGTATTTGAAATTTAAATGTCTTTGAAGAATTTTGAGGAATATTTAAATCAGTGAATAATAAAGATTGTTGAGTTGTATAAAATGGCAAAATTGATTCCGTTAGGTCAGATAATGGTAGTAAGTTGTTTGTAGTTGGAAACGAATCGAAAGGATTTATTAAATCATGTAACAAAGTTGGATCAATGTCTATCTCGTTTGTACTAAGATCTTTTATCCCAGCTAATAAACCACCAAATACTAACTTATCATTGAATCGTTGTTGAATAAAATCCATTTCATCTATTTTTGTAAACGCCTCTTGCTCCTTCTTGTCCTCTTCATCATCTTTAATATTATATTGATTCAAATATTCAGTATTGTTCCACCATTGATAATGTTTATTCAAATCTAGTGCAGCAATGTCCATTGAAAATTTATAATTCAAAATCATATAACCAAATAACTGTATATGTCCCAATACTAGCTTTAAAGTTTGGTCAATTGGTTGATCAATTAATTTTTCTTCTTCTTGTGTTTGAAAGAAACTCGGTAGCCAACTTTTGGTACCATTTGATTCGGTTGGATTTATCACGACATCTGATTTTGAAGTATTGTGAAAGGTCAATTCACATTTGACAGTTTCATTCTCAAGTTCATCATATTTCAAAGAGATGGTGAGATTTTCTAGTTGTTTGGTCCATTCAGTCAGCATTTATTGATATAGCGTTAAAAATCAAACGCGGTGATAAAAAAAAAATAACTTAATTATGTATTACGTTTTGGTGGTATTTACATAGACCAAGGATTTCTAGCGCCGTCATTAATTGATCACCTAAATTTAAGATTGATAAAGGATTGGATAACTCATCAAAGATAGTTTGTACACCCTCAAAGAGCGTTTGAAATTCTGTGGATTTATGGATTCATTTATTCAAATGTCTTTAAGAATAGGAATCAATTTCAACAAAATTACTCTGGGAAAGAGCCATTAAGAGACCTTAGCTTGGTTGGAGAGGCAGAGGAGAGCTATGAGCGCGAGATAATACTAATATTTACTGAGTTCACTCTATAAGTCTTCATCTAAAAATACTCTTGCTCAAATACAATCTTATAGTGACAACTTGTAAATTTTGAATCCAAATCCACCAAGTTCAAAATTTAAGAAGATGTATTATGCAGTCTACTTATGTTATATGGTATATAGGTTGAATACTATGTTACAGCTTGATCTATTTGATTTCTTGTTGTTGTTGTTGTTGTTGTTGTTGTTGCTGAAGTTGTTCTAACTTCTCGGTATTACCATCTGCATCGGCTACTTGTTGTTGTTGATAATCTAATCCACTACCTCCTACTCCTATGTTTTGATGGAAATCTAAAATTTCTCTATACATCATTACTCTCCAATTATCTACCGGTAAGTCAGCATCATTGAAACTCCAATCAAATTTAGTTTCACAAACTGGTTCATCGGTTGGATCGTGATATGGTGCCATATAAGGATGAGTCAAAGCTTCAGCAGCACTTATTCTCTTTTTTGGATCAAATACTAACATCTTAGCTAATAAATCTATAGCTTCTGGTTCAACATGAGTACATGAAGCAAATCTTTCACTAAAAGGTATTGGATCTCTATGTGGTAAAGATTGAACAAATCTTAATGTATTTTCAGAACATATGGTATCAATAACATCTGACGGAGGACTACCTAATAATTCTGTTATAATTGAAAATTGATGAACATGATCTTTACCTGGAAATAATGGCTTCCCTTCAATCATTTCTGCTAATATACATCCTACTGACCATATATCAACTTCTGTATCATACTTTTGCCAAGTTAACATAATTTCAGGAGCTCTATAATATCTTGTTGAAACATATCCTGTCATTTGTGGATCTTGAATTCTTGCTAATCCAAAATCACAAATTTTTAAGTCACAATTTTCATTAATAAGAATATTTGAAGGTTTTAAATCTCTATGTATAACTCCTGCTGAATGAATATATTTCATACCTCTTAAAATTTGATAAGTAAAATATTGTATAAATTGTTTTTCCAAAGGTCTTGAAGTTAATAATCTATGTAAATCTGTACCTTGTAATTCATTTACAAAATATATATCTTCTAAAGGTGAAATAAAAATATCATCTAAAGTAATTAAATTTTCATGTCTTAAATGTTTTAATAATTTCAATTCTCTATATGTTCTTTTAGCTAATACTGATGTTGAAAAAGGTTTCATGATTTTTTTAACTGCTACATTTTGACCAGTTAATTTATCTACTGCTGAACAAACTAATCCAAATGCCCCCATACCCACTGGGTTTAGGTCAGTATACCGATTGGTTATTTCAAATACCGTTCCAAATATTTGCGTTCTGGTGAATTCTCCGTCTGATGACATATTGAGATAAGCGAAGGTTGAATTGATCGATTGAATGAAATGTATATGTTTTGAGTTTAGATATGTAAATTACTAAATACTTTTTTCGTTAAATTATTTTTTTTCTTTTTGCCTACTAAATATAAATGGACTTAAGAGAATACTTTGTAAGATAAGTCTTTTGAGGAATGATTAGAGATTTTGAGAGGATGATATTTAAAGGTCATCCTTCAACATAGGTTTCGATCTTACATTTTTTTGGTTGGTGAACGTTGTATTCGGAAGTTGTTGGTTTAATTCTCAAAATCCTTAAGTTTGCTATTTTTTAAAGTTCAAAAAGTTTAATTTGAAATATTTCAACCTTAGATGAAAATTAAGAATTGTTTCATGTTAGTGGATTAATCAAGTATTGAAAGATAGATTCAATGAAGAATTGATCTCTTACTCTTAAACAAAGACATTTGTAATGATTTAATGCTGAATATGTAAGATTGAATGCAAATTACTAATTAGGAATTAATTGCGGCTGTTAAATTGCTAGTACAAAATCAATTCGTAAAATATGTCACTTAATGTTACTTAAATCTTCTAAATCTTACACCACCACTTCTTCAACCACCAAAGATGCCTTCAATTGATCAACCGGAATATGGAGCATCGACTTTTTCCTCATCTATAAGTTTACTCAAAACAATAGTTGGGGCTGGTTTATTATCAATGCCATTGGCTTATTCAACTGATGGGTCAATTTTTGGAACTTTCATAATTTTATTAGCAGCAATAACTTCAGGATTTGGATTGTTCTTACAATGTTATGTATCAAAATATACAACAATTGGACATGCTACTTTTTTTAATTTGTGCTCAATTACCTATCCACAACTTTCAGTGATTTTTGATATTGCAATTGCTATTCAATGTTTCGGTTGTGCTGTCTCATATTTAATTTTGATTCGTGATTTGATGCCAACAATCATTACTTATGTTCCTTATATTGGGGAAGAACATTATAAAACATTTTGGCTTTTAGTGTCTACAGTTTTTACCGTTCCATTATCATTTTTGAAAAATCTTGATTCATTAAAGTATACCTCCATTGTGGCTTTAGTTGCAATTTTGTACATTTCTTTGTTAGTGATTGGTCATTACCTTTTTAACGACATTCCAAGATCTGGGTTAATTGAATACTTTCCTTCCTCAGTGACCGGAGTGTTTAAAACTTTCTCAATTATTGTTTTTGCTTTCACAGGTCATCAAAATATGTTTTCAATAATTAATGAAGCAAAAGATAAATCGTTACCAAAATTGGTACATTTAATTAATTTTGCAATCCTTGTTTCAACTATTTTATTTATTGGTGTTGGTTTAGCAGGTTATTTAACTTTTGGTTCTAGTGTAAATGGAAATGTCATTTTATCTTATCCAAATGGAATACCTACACTTATAGGTAGAGCAAGTATCGTATTCATGGTTGTTTTCTCATTTCCTTTGATGTTACATCCAGCTAGAATATCAGTAAATAATATCTACTATTGGGCCAAAGAAAAATTTCAACCTGAAACAAATGAACAAACTTCATTGTTGGCTAATAATGAAGAACAAGTAAGATCTAAGATTGTTCCTTTCCCAGAAACTACATTCTACGTTATAACTGTTGTGTTGTTGCTTGTTGGGTATGGTCTTGCAGTAGCAATAGATTCATTTGCTTTCATTTTGGCTGTTGTTGGTGCAACTGGTTCTACTTCAATTTCTTTCATATTACCTGGTTTATTTGGTTATAAATTAATTGGCTCTGAACTGGATGATCCGTCCCCACTTGAGAAAATTTTCAAGCATTTATCTTTAGTACTTGTAATTTGGGGTGTTTTAGTAATGGTTTTATGTTTATATAGTAGTATTTTATTATAGACAATAGATTTGAGATTTTCTTTTCTTTACACCATGCCTTGCGAAGACGAACACCACAACCATAATCATAATCATAATCACGATCATAATCATGGTCATGATCATATACCGCCGATCCCCACGACTTCATCGCAATCCCTTAACTCGAAAATTGATAAATTTAAAGTTTCTGCATTGAATTTAGAAAATCCTCAAGATCAACTTCAAAAACTATTCAAAGATCAAGAACACAAGTATGAAATAAAGCCGGTAATAAAATCAGATTGTGATGAGCAATTAATAATTAACATACCATTCCTCAATGGCAGTGTGAAACTATATTCATTAATCTTACGTACAAACGGAGAGTCATATTGCCCCAAAACAATAAAGCTATTCAAGAACGACAAAACTATTGATTTTGATAACATTGAGTCCAAAAAACCAACCCAACAACTAACTCATCCACAGATAGGCATCTCAGATAATGAACTTCTGGAAGTGGTAGAATCAGACACATTTGTCGAGCATTTCTTACAAAGACATAAATTCACAGGGGTTCAACAATTAACTATTTATATTCAAGATATTTACAACGATGAAGATCAATGTCAATTACATTCAATTGAATTGAGAGGTGAATTTACTGAATTGAATAAGGACCCAATTATCACTATCTATGAAGCAGCTGCTAATCCTGCTGATCATAAAAATTTGACCGCAATTGATCAGAAGAATAATGTACAATTCGGTAGTTGATGAAGCTGTTTTTGATTTGAGGAGATGAAAATGAAAGTTATAGAAATCCTTAGTCTTGATCAAGTGAACTCGAATGCTTAAAATATCCCCTGAGCAATATAAACTTATCCACTGTATACCTGAACCTTTTGATTTAAGAGACTGAGCTTAAGAGTGAGGTTATTCACTGTAGTCGTACTTCGAACGAATAATACTCAGATATGAGTTGGCTCACCTTACTCTGGGAGATGATATCTCAGACACTGGTTGTGTCTGGTGACATTCAGCTGTAAGATAGAGATGATATTACTTAACTTAAAAACATATATATATAAATGTAAAATGTGTATTAACTAAACACCGAAAGATAGTTTCTCAAAAGGTTTCTTGCAAGAACTCGAAAGCATTAGTTCCAATAGATAGGCAGCGTTGCAAAGTGTTGAAACCTCTATAGAGCTCATTTCTTTTGTCCTTGAGCTGCGACAGCTGCTGCACCTGCTTTTGCACCTTCTTCGTCAAGGTAGTAATGCTTAATAGGTTTTAATTGATCGTCTAACTCATAAACTAGTGGTTGCGCGGTCGGAACGTTCAAATTGCTGACCTCGTCATTCGTAAGCCCATCCAAATGTTTAATCAAACCCCTGAGTGAATTTCCATGAGCAAAAATAGCAACAGTCTTTCCATCTAATAATTTAGCCGCAATTTCATCTTGCCAATATGGAATTAATCTTTCAATAACATCTTTCAAACTCTCAGTAAGTGGTACTACCTCAGGTGCTAAATCCGAATACCTTCTCTCACCGACTTGAGAAAATTTCGAATCTGCAGCAATTGGAGGTGGAGGAATATCATATGATCTTCTATATTCCTTAAACTTTTCAGGTCCGAAATGTTCAAGAGCTTCAGCTTTGTTTTTACCTTGTAAATCCCCATAATGTCTTTCATTAAGACGCCAATTTTTTACAAGTGGTACCCATAATTGATCAGCAACATCCAAAGCAATATTGGCAGTCTGAATAGCCCTTGATAAAACTGAAGTAAATGCTACATCAATTTTAATTCCAGATTCTTTGAGTAGTTCACCTGCTTTTTGAACTTCATCTCTACCTTTGTCTGATAATTTGGTATCAATCCAGCCAGTGAACAACCCTAATTTATTGTAGTTACTTTCTCCGTGACGAATAAGCACTAACTTGGGCATCTTGATAGTTAAATTAAATTTGTTGATGTAATTTGAATTGAATTGTTTGAAAATAATAGTCGATTCCACTTTGAAATTTTGTTGAAATAAATCGAATTAAATTGCGAGAAAAAATAAAGGCACGTGATCGAGAAGGAGTAGAATGAACCGGGATCAAATAGAATCTTCAACAAGTTACGGTTCATGTTGGTAGTTTTAAAAATTTAAGATCAATGGTAAAGTTGGTGAAACCAACGTTAATGACATTGTTTGTGCTACAGCTCAAATGGAAACTACATCAGTGCTTTTTGGGTATCAGTTAACGTTATATAATATAGATGAGCTAGAATATTGTTCTTGTGGATGAAACTTGCACAAAATAGCTCATACATTTGATAATGCAATAAGAGAGAGACATAAAAAGTCTTGAGAAAAGTGATTAAAAATTTCCTGAAACTTTGCTCATTAGTTAATACTATTCTAGATACTTCATTGGCTCAATTGAATTTGTGGCTGAAATCTGAATCGCATTGTCTGGAAAAAAAAGTTGGTTCCACTTTAGTTGAAATAAATCGAGTACAATGGCGAGAAAAATCATACGGACCCGGATCAGATAGAATTTGGGTAATATTTAAGTTGTATTTGAGATCATTGATAACAACCAATGTTACAAAAACAAGAAAGAAGAGAAAAATATGGAATAGATTTTTAGATGCTACATGTTAAAAATGTCGTATTAAAGATGACAACTTAAACAGATTAGTTTTATGACTTTTCTCTATACTTTAAGTTTATAGCTTCACTTTTTGACAAAACCCTACTAAATTTATTAACAATTAATCTCGTTAAAAAAAATAGTAAAATAAGTCTAAAAAATTATGTATCTTGAGTAATCCCTGTTTCATTGATTGGACTTCAAAAATTGACGGTTTGGCAATTAGCTAGTTTCACTTTACAGGTCTGCTATGATCAATAGGCGGTCGAATGACTTTAAGTATATAATTTCGCATTCTAATCACCATTGAGGAAATTGAACGTAGTATAATCATTTTTTTAATTATAGATTAAATGAAAAGGACAACGTAACAAATCTAATTACAGTTATGTGTTTAAAACTTAACGATAAGCTTATCCTTTGTTAATTATATGATTGGAATTGGATGTGTAAAATGCAGCTCTATCCTTCACTGTTCTGAAACATTGGTTGGTAGCGTGCAATATGGCATACCATGTTGACTGAGTTCAAAAACTTCTTCTTATTCACAAACTATCGTAGCTCTTGTAATACATTTATAATTATTTACGTTACAGTTATACTCTCCGAAAAAATGTTTTAGATAAAAGACAATGAAGGTTCTCCTTGAGTTTAAATCAAATTCTTATGTGGATCAATACATCAGGAGGAAGAAGATTTAGATGAATTAGATACTGAAAATGAAGATGAAGTTGGTGGATTTTATCTTAATGATTAATATGCTTCCACGCACGTCTTTTTTGATTGCTAACTCAGGTTAGCTTTTGTTTTAAAAAATCAAATTATGGTGATCTTGAAAAAAAATACAAAATTTGTGGTAGAAAATATTTTTGGTCGTCAGAAATCTCCAGTGATGTAAATTTAATAATAATTTTTAGGAAAAAGTCTCCATAGCTTGGAAACAGTTGAGATTTATACAATTGATTTTTAATAAAAATGTTGGTTATTGAGATAATTTTATTCCTAAATATTTCAATATTCAACTAGAGACTTTACGACTACACACCTTAAGTCTTCGTGATGTAATAAATCTCGTTTTTACAAAATTAATCTTATAAACTGAGAGAATGGCCTGGTCAAGTATTCTTGACCTCTTTAGAGATCAAAAACGATTGACTAGTTCTCGTTTAATACAGTAGTAATTCATTATTCAATGTAAATCTTCATACTTGAGAAATTCGACGCGTGTTTGTTTCAGATCTGTTTCGATTAGCTCAACAAATTTGAAATTTTATAAAATTTCAAAAATGTTTAAAATAATATTTTTCTAGTATCATTTTCTTTCCTTTTCTATCTAATAATCATATATTTGTTATCAATTTCAACCATTCAAATATAATGTCAAAATTCATATGTTTACTCAAATATTCAAATTCAATACTACTATTATCAAATTTTCAGGGGCATGTCGTTTGGTAGCATTCGCACATTTTCAAAGAAAAATATGGTCTTTGCAACCAAAAATGATATATATCATCAAAACAATATACAAGTCATAACAAAACAACAACACATTAATTATCTACACATTTCAAACTTATTCAACAACTTCCATAAAAGTACAAACATATATATCATTTTCATTCACAATTTTCAAAATTTGAAAGGGTAGAGTAAGAGGTTTACAACCAAATATTAATTGTGTATATCTAACATCAACACTCCACTTCAACAACCACAACAACTCAATTAACTTTAAAATCATAATAATTGGAGTATAAGAATATAGATATTAACTTTAATTCATTAAAAAAGCACAACTGTAATCCATTTGGACCAAAACAACATCAAAACAAACTGGTTGTAAATATATTTAAAAAATTTAAACAAATACCCAAACAAATTCAATATCAAAATCTAAAAAGAATCAACAGTATCCAGTAACTTCAAATAGCTAAAACTGGCTGAAATAACGCGTTAACCACATTTTGGAGTTCAAATTTTTATCATCTTTGAGTCAACACAATTTAGTATGTTCAAACTTGAAGGACCTGCACTCGCGGGGAATAAAGTTGGAGTTATATCTTCGAAAAATATTGGTTCAACAGCAGAAATTTCAACTTTAAGGAATTTTTTGGTTGGTGATATAGTGGCGTTCACCGAAGCTCGAATTGCAAACGGTAAAAATGAAACTTTATCAACTTTGAAAAAAATATCAAATCTTGATATAGCTGGTGATGATAGAGCATTATTGATAATCAATGATTCAACAAATGCAAAACCCTTAGTAGACTTTAATGTCTACGAATCAAAAATTTTAAGATCGAGACAAGGTCCGATCGATTCATTTCTTCAAAAAAATATCAGCACAACTGATATAGCAACAAAAACCGAACCAACTCAAACACAACAACAACAACAACAACAACAACAACAACAACAACAACAACAACAACAACAACTACCACAACAACAACAACAACAACAACAACAACAACTACCACAACAACAACCACAACAACAACTACCACAACAACAACAACAACAACAACAACAACAACTACCACAACAACAACCACAACAACAACCACAACAACAACCACAACAACAACAACAACCACAACAACAATCACAACAACAACCACAACAACAGATAACAGAACCACAACCAAAAAAACAAAAAACTCAGCTGTTATTACCAGGCATGCAGAGCACAACTGCATTAACAACTATTAATGCAAATGTTAAAGTCAAAAGAGTGACCAAGCGTAAAGTTAAGAAGGTTGCTAAAGGTCCTCTTGATAACTTTTTCCAAATTAGTGTCAACAAGGAAATAAATAACAACGTAGGTGAAATTCCAACTTTAACTTCACCACAACAACCATCATTAATTTCTTTAGAAAATCCACAACAACAATCATTAAATTCTTTGAAAAATCAACAACAACAATCATTGACTTCAGTTACAGACCCACAGCAACAGCAATCATTAAATTCTTCCGAAAATCAACAAGGACCAGCAATCTCATCAGAACACCCAACAATTTCATTGGGCAATAATGATGCCTCCTTAGTTCCAACTTCTGAATCTCCTGATACAATAATTAATACAGATCCAATAGCCACATCAACATCGACTTCATCCGAATCAAAAGAATTACCAACCTTAGCATTAAAACCAAAAAGAAAAATTTGGAAAAAAGAAGAATTATTGGAAGAATTTTCTAAAAAATTTCCCAATGCTATTATGGATGAAAAATCATTACAATCAGCATTATCTGATTCATCTCCAAATGATAATGTTGAATTTCCCAATTCACATCCTAATGCTGGTTCACCAGTTCCTAATAAATCATTAAAATTTGATGCTTCAGTTTTAGAATTTCTTTCTTCAGATGAAGCTTATGAAAAAGGTTATAACATGATTGATATCACTAAATTTATTAGTAGAACACTGGTTCAGTTAATTCAAATACATGATCAGATTGTGTTATTTGTTGTTTCGTATGCTCCAAATAAGGATAAATGGATTAGAGATTCTCAGGAATATTATGCTGATTTGAAGAAGTTTTTGTGGTTTTTTAATTTTGAAAAAATTTTTATGGGTGACCTAAATGTAATTCAAGAACCAACCTACTCACAAATCTTTAATTATGCACTTACAAAACATGAGTTAGAATCAATTGAAGCTATAAAAAGAATTCATGCTGAAAATAATTTGTGCAATACAATCAAATCATTATGTGCATCTGCTATAATATTTACTAATCATCATAAGTTAAATTGTCGTTTGATTGATGCATTAGATGTTTCATTTAATAGATTATCAGGTTTAATTAGTTTAGAAATTAGTTTCAAGTACAAAAACTCAACACATGGTTTAATCACAGCAGAAATAAATTTTGGTGAATTTGAAGAAAGAGGTGAATTGGATGATATAAGAGCAAGAAATGAAGATAGAATCAACCAACTAATCATACCTTATTCTACAAATTGTGCTTGCGAGCACTTTTTTGGTAGAGAAATTGGATCTATATCTACAGAAATTAGAAGCCACGGTTTACCTATTGCCGAATCAATCCCTCAAAATATTTTAAATATGCAAAGTGTTCCACATAGGTTTGAGTTATGTAAACCTTCAAACGAATATTATGCCATTTATAAAGTAGGTATTTTAAATGGTGATGCAACGCTAAATTTGATCGATGGTGTCAAATATGATGAAATAATTGAAATTATTAAAATTGTTGATACAAATGAAATAAAGGCTTTGAACATAACTACGATTAATGCCAGTTATGCCTCTGGTATATCTGAAGTTTGTAAATTAAGTCCAAAAAGAGTGGTATTTGAATATGAAGCTCTTTTCAGGGGAGCTTATGTATCAGATTTAATGGCTTATAAGCTATTATTGAAAAAGGATTTACAAAATTTGTTTGGTATTTTACCTAGGGTCTCGAGACCAGCATTCCAAGATCCAACTAGACTTTTAGGTGCTACACCCAAAATTGAATTGTTGAAAGATGAGTTGAAAATTAAGAACGAAAAATCAACGGTTGTGGTTGACCTTCAAAAAGGAATGGTAAAACTCAAATCATTAATTATTGCAATTGGCTTAACCCAAACGGAAAACGCAAAAATTCAGAGATCAGATGCTAAAACAAATATCTACAACTTTTTCAAAGACACCATAGCCATGTGGGTTCCGCTAGAAAATAGCTTGGCTGTAGCTAGAGTTCCATTTACTAGAAGTCAAAATGAAATTAATAATGCAATAAATAGTTTATATCCATTATTTGAACCAAACTTAAAAGAATTGGCAATAAGCATTATTCAAAATTATGAAAGTCGTCCATTAAATAACACCGTTTTGCAAAATTTTATCTACTCCCAAGGTGTTTTGTTTTACAAAGTTGAATTAGATGGCAAAATTACTTATATTGCAAGAGACAAGAATGACCTCATTAGAGCAAGAGAAATATTTATTTTACATTATGGTGAAAATTACAAGGATCCCTATACTGCATTCGTGTGGGTAAAATCTCAGCAAACTGGTGTTAGACATCAAGTATACCATTATCACGATCCCGATCATTTCAAAACTGAAACACCATTTTCATTAATGCATGAAGTCCTTCAATTTGCAATTGAAAAAAATGAAATTGATAAAATATGGCCAATTTTCAATCCGCTTATCTGGGAGGAACCAGTAATTCAGGAATTAATGAGGGAAATTGACTATAATGAGCCTTCAAAAACTCCAAATCCAATTTCCAGATTACCTGCTGGTTATGGTGGTTTTAATTATATTTCAATTGGTGGAATTTTGAGATCCATTGATGGTGAATATTTTTCAATTGCAGGCTCTCTTAATGTTGTTGAATATTTAGATGATAGACAAAGGTCAGAAATTTCTGTTGAAGAAGGTCAAATTAAAGAAGAAGGTACTCGTCATTGGCTATGCGATTTGAAAAAAATGAGGGAAATCGGTGAAAGATTTAGAATTTCCAATGAATCTGTGTATCCCGCTCTTGCAGAAAAATCAGTATTTTTGACGTTTTTGGTTAAAAAACGTGTCATTAAATTAAGGGAAATTGATGATGTTGCTATAAGATCTCAAATTGAAACTGCTTTAAGGGATGATTAAGTTTAAGTCAAAAAAAACCTAAAAATTGTTTCAACTAAAAAACGACCTAGAAAAAGATTTGAATTTGACGAATGAGAATGAGAAATTTAATATTTGATTTTTGTACTTAAGTTAGTGTTCTTTCGAAATTAGATAGATGTATATTAATGAATCTTGATAATTACTACTAATGACTTAATCATTTCTTAATTTTGAAAACTTTTGTGGTTCATAAATTTCTCATTTTTTTCCAAATACGTCTTGTTCTGTACAAAATTACAAATTCAACCTACAGACGATTCATCAAGCAATTGTTGTGACACTATGTAGTATGAAAGAGTCTATTTCACTGAGTTTGATGATTGATCTTTGCTCTATTTTCCAACAAATATTGACTTTCGAATTTTGTACTACCCGTTTTAATTCAGAAGTCGTTGTTTTAAACATGAAAATTTTATGGTAATTCAAATAATAAAATGTATTTTTTATTTAAAAACAATCCAACAGCTTATGTTTAATCTTTATTTTATTTTAAGGATAATTAGAGTTGGGGTCATATTGACGATAAATTTATTTAGTTCTAACCTAGATCTAAGAAAACAGCTACCAACTGTTGTTTCAAGACATTAGAATTTTACATCTTGTAAACACTTGAACGAGCAAATGCAAAAGCTCCGTTTGGAAACTATGGCAAGTAGATAAAAAACATGCGGAACAAAAATGGTGCATGCTTCGGTAACTCTATAAAACATTTCAATCAATATATTCGATAACAATTTTAAATATGTTGGAGATAGATCATTAAGTCAAACTAAAAAATGGGATATTATACAAAAAAAATATTTTAATATAAAATTTAAAGAATTACAACATAGAAATTTTGTTGTTCCAACTGTTCGTACATTACAACGTCAATTAGCTGCTGGTGTTAAAAAGGCACAATCTCAAAGAAATAAAGATGATGTAATTCATCCAATTCCTCCAACATTAGATGAAAATTGTCGCGACAAACAAAATATTAAACCTGATTTTTACGAAACATCAAATCAAATTACATCACAAAGAAAAAAGGTAACAATTGGAGAGTTAAAATAAGTTTAAATTGTTTTCACCACTCAATTGCCACTAGATCATCTATTAATCTCCTCGTGCTGATTATTGTAGCTAATCATGTTTGGTAATAATTCCTCAGGAAATCAAACCCCGTCATTTGGTGCTGGTTCTGGCTCTGCATTTGGCTCATCAAATACTGGAGATAAAGACAATAGCAACACTAATCAAAACAACAATACTACTGATTCACAACCTAAACCATTCGGATTTGGTCAATCAAGCAACACAGGTTCAACTAGTGCATTTGGTTCAAACAATGCTTCAACTTCAAACGCGTTTGGTTCAGGTAATTCATCAACCAATGTATTTGGATCAAACAATAATAATTCAACCAATGCATTTGGACTGACTTCAAAACCGAATTCATTTCCATTTGGTTCATCAACAACTCAACAATCACAACCATCACCATTTGGAGCATCTAGTACATCTGCATTTGGATCAACGAATTCTTCACAAACTCCATTTGGACAACCTCAAAATACTGCAACTAATACAAGTGCATTCTCAGTAGGAAGTAATGATAAAAAAGATGGATCTACTACACCACAACCTGGTACCACATCAAACACAGGTAGTGGAGGTTTTGGTACGAATCAAACAAATAATTCTGGCTTTGGTGGATTTGGTCAATCAACTGGAAGTAATGCATTTGGTAATGCATTTGGAGCAAAAAAAGATGAAGAAAAAACTAAATCTTCAACCAATGTATTTGGATCAACAACTAATTCTACTAATAATAGTGTATTTAATTTAGGGAATAAAGAATCAACAACCACACAACCAGCATTTGGTGCTGCCGCAACAACAAATGAACAACAAAAATTAGGTTCAGGATTTTTAGGTGGTAATGCTAATGCGAATTCTGCTGCAAATTCAGAATCACCGATGTCATTAGCTGGAACAGCTTCTCCGCAACCTCAATCAACTACTGGTGGTATATTTGGTGCAAAGAAGGATGATGATAAGTCTTCAAGTGGTGGACTTTTTGGAACTAAAAGAGATGATGATAAACCTGCAGGTGGTCTTTTTGGAGCTAAAAAAGATGATGATAAGGCTTCAAGTAGTCCATTCGGTGCAAAAAAAGATGGTGAATCAACAACTGGATTTTTTGGTGCAAAGAAAGATGATGATAAAGAAAAATCATCTACTCCATTTTCTTTTGGAGGAAATAATGATGATAAGACCAAATCTGCTTCCGGATTTTCAATAGCTCCTAAGAATGATGATAAGGATAAACCAGCTGGTGGATTCTCTTTTGGAGCTAAGAATGATGACAAAGATAAACCAGCTGGAGGTTTTTCATTTGGTGCTAAGAAAGATGACGATAAACCAACAGATGGAATTTCATTTGGTACCAAAAATGATGATGGAGCTAAAAAAGACGATGATAAGGACAAACCGGCCTTTTCATTTGGTGCTAAAAAGGATGATGATAAACCGGCAGGGGGGTTTTCTTTCGGTGCTAAAAAAGATGATGATAAACCAGCTGGAGGTTTTTCCTTCGGAGCTAAAAAAGATGATGATAAACCAGCTGGAGGATTCTCATTTGGTGCTAAAAAAGACGATGATAAACCAGCCGGTGGATTCTCTTTTGCAGCTAAGAAAGATGATGACAAACCATCAGGTGGTTTCTCTTTCGGAGCTAAAAAAGATGATGAAAAATCTGGAGATTCTTCAACTGATAAAAAAGATTCAACTAATGATAAAGCAACCCCTGCAACATCAAATTCAACATCAACTCCATCAAACACAATTAATCCAACAGCTCAACCAAATTTAAAACCAACTAAAATTGAACCTATTCAAATATCAATTGATAATAAAAATATGGATGATTTAATAACAAAATGGTCAAAACAATTAAATTTAACAACAAAATTATTTGATGAATATACAGAAAAAGTTAAAAAATGGGATTTACAATTAATTGAAAGTGGTGATGCAATAACAAAATTAAATCAAGAATCAATAGAAGTTGAAGCACTAGAATCTAAAATTGATCAACAATTATTATTTGTTGAAAATCAACAAGATGAATTAGAAAAAGTTTTGGATAATTATGAACAACAAACCGATATATTGATTAATAATATTGATATAAATAATAACTCAAATATTAATGCTATAACAAATGCTAATAACACATCAATTCCAGGTTCAACTTCATCAATTTTATCAAAACCAAATACATCAACCACATTAGTTAAAGATGAACAACCACAAACTAACTACCAAATAAATTCAAATTTAAGTTTAACAGATAAATTAAGAGAAAAAGCTTATTATAATGCAGAATTATTAGATGAAAGATTAGATGGATTAGGAGAAAATTTAAATACATTAATAAATGAAATTAATTCAATAAGTGATATTTTTAATAAAAATTTAATTAAAAATTTAAATCAAATAGATGATGGTGAAGATAAAACTCAATCAAAAGATTTAAAAACAAATAATAATTCAATTGAAGAAATTATTCAATTATTAAATTTACATTTAGAAAATTTAAAATATATTGAGGATAAAGAAAACTTATTGAAAAAGAAGTTGGAGATTCTTCAAAAATAATTGTGATAAGTGAGTGATGTTTATGTACGTTTTTATAGTTAGTGATAATATATGAATGTGTAATTCTGTTTTTTATTTGATTAAGTTGGTGTATATCTAATGTGTATTGGTATATGTTTTTTAAATCACATGATCATAAGTCAGTCCATATTAACTTTTTTTTGGGTTAATAAATATGTGGGGAAAAAATGAAAAACCCCGTAATAAATTTCAGTAATAATAAAAGTGAATCAATAGCAATACTTCAATGAGAAGTGATGTTTTGGTAAAACGTATTCTTTGCAGTGAAAGTATATAAAGTCCGTAGAGTCTTACATCTAACTTTTATCTTTCTGTATGAATCAATTGAATCAAAGGGTTCCTTAATTTTTAATTGATTATCATTTAACTTTATTTTAAAATAAATTTGTTGATCTATTTTATCAATAAAAAAAACTTTCAATTTAAATATCACTTGATTATTACTTACATCAATTTCAATTCCAATTAGCTAGAAAAACAGCACCAACAACCACAAACTATATATCCACAATCTCCACACAATGTCTTCACCAATTTTTATGTTAATCAACCTTTTATTAGATCCAGATGTTTCAAAAAAAGTAGTTTTACAAATGGCTTGGTCTCAAGTTAAAGCAATTGGGATTGGTAAAGTTATTGCAGCATTATTAAGTGCTTTAACAGTTGGTGTCTCATCTTTCATAAGAATCCCACAAATTCGTAAATTATTAATAAAATCAGATAATGAAAGAATTAAAGTTGCTAATGGTTTATCATTAAAATCTTTATCATTAGAAACTTTAAATAATTTAATTCATGTTACTTTTAATTCTCAACATAATATTCCATTTATTCAATATGGTGAATCATTATTATTAGGAATTCAAAATGTTATTATAATTTTATTAACTAAATTTTATAGATTAAAAGAAAAAGGTGATATACCAAATTTAAAAAATTTAAGTTTTGAAGATAAATTAAAAATTATTGGAAATTCATTAATTGAACCAATTTCAATAATAATTGCATCCGTAATTTTTTTCACAAAATCAGCTCCAACAAGTTTAATTTCAATATTAGAAATTTTAAATATTCCAATTTCAATAATTGCAAAAATTCCTCAAATTCAACAAAATTATAAATTAAAAACTGTAAAACATTTAAGTGATGTTGTATTAAAAGCAAATGTTATTGGATCAGGTATAAGAGTTTATACTTCATTAACTGATTATAAAACAAAATCTTCAAAAAATAAAACAACAATTGATGAACAAATTTTATTAGCTGGTTATTCAACTTCTTTTATTTTAAATTCTATTTTATTAGGTCAATCTATATTTTATGATAAATTAGGTAAAAAATCTGTTAGAGATGAAATTGAAAAAAAGGAAGAAGAATTGAAAAAAAGAAGTAAATAAACATTTATAAATTTAATGGATATTATAATTTATTAAGGAATTAGAGAATCATTGAACTTTTGATAAGTTGGTGTAAATACATTAGAGGTTGGGAGAAGTATCAACCTGAACTTTATAATTGATAAATTTGGTATGACCTTTCGTAGTAATCAATTTAAAATTTCATCCCGATAAACCAAGTCTGTTCTAATTGACTAATTCTTATCCTTCTGTTGTGTAACTCAGTACATCAAATCGTAGACAGAATTGTGTTTCTGACCCTAGCAGACAATATTTATATCTCTTGATAAGTTAAGATCTTTTTCCTATCTGATCGCAAATCAACTGAAAAAAAAAATATCAAATCTCTAGACCTCAAATCAACTATACAACCACAGCTTCACAAAATATGGGGAACCAACCCAGTGCTCCAAAAATAACACCACAAGATAAAGCCATATTTCAATTAAAACAACAAAGAGATAAAATAAAACAATATCAAAAAAAATTAAATCATATCTCCAATAAACAAACAGAATTAGCTAAAATTGCAATTTCAAAAAAGCAATATGATAAAGCCAAAATATATTTAAGATTTAAAAAAAAACAAGAATCAATGATTTTAACAACTTTTCAACAATTAGATAATTTAGAAAATTTAATTGGTACAATAGAATTTAAATTAATTGAAAAAGATGTTATATATGGATTAGAACAAGGTAATTTAATTTTAAAAAATTTAAATAAAGAATTAAATGTTGATAAAATTGATAAAATTATGGATGATTTAGCGGATGAAAAAATGAAAGAAGAAGAAATAAGTAATGTATTGGGGTTAAATTCTGGATTAAATAGAAATGATGAAATTGAAATTGATAATGAATTTGAAAAATTAAATAAAGAAATTAATAGCACTTCGAAAGAAAGTGATATAAAATTACCTGAAGTTCCAAAAGATAAACTTATGCCTGATGTTCCAACTGGTATTGAAACTCAAAAACAGGAAGAAGAACAAGAGAAAAGTAAGGAAATCAATCAAACTGAATCTATTGCTATATGATTTACGATACTTGCCTATTGCAATATGATTCATGATACGTATATATACATTATAAATAATAGAATTAATGTCACTTATTCCTCATTAAATCTCCAACCAATCTAAAAATTCTGGAGTAAAATAACTTATAATTAATCTTGCACCAGCTCTTAAAAAACCTTGATGAGCTTCAAAAGCAATTCCCTTTAGATCAACTATACCCTTTTCAGCAGCAGCATGTAACATAGCATATTCTCCACTAACATGATAAGCACAAATAGGATAATCTTTACATAATTTTGAAGCATCATTTATAATATCTAAAAAAAATGTTGAAGGTTTTATTATAACAGCATCAGCACCTTCATCTAAATCTCTAATTAAAGCTCTTCTTGCTAATCCTGAACCTCCAGGTGGTAATTGATAAGATTTTCTATCACCAAAACTTGGTGAACTTCCTGCTGCATCTCTAAATGGTCCATATAAATTTCCTGAAAATTTTGCACTATAAGCCATAACTAAACATTTATTTTCTAATCCTGAATTTATTAAACCTAATTTAATATCTCTTATTCTACCATCCATCATATCACTTGGTGCAACTGAATGTGCTCCAGCTTTTGCATAATTTACTGCTACTGCTGCTATTCTTTGTACACTTGGTTCTCTTTTTAAACTGCCATCTTCATTTAATATTCCACAATGTCCATGAGATGTATATTCACATAAACAAACATCACACATTATAAATAAATCAGGAAAATTTTTTCTAAAATTTTTTATAGTTTGAATAACTGGTCCATTTGGATCATCTGCAGCAGTACCTACTTCATCTTTAACACCAGGTTTTAAAGGAACTCCAAATAAAATTACTGCTCTTAACCCCTTATCAACTAATTTTGAAACATATGGTATTACTGAATTTACTCCAAATCTTTTCATATTTGGTAAACTTGGTATATCAGTTTCTTCATTTGGATCATCAGATATAAAAAGGGGGAAAATGAACATATTTTTTGTTAATTGTCTTTCTTGTTGCCATTCTCTTGATAATGGGTGATTATAACCACCTTGTAATATACTTGATATTGGAGTTTCTTTTGATTTTATATATTGTGCCTTATGAACCATTTTTGAAGTAGTATTGAATTTGATCAGATAGTGGGAAAAACAAAAGTGATGAATAGGTGTAAATGATGACTTGTTCGCAAGCTTCTTAATGAAGATGTGGATATAGGATTCTAGTTTAACCTTCAATACAATAGTTGTGAATTATTTATTGATAATTTTTCATTCTCACTCAGACGGAATTACTAATTTGGAAAAACCTGGGGCATATTTTTAGAGTATTGCTGTACGGATGTTCTTTTGCATACAGATGATCAAAGATATTTATGGAGAAAGTCTATTATTCTCAAGTATGGAGGGTATATTTAGAGTACTAAATGTCCGGAGGTAGTGGTACAAAGCTTTAAATGTAAAAATGTCAACGAATTTATTCTTTTTTAGCTATTGTGGAAATAATGATAGTAATTCCAAATTTGGTTTCAAAATACAACCAAAAAAATCTATGCTGAAACCAGTAAAAAAATTTCAAGTATTTTTTGATATAATTAAACTCTTTAATAGATTTAGCTCAAGATAAAACGGGCAAGGTATTATATAAAAATCGAAGAATACCATATAGATTTTGACTTTTAAAGATTTTAACGTCGAATTAAAGAAATGGTTGCAAAATTTATTTGGTAGCATTATGTGATTGAAATTTCATCAAATTATTTGATCTTTATCGGTTTCCTTTCAGTTTTCAAACCTCATACTAAAATTCTGGAGCAAAAGCTGAAATTGGCAATGTAGCGTCGGACTTTAAAGCTCAAAGCTCTCTATCGAACAGATTATATGATTCAACAATTTCGCCTATGTTTCTTCTCAAGAATACGGTATTGTTTTTCTAAGCAATTCAAAATAATTTACGATAAAGTCAAACATCACACGACAACTAAATTTTCAGAATTTCAAAACTTGTAAAATTTTCAATCATTAAAGTATTAGCCAAGACGTTGAAATTTCGGGCGTAATATATAAATGTGAGTATAGCAGCTTTATTCATTTTCATTAGTAAAATAGAAATTTCAACGAAATTAAAATTTGCCGATTGTTCCAACAAAATGTCTCAAAATAGGTACGGAGTTAGTAATTGTATTAGTCAACTCTATTGAAGGAAGAAAAAAAAAAAGAAAAGAAGTTATACCATCATACAATTGTGAAGAATTAAACTCAATACGAGCTATGCGGGTGGTCGTAAAGCAAAGCTTTCCAATTTATAATAAATTTACGAGGTTAATGAAATTTGTAGTTGTTGTTGTAAGTTAACGTATTTGTATTTGAACCTTAGTTTATAAAATTTGTAATTGAAAAAACCCTTTAAAAAAATTAAATGATTTAGGGCGAACAAAAAGTATAAAAATAAAAGCTTTATTCAATAAATTTTTGCAAAATAAAAATCTTATTATTATTATTTACGAGTAGATTACGTTCAAGTAGTGAGGTGAGGTTCTTATTGTGGGTTTTTTTCTTGTAATAACTTCTATTTATAAATTGTTTATATGTTCAGTGAATCTACTTGTTTGAGACAAAGAAAATAAAAATAAAATTAAGAGGCTTGTTTCGAAAAATTCATGACTTGAGTTAGAGTAAACTTTCAAAGTTTGTAACCAAGACAACATTCATTCTTTCATTCATCCGCATGGTTTCAGTTCGGTAAGATTAATAATTTAAACTATTGAACATTACAGCCAACTTATTACGAATTTAGCCGCACTTTGGTTCCCACCTTTAGTTAAAAAAGTATAATTTTACGTTTCTACCGATCTAAATATACAAAACAATTGATCAGTTTCAAAGGATCCCTCTATACCCAATTTAACAAATTGATAGATAAAATTTTCAAGCAATACGGATCTTGAATATATCGTTTAAGTAAATTTTGAACCCACTTGGGGTTAGAAAATTTTTCTGGAATAAATAACCTAACTTTAGTCCAAAGCTTTTTCTTGCAATAGTTTCCCTAAATAAAGCAATTGTGTAGACTATATATTATCGTATAAATTCGAGTTTTGAAGGTGAATAAAGCTTGAATAATGCACCCAATTGAATTGTTCGACAGCCAAAACTTACAAACGTCAAGCCAAAGGTTCAAGTTTACATCTCATATTGTTCTGCATCTATAATTTAGGTTTTTATCGTCCTGGTAGTACTTTAAGGTAGAATCTTATAGACTTAATATTTTTACACTCTAATAAACACAACAATAAAGGGACTTCTTCTGAAAAAAACAGATATCAAAAACTAACAGCTTTTCTTCTAATCAACCGAGTTGTTTTACGGGTATACTCTTATTTCTACTGACCTGAGTTGGTACAGTTTCGAACAAATTTCAGAATCAGAAAATAGAGAATTTTATTATTTTTAAATTTTTAAAAAAAAAAAAAAAAAAAAAGTTTAAGTTCAACATTTCAAAATTCTAAATAATAAAAGACTGAAGAACTTAACCTTAAAGAAGAAGTAGTAGTATAAGTTAATAAAGAAGATGAATATACCTACTCATTTATTACCAAAAGAATTTTTAAATCAACAACAACAAGAAGATCATAATTATAATCATAATAATAATAACACTAACACTAACACTAATTCTAATTTAAATCATAATCAAGAAATAGAACAAATTCAAAGTCAAGAAAATTATTCTAATACTAATAATAGAATTAATCATTCTTTACAATCAAAACAATTTCAACATTTTCAAAATTTACAACCTCAAATGGATAATAATATAAAAAGAAGTAATAATATTCAACAACAATCAAATCAATCACCAATTAAAAATTCATATACTTCACAACAACAATCTCAATATCAACAATATCCTCAATCTAATCATCAATATTTTAAACAGTCTCAATCACAATCTCAATCAAATATAAATTTACATTCAAACAACCAATATCCAACTAATCCAACAAACAGACAATATTCTCAATTTGAAGATCAAAATCAACAACAAAATTCAAATTATTCAACTATTGGTAATAAACAATGGGTAGATACATCTAATCAACATCGATCGCTAGATCCTCAATTTTATAATCAAAATTCTAATTCTGAAGATTATTTTCAACATCATCATTTACAACAACGACAACAGCAGCAACCGCAGCAACATCAAAACATTCCTCAACAAACTCAAATGATGAATTATCAAAGAACAACTACTGCAAGTGATCGAAATAATCAACCTCCATTTTCTACACAGCAACCAGTACCACCAACACAACAACAATCAAACTTTAACGTCCAAGCTTTCAATGATCAATCCACCAATCATTCAAATCATTCAGCACTGTCTTTAACTTATGAAAACGGAAATAATAAAGTAATACCCAAATCGAATACTGTACCTTATCCACTAGCTAATAATATACCTGAACATCCTGAATTTTTTCAATCACAACCCAAACTGTTTCAACAACTACCTCAACAACAATCACAACCACCATACCCACAGCAATATCCCCAACAAATTCCTCAACATACTCCACAAACTTCTTCTCAACATACTTCTCAACAATTCCAACAACAACCACTACCTTCTACAAGGAAACCATTTCGTAGAGCTCCATCAAGTAATTTATCAACTATTCAAACAGATCAAGTTTATAATAATGAAGGAAGAAGGACATTCTCATCTCCACATCAACAAACCATTCCTGGTCAATTGAATCCTGAAAATAGAACAAAATCATTATCTTCTACTTCAGCAAGGTATAAATCGCAACATCAGCAGCAACAACAGCCAGCACCACCACAATCTTCTTTTGAGCAACCTCAATCGAATAATAACAACTCTCGTCCATTATCAGGTGGAAATTCAGGTTCCTCTACCTCATTACATCATACATTCTCATTAAGTTCGAAATCACGTTCATTCACATCAATAAGTAAATTATCATCATTATCAACTAAAAAATTTGGCTCATCATCATCAATAAGTAAAAATGATAAAACAAGTTCATCAAGTTTAAAAACATTAATACCATCTAACTCCGTTAATAATAATAATCATAATCATAATTACAACTACCCAAAAAGTTCAGTATATCCAGCTATGTTATCTGAAGTTGCAAAACTATTCAAGGAAGCTATAATATTAACAATAAATACAAAAGATGGTCTTGAATATCATGATACTTTCACAGGTAAAATGGCTGTTGATATATTATGTCGAATTATAAAAACAAATGATAGAAATTTAGCATTACTTTTAGGTAGATCATTAGATGCTCAAAAGTTTTTTCATGATGTTACTTATAATCATAGATTAAGAGATTCAGTTCATGAAGTTTATTCATTTAATAATGTTTATAATGATGTTGTTGAATTTTATCATGAAAATGAAGGATCTAATAGTAATGGGAATAATAGTACAACACCATCAGCTCATGGATCTTTCGTAGATGGTTTTCAATTACAACAAGCTTTACAAGATAACTTTTTATCTCAACAATTACCGTCACAAGTTAATCAACCACATTCTGCAGAATTACAAAATTCTGGAGTTCAAGCAAATAGATTAAGTGGTGGAGGTAATCCAACTATAACAACAGTTGCTGGTAAAAAATTAACTGCATCTCAACAAACTGGAGTTAATGGAGTTTTTACAATATTAACTGATTGTTATTCACCAACATGTAGTAGAAATAGATTATGTTATAGTATTGCATGTCCAAGAAGATTAGAACAACAAGCAAGATTAAATTTAAAACCTCAAGGAGGATTAAAAAGAGCAGTATCAAGATTATCATTACATGATCAAGAAGAAAATGAAACTTTATGGCATAAAACTGTACCACAATCAGTATTAGATAAATTAGATAAACATGAAAAAACAAGACAAGAATTGATTTATGAATTTATTTATACTGAAAGAGATTATGTTAAAGATTTAGAATTTATGACTGATTTTTATATAATGCCTTTAAGAAATCCAATAAATAATATAATACCTGAACATCAAAGAGAAACATTTATACAAACTGTTTTTGGAGGAGTTGGAGATTTATTAAGATTAAGTAAAAATTTTAGTGATGCATTAACTAAAAGACAACAACAACAAAAACCAGTCATTGAATCCATAGGTGACATATTTTTAGATCATGTTGGAAATTTTGAACCATTTATAAGATATTCTGGTAATAAAGTATTTGCAACTTTTGAACATGAACGTCAACAACAAGTTAATATGAAATATTCAAGATTTTTAGATGCAATTGAAAAAAAACCAGAATCAAGAAGACAAGATTTATCATCATTTTTAATAAAGGGAGTACAAAGACCTGCAAGATATCAACTATTATTAGCTGGAATATTAAAACACACAAAACCTGAAAGTCCAGATTATAAAAATTTATTAAAATCAAAAGAAGAAATTGAATCATTATTAGTTAAAATTAACGTACAAACTGGTGAAAGTACTGATAGACACAAGATAATGGTATTACATAGATTATTAGGCAAACAAACTTTAGAAAATAAATTTAATTTTAAATTATCATATAATAATAGAATAATTTATCAAGTTACACTAAATAGAAAAAGAGATAATGAAAAAATTGATTTATATTTATTTGAACATGCATTATTATTAGTTAAACATAAAATTCAAAATAAAAGAGAACAACATAAAGTATTTGAAAAACCAATATTATTACCTTTATTATTTGTAAATAGTGGGATTGAAATACCCAATACAAAAACATTATTAAATCATAGATATAATGGATCATTAGTATCAGATATTGGATTAAAAAATCAAAGAACTGAAAGTAATAATTATATTGGAAATACTTTATCATCATCAAGTACTGGGAAATTTCAAATAAATTTTTTGGGTTTGGGAAGTAATCAAGTTCATTCATCATTGTTTGCAGAAGATTTAACTATACAAAATCAAGTATTACAACAAATTTCTCAACAACAAAAAAAATTAATTGATTCAAATGATTTATTTTCAATGAGTAAATTTGAAACAAGAAGATTTCAAGGAAATAATAAAATAAATTGTGCTGTACCATGTTATGGTGGAAAAAAATTATTATATGGTACTGATTCTGGAGTATGGGTAAGTACTGTTAGATCAATAAGTACAACATCAAATGAAAAAATTTGTAGTGATCCTACTTTAGTTATTTCAAAACCATATATTACACAAATTGAAGTATTAGTTGAATATTCAAAATTATTAATATTAAGTGATAAATCATTATATGAATTTGATTTATCATGTACTGATTCATTAGATCATATAAAAAATACAAAATCGGGTAAAATTATAATGTCACATATTACATTTTTTAAAATTGGAATATGTGATAGTAAATTATTAATTATTGGAGCTAAAACAGGATCTCAACATTCAATAAGTATATTTGAACCAATAAATCCATTTGATCAAAAACAATTAAAACAAAGAAATAAAAATAAAATTGAAATTCAAGAAATTCCTTTTACATCTGATCCAATATCAATATCATTTTTAAAAAGTAAATTATGTATTGGATGTACAAAGGGGTTCGAAATATTATCATTACAAGCTGGAAATAAAGAACCAATATTAGATGAAGCAGATCCTTCCCTCGATTTTGCAACTCAAAGAGAAATTGTAACTCCATTAGCAATACATAGATTAGGTAAAGATTTTTTATTATGTTATTCAGAATTTGTATTTTTAATAAATAGAAATGGTTGGAGAACAAATCATGATTGGGGAATATTTTGGGAAGGTAATCCTCAAAATGTTGCCCTTTTTTTCCCTTATCTAATAAGTTTTGAACCTGGATTTATTGAAATTAGAGATTTACATACAACAAATTTATTAAGATCTTTAATTGGTGAAAATATAAGATATTTACATTCAAATGAACATGAAGCAATGTTTGCTTGTGAAGAAAATGGATTTGATATTATTATTTCTATTGATTTTTTAAATTTAAAACCAAAATCAAAATAAGAATAGGAAGAAAAGAAACAGTATATTATTTATTTTAAAATGTTTGTATATTTATATATAGTCTAGTATATTTTTAATGAAATGAAAAGTTATTTAAGTAACCTTTTTTTGATTTAACACCTATTTTTACGAGATTTCAAGAAAAGACAAAGAAGAAGAGAGAAAGAAGTTCAACTTTTTTCTTTATTCGGGTCGGAGTTTTATTTTGCTAGATCGGCAAACGGTCTGAGGTGTCCAAGATTTGAGCCTCCAAATAGAAATTTATGAATAAATCCACTGAATCTAATTCAGAAATATTAAATCATATAAAATAAGACGCGGTTTTCTACATTCGATTAATCTCGACTGTTTTAGACTAAATTTGTTCGTGATATTAACTCTTGTGTTTGTTTTTGAATCAAACGTACATCGGCTGTTAATTTTTTTTCGGAGTAAAAATAGAATTGAACAATACAATTGCTAACGAGATGTATGAAACGAAGGGCCAAAAAGACATACTAGAGATTGAGGTACACCCAATGTCTCAAAACATCTGATAAAGATCCAATATTTCAAAATGAAACATTAAGTGAATAAAGTTATCGAAATAAGGTTTTAAGTTTAAAAAATTGGAGAAGAAGAAGAAGAAGAAATGAACGTTTTAAACAAAAATCTAAAAAATCAAAACAGCAAAAAAAAAAAATTTCAATTTCAAAAATTTAGAACAAAAATCAAAACATTTGAAGAAAAACCAGTTCCAACTTACTTTCATTTTCACAAATTGATCTTATTGCTTTTCATAGCATAATAGCATAGTTATTCATACTCATTGTCCATAAATTCATAATCAGTTTTCAAAAAGTCTCATTTGAAACTTAACTTATAGTCATTTTTTATATATATTGTACCATTACCAGCTATTATTAGCTAAAAACAACCATTAATCAAGTAAACATGTCAATTTTCACATCATCATCAAACGATTTAATTCAATTAAGTTTACCATCAATAGAAAGACCATTTGGTTTATATTTATGGCCAATTTTCAACAAGATATTTGAATTAGCTATTGGTTATCCAGCTGATGATTTTCAATTTATTTATCATAAAACTTTTTTAGCAAATGGATTTCATGCTATAAGTATTATAATTGTTTATTATATAATAATATTTGGTGGTAGATTTTTAATAAATAAATTTAAATTACCAGCTTTAAAATTAAATTTTTTATTTCAATTACATAACATTGTTTTAACTTTATTATCATTAAGTTTGTTATTATTATGTATTGAACAATTGGTTCCAATGTTATATAATCATGGATTATTTTATTCAATTTGTTCAAAAGGAGCATTCACTCAAAAATTAGTAACATTATATTATTTAAATTATTTAACAAAATATTTAGAATTAATTGATACCGTATTTTTAGTATTAAAAAAGAAAAAATTATTATTTTTACATACTTATCATCATGGTGCTACTGCTTTATTATGTTATACTCAATTAACTGGTAATACTTCTGTTGAATGGGTTCCAATTACATTAAATTTAGCAGTACATGTTATAATGTATTGGTATTATTTTTTAAGTGCAAAAGGTATAAAAGTTTGGTGGAAAGAATGGGTAACAAGATTTCAAATTATTCAATTTATTTTAGATTTAGGTTTTGTTTATTTTGCAACTTATACTTATTATGCTTTTCATTATTTTTATAATTATTTACCAACTATGGGTGATTGTCATGGAACTGAATTAGCTGCTGCTTATGGTTATTTGATTTTATCATCTTATTTGGTTTTATTTATAAGTTTTTATATTAAAGTTTATAAATCAAAAGGTTCATCAACAGGTGCAAAGAAGAGTGGATTGGAAAAGAGAGTTGTTGAAGAAGAAACACAAAGTAAGTCAACTGGTGTTTCAGCAAGTTCTACAAAACCAAAATCAAGAAAAGTTTAATATATTGAAGAATAGAGGGCATAGATGAAACACTACATTAGATCTGGGTGAAAATTATTAGATTTGGAAGTTTGTATTTATTTAAATAGAGTAAGAAATAGAACAAATTAATTCGATTTAACAATTTTGTATGTAGACTCAATTAAGAGTAATGACGAGTGACTGTTTCAAGCTTTTTTAGCATGTGACTAGAGACTTGTTTGACTACTGTTTTACCATGTCTTGGTCTAATTGGTCTAATTTGAATTTAGACTTATGCTCCCATCTACATTGTTATACATTTAAATAATCGGTTACATGCAGGATGAAACGATTTTTACGGTTTTTCTCGTAAATCCATAATTTATAGCCAATCAACATCAATCAACATTGGTTGTGAAACTAATTAGATTCCAACACAGGATCCTAAGATCGTTTTATAAATAGTTTCTACTTAGGTGAAATTGTGAATTATCTGCTAGGGTTACAACAGACACTATTGAAAATTAGATTAGATATCAACACTTAGATACAAGGTTTTTTTCAAAGATAACCACAAAATTCATCTGACTACTACTGGATCCAATTTAAAAGTGAACCAAACTGCTGAAATGGGTGACACTATTGATGTTAGATCAAAACCTTCTAATGTTGAAGCGATAAACAGACATATTAGCGTCTTGTCTAAGAAAGATCTACATAGATTTTATGACTTTTCAGAAAATAGAATTATGGAACATTTAACAAATAATGGTTATAAAGACATTGATCCATTTAATTATGATAATGTTGAAGATTATAAAATTGCAATTGATAATATATTAAAGACATTACATGGATTAAAAAAGTTACTACCACTGAATAATGATTATAAACTTTCCAAAAAAGATTTTACAAATATTAATGTATCTCAATTAAGGTTCTCACATGATCCTGAAGAATGTATTGAAGAAATAGACATAGTTGATAAAATATTATTGGATGCATTTGGACGTCCTGATAAAATAAGTCTAGATTTAATACTTGATTACTTAGACGCAGACGAAGAAACAAGACAAAAAAACAGACTAAGATTTCATGATGTTATTGATTTTGTATATTCAGAATATTATAAAAATCCCCATGCATCAATTATAAAATATTTTCAAGACTATCATGATAAGGTACATGCACCTGATACGTCACTCTCACAATTTTTAAGATTAGATCATGAATATAGAGAAAAATATAAAAATTCCGAGCATGAACTTGAAAAATTTATATCAAAATTTAATGGTCAAATTTTTGTCTATTATCTTAGAATTATGGTCATTGAAGGATTAAGTGAATGTTTTGCAAAAACTTTATCAATGTTTTATGAAGAAGATTTTAAACCATTAAATGATTTGGAAAAGGAAAATTGGAAATTTCCAGAATTTAATGTAATTACTTATAAATTTTTTTATTGTACTCCTGGTTTTAAAGAAGAATGGAGACATGTTAAATTACCTGCACTTAAACAGACTGCTTCAACAAATGAAGAAAATAATGAAAATGATGATAATAATAATAATTTTAAAAGAATTGGTAATAATAGAGTAAATAAACCTAAAATCAATATAGCTAAAAGAAAATTTTTAGAAAGACAAGAAAGAAGAAGACAAAGAGCAATTAATAATTAGACCTCAAATTAAGACTATTAAATTCATTTTAAATTTGATAATAGCACTTTCAGCTTCAGATTCTAAGAATGGGTAACAAGATTTCAAATTATTTAATTTATTTTAGATTTAGGTTTTGTTTATTTTGCAAATTATACTTATTATGCTTTTCATTATTTTATAATTATTTACCAACTATGGGTGATTGTCATGGAACTGAATTAGCTGCTGCTTATGGTTATTTGATTTTATCATCTTATTTGGTTTTGTTTATAAGTTTTTATATTAATGTTTATAAATCAAAAGGTTCATCATCAGCAGGTTCAAAAAAGAATGGATTAGAGAAAAAAGTTGTTGAAGAAGAAGAAATTAAAAGTAAATCAACTGGTGTTTCATCAAGTTCTACAAAACCAAAATCAAGAAAAGTGTAGAATATTTGAAGAATAAAGGTTTAGGTAAAACATTAAATGAGATCTGGGTGAAATTTATTAGATTAGGAAGTTTTGTATCTAATTAAATAGAGTAAAAAATAGAACAAATTAATTTGATTTAAGTAATTTAGTATAGACTCAATTGAGACTAATGAAGAGTGACTGTTTCAATCTCTTTCAACATCTGACTAGAGACTTACTTAACTATAGTTTCAACAAGTCTTGGTGTAATTGGTCTAATTTAATTTTAGGCTTATGCTCTTACATGATTATACATTAATCTAATCTATTATATGCAGGATGAAACGATTTTTACGGTTTTTCTCGTAAATCCAGATTTTATAGCCAATCAACATCAATCAACAATGGTTGAAAAACTAATTTGATACCAACGTTGGATCCTAAATTTGTAGTTCCGACGTGGGTGAAGTTGTGAAATTATTTGCTAGGGTTACAACAGACACCATTAAAAGTTAAACTAGATATCAAAACTTAGATACAAGGTTTTTTTCAAAGATAACCACAAAATTCATCTGATTACTACTAGATCCGATTTAAAAGTGAACCAAACTGCTGAAATGGGTGACACTATTGATGTTAGATCAAAACCTTCTAATGTTGAAGCGATAAACAGACATATTAGCGTCTTGTCTCAAGAAGATCGACTTAGATTTTATCAATATTCAAATAATATAGTTATGGAAAATTTATTAAAAGAAGGTTATAAAGACCTTGAACCATTTAATTATAATAATGCTGAAAAATATAAAATTGCAATTGATTATATATTGGAATTATTAGATGGAATTAAAAATTTATTACCACTGAAAAATGATTATAAACTTTCCAAAAAAGATTTTACAGATATTGATATACCTCAATTATTCTTCTCCCACGATCCTGAAGAATGTATTGAAGAAATTGGAATAGTTGATAAAATATTATTAGACGCATTTGGACGTCCTGATAAAATAAGTCTACGTCATGTACGTGACTATTTACCTTTAAATTCAAACGATGAATCAAGACAAAAAAATAGATTAAGATTTCATGATATTATTAATTTTGTAAATTCAGAATATTATAAAAATCCTCATGTATCAATTATGAGATATTTTAAAAATTATTATGAATTACACAAACGTCCTATGCTGATTATGGAATTTTTAAGATTAGATTCTAATTACAAACAAAAATTTAACAGTTCAAATAATGGATTTGAAAAATTTTTATCAAAATTTAATAATACTCCTATTTTTTTATATCATTTTAGAATTATGGTACATGAAGGATTAAGTGAATGTTTTTGTAAAACTTTATCAATGATTTATGAAGAAGAATTTAAACCATTAAATGATGAAGAAAAAGATAAATGGGAATTTCCAGAATTTAATGTGATTGTGTATAAATTTAATTATTGTACTCCTGGTTTTAAAGAAGAATGGAGAAAGATTAACTTACCTTTACCTACAATGAGTAATTCAGAAGATGAAGAAAATAATGAAAATTATGATAATAATTATAATCCTGAAAGAATTGGTAATAATAATAGAGTAACTAAACCTATTAATATAGCTAAAAGAAAATTTTTAGAAAGACAAGCAAGAAGAAGACAAAGAGCAATTGATAATTAAACCCCCAAACTAAAAATATACATTTAATTTTAGCACTTTCAGTTTAAGATTATTATAATCAATTTTTTTTTTAGTTAGAATCATTTAGTTTTAGTATGAACAATAATGGTATTTCTTCGTTTTCTTCATGATATAGATCACTTAAAATCTAGCCTGACAGGGCTAACTTTTTTCGATAATCTTTTGCAGGGATGATTAGGCATAATTACAAATTAAAATATTGAATCATTTCAATCTACTGACTTTCTTTCAAAAACATTGTAGAAATATACAACTAAAAATATCAAAATAATTGTTAAACTAATAACTTAATGAATATAAGGGTCGCAGACTTTATTTTTTGCAGTCGTTTGAGCTACCATATAGCCGTGTTTGTCTCGCCATTTTTTCTCTGACTTATTCGCGTAAAATTTTATTTTAAATTTCCTCCTTCCTCCACCAATTTTTATTTTACTAATCCATCCACCTTAAATCCTTTCCCTTGATAATTCGGTTTTAAAGAAAAATCAAACTCAAAAATTGTATAAATTTCTTTCTTTCTATAATTAGGAAAAGGAGAGATTTATATTAATAATAGATGACTGGAATCAGTCATTCAACTTCATTAAATAGGAGTACCCAACATAGGAAATTTTATCTTTTTAAAGCCTACTTAGGATTTGGAATTGAGAGATCAAATTTAAGGAATAAGTGGAAGTGGAAGTAAAAGTAGCGGTAGAGTTTGAGATCAAAAATCGGTTAAATTTTATTATTAATAACGTTACGCTTTATTTAATTTGTTATACATCGCATATTACTCATTCACTGATTACTTATTAAGCAATACAACTTAATATTAATAAGATTTGACACTTTTCTATTAGGAAAATTTGTTACCGTACTTTTTAAAAGACTTTAGCCGCATTGTCCGCAATTTTACTTAAAAATTTATTAGTTATAAATTATTTAGTAAGGAAAAGGTATACGGCTATTACAAATTTAATTTAATTGTATGTACATAAAACATCTTTTGGTTTTAAAATTGCGGTAAATAATAATAATATCCTAACCGTAAATTTGTTTCTATATGGAACTCAATATCAAGTATCTAGTCCATTTTTAAAATATACCTCAAAATCTATATTCCAAATTGAAATTAATGGCAATCTTTAAAATTTAGATTTATGGAACGTTATTTGAAATCATACACCCTATGATGGCTCTAATACAAAAGCTTATTACGTAAAATACTAAACTGGTATCTTATTGCTTTACTTTCTACAAGAAATGTTGGTTTGTACTAATAAAGAAGTTCTGGTCTTTTCTTACCTAATTCTTTTTCAACTCCTATTTTTTTTGATTTATTTTTTTTCTTGTTTCAGTTGTTCACTTATTTTTTTTTATTTGTTGAAACAAGGCTGTTGTTTCATATTGAATGAAGATTAGCTGAAGTATTGACAAACAAAACTACACTCTGTCTCCACTAAGAGAGTATATGATATCTCACTCTACATGATGTAATACTATTAATGCTCTATTGTTCTTTTAAGCATTCGAGATTTACTAATTTTATATTTATATTTTTCGGATATAAAAAAATTGAAAGTCTAAAAAAAAACATCGGTTACAAAATACCCCTATAAAAAATATAGAACACAAATTTATATTTTTCAATGAAAATGATAATGATGTATAACATTAAATATATCTTATAAATATATATACATATCAACAACTTATTTCTCCATATATTTAATACATTTTGAAACTTAAGAATCCTAATTTTACTTGGTTTTCGATCTGGAACAAATTTTTCTTATTTCAAATTTATAATAAAAGAAGGCTTATATCTCATAGAATTCCAAACAATTTTCAAACTATTCTACATTATATAACTCATATGGATTATCAAATTCTTACGTTAAATAAGAAGAAAAGAAAGATAAATATTTAAATATAACAACTATTATTTCAAAAACTTATTTTTTTGAATTAAATCAAAAGGAGAAAAAGAAGTTCCACAAATGATAACAACTTCATTACCATCATCTTATTATAACAATTATCCTCATATATCACCATTTTCAATGAATCAAAATTTACAACAACTGCAACAAAATCAAAATCAAAACTTACAAGTAAACCCACAAGGACAACAATTCAACCTACAAGAACAACAACAACACCCACAAAATCAGCATTCAATATCTTCATTATCAAAATATTCATTGAACCAAAATTCACCAAATCAAAGTTCAACAAATTCAGAAATTAATGCAAGTCCTTATTCTTCACCATCATCTAATTCTACTACTACAAATACACAAAATTACACTTTACCACATTCTTCAGTTACTTTACCTTCAATTCATTCATTAGATATACCATCATTTCCTCATACTGAAGAATCTCTTCAACAACAACAACAACAAAATCTTACAAATTCACATTCAAATAACAATAGTAACAGATCTTCAATTCATTCGCCACCTTTATTGATCCCAAAATCCTCTTCATTTTCAGATGAACCAGTTTTAGATTTAAATCATTCAAATCATCATACTCATCATCCACAACCTTTTAATTATACTCATACAATAAACTTAACAAACAACGTCAACAATAATCCAAATAATCAAGTTTTTAGATATTCAAATTCTCCTCCAATTTTAATGAAATCTCCTACTCAATCTCAACAATCAAGTAATTTTACAGTTGGTTCTTATAAATCAAATTCTTCATCTCCTTCTACTACTATTGATCAACAACACGACATTAAACAACTTCAACCCCAACAAGAACCACAACAATTACAAGATCAAACACAACAACAGCAAACTGAAACCTTATCACCAGAAGAAACTCAATCAACAACTGAAGATTCTTCACAAATTAAAAAAAATTGGAAACCACGTAAAAAAAGACAATGTCCAGAATGTAAATTATATTTTTCAAATTTAGCAACTCATAAATCAACTCATTTAAAACCAACAAATAGACCTCATATATGTGAATTTTGTCAAAGAGGTTTTGCAAGACCAAATGATTTATTTCGTCATGTTAAATGTCATTGGAAAGAAATTGGTTCTGATAAAGGACAATTTAAATGTCCTTTTAAGAGTATGACCCCATCTGGTACATCTAATGTTAATGAAAACAATAAGCAAACAACAGAAGATGGGAAAATAATAAGTATACCAGATCATTGTTGTCATAATACAGGAATTTTTTCAAGATGTGATACTTTTAAAAATCATTTAAAAGCAATACATTTTCAATATCCAAATGGTACAAAAAAGGATCAAAGAAATAAAGTTAATGGAAAATGTAGAATGTGTTTAAAAAATTTTAATCATGTTGATGATTGGATTCATAATCATATTGAAACTAATGATTGTCCTCATGCTTTAAATATTATTAAAAAAGTTTAAAAACACAGTGGAAGTGAACGAAGAGACGGGTAGAGAGAGAGAGAGTAAGAGAGAAGATGTAGTTATTGCTTTCGAGTACGAGTTAATGAAATTTATGAATTTATTCATGTTTGATGTTTGATGTTTGATGTTTGATGCTTGATGCTTGATGCTTGATGATGTTAGGAAAGGCTGAAATTATGGGTTACGAAACTACGAAAAAAGATAGATCCTCGATGTTTGAAAATAAGGATTTATTAAAAAATCTTAAAGCATGGTTCCCAAAATTTAAAAATACACGGGTATTGAAATTTTATGTTATTTTTTTATTATTTATTTATGTTTTATGTATATTAAGGGTTAGAGAAAAAGGATTTAATAGAGAAAACTAGTTTGAAATTTAACGGCTCATCAATTCATGTAATACGGATCTCGTTGGTTTAGATTTACTTACTTTTATCCTAAATCCATTATTACTTTCTATCCTTTTAATTTGTAATCAAATTTTACTAAGCAATTTTCGTAAAAAAAAGTTGCAAATTAGACAGATCCTAAAATTATGAAACTTTGTGAAGATCTGAATAAATTGTTGTTAAATCCGAGAAAATGGATTTATTACTAAAAGTTAGTAAAGTCCGAAGATTTTGTGTCAACTTTTGTCTACTCCGAAAATCTTATGAAAATTTATCTTTATAGCACCCTTTTTGCGCTTCATTGCTCATCATGAGATTCTTACGACAAATTATATGTTTGATAAAACACTTCATAAGTAGTTTTGTTAGACTTGGTTGTGTTTATTTGACTTTTGCATTGCTTTCACTAATTTTTATGATAGTGAAATCAATCTGAAGCTTGATATTTTGGGTTGAAACAATAAAATCGGCAGTTCTAGAACGCAATCATATTTCATATCAACAGCTGGATATGTGAATAGCAATGATCATCAAACCAAATTAATGAAAGATCAAACACGTATCATAGATCGCTTGTCGTTGAATCGGATATTCTTAATATAGAAATTGATTAAATTTATCCGTCTTTTTGGCTTCCAATTAGTTAATTCAGTAATCCTTTTATTTTCCGTTGTTACTAACAAAATTTAAAGTTTCCCTTTCGCTTGTTGTTCTACAACGTTTTTGTGTTTCTAGATTTCATGTTTTTCTAACCGATTTTATCACACAGTTCCTAGATTTTCAGATTTGAAAATAATGGGTTTATAAAATTCTACTTATCAGCTTATCAGCTTATCAATTGAGTAACATACAAATGGCTATACCCTCCAGTATCAAATGGCTAGTAGCTATATTTCTCCTTATATCACACAAGACAATTCCATTTGCGTATGTAATTAGATTTTACTATCATGTTTTAACAGGTTTATCATCATCAAAATTAAATATATCAAAAGATGCTCAAAAATTCAATTCATTTGGTTATAATCAACCATCAGATTTATTCAAAACTATAGTATTAGATTCAAGAGTATCACCATTAGAAATAGATATGTATTTACATAAATCAAATTCAACATATTTTTTAGATTTAGATATAGCAAGAACAAAATTATTAATTAGAATTATACAACCATATTGGTGGTATGCATTTGCAAATGATCATGGACAATTTGGAGGTGGTACTAAGAAAAAATATAGTATATCAAATTTCCCATATGTACCAGTAGCAACAGTTCAATGTCAATTTAAAAAAGAATTAAAACCTTTCCAAAAATTTAAAATAAATTCAAGAATTTTAGCATGGGATAAAAAATGGTTATTTGTATTGTCGGTTTTCACAACCTACGATAAAAAAACTAAAAAATTTGATAAAATAAATGCTATAGCATTAACTAAATATGTTTTTAAAATTGGTAAATTAACTATTTCACCAATTGATATTTTAAATTATTGTAATTTTATAAATGATGAAAATTTAAAAATTAATGAAAAAAATTATAATTTAGTTAAATATTTAGTTGATACTGAAGATTTAGAAAAATTAGCTTCATTATCTGTTTAGATTTGGAATTTTATTTATAGAGATTTTATAGAGTAATAGAATGAATGTTTATACAAATACTTAAATAATTTATTACATTACATATATACATTTAATTAACTAAGGCCTTAAAATTAGGCTAATCCAAAACCTTCATGACCTTCTGTTATGGCCATTAGCAACGAACCCCTCAAAGTTTCATAATTTTCATAAGCAGGTAAATCAATTTGATTAAAACATGTATGAGATGAAGGTAATCTATCAGTTGTACCATAATCACGATGAATACTAAATTTACAAGTACCACTTGCACCACTTAATTCTTTAAACCCATTTAATGGAACTTTTGAAGTTCCAGTAGCAAATTGTAATAATCTTGCTCTTTCTTCATTATCAAAAGATTTAACAGCTCTCCAAAACCATTGAATTTGTAATGACGATGGGGAATAATTATTATATCCTGTATTTGTTTGCCAGTCATGAACATCAATATCTGGTAATCCACTAATTAATAATTCTAATTCTTTTTCATCAAATATTGATATTAAATCTTTTGGTATAATTTCATGAAATCCAATTAAAAAATTTTCCATTTGTTCTTCAACTGATGTTTGTAATTTATATTCAACAACTTTTCGAACATAATCTTGTTTATTTTCTTCAGTTACTGGAATATTTGAACCATTTTCAATTAAATCTATAATTTTATGTTCTCCATAATCATCAGTTTCAACACTAAATGTTTCAGTTATAATATCTGTTATATCATTTTCTAACATCCAATTTAATGATTTATAATAATCTAAATCTAAAGTTTCCATATCTTTTAATGATTGTGGTTCACCCAATATTCTTTTATAAACAGCTCTTGAAAAATGACAATCCAAAAAGCAATTATCATATATTGCTTTACCAATAATTCTTCCAATAAATTTAAAAAATGATAAATGTTCAGGATTAACATATGAAGTTCTATTTGGATGGAAAGTAGTTTCATCTGATACAACAGGAGTAAATAATGCATAATCAGGATTAAACATTTGTCTACTTAAAACTTGATACCATTCTCTTGTAACACCACCAGCATCAATACCTTGTTCACCTTTAAAATTAATATCTAATTTTGAATTTTTAAATTCATCTTTTGGTTTGAAAAATAATGCACGATAAGAATCTAAAAATACTTGATCACGACGAACATTTATTGATAATTTTGAATTTTCCTTTTTATCAAGATGTAATTTTCTATCAAAATAATTTTTCTTATTATCAAATTCCAAGACTTTTGGATTTTTAACTAACATACTGAAAGGACCACTCATTAAATTAGAATTAGTTCTAACCATTTGATTAAGAATTTTTTTATGTTCATCAGTAAATGAAAAAAATAATGATTCAATTGGTTCTTTTGTAAAATCAATTCTTTTAATTTCAAATTTAGAATTATCTTTAATTTCTCGAACTTTTCCATGTTTACAAACAACCATTAAAGCTTCAATTAATGGTAATAAAGCATTTGCAACATTATGATATTGAGAATTTTTTTCTAAAATTCTTAAACATTCACTTAATGCATCCCATAAATTTCCAAGTGCTAAATTTTTATATAATTCTGTTAATTCTTCAATTTCATTATCTTGTTTTTTGTTAATTTCAACTCTATGTTCAAACATATAATCTAATGCAGTTAAAATTCTTAATAATTTAGCTTGATCAGATGAATGAGCACTAAATTTTGAAAAAAGTCGAGCTTCTATTTCTCCTTCACTTAATGCTGTACTTAATTTATTTAAATCAACTATAATTTTTTTACCAAATGTACTAGCTTGAGTTGATAATTCTTTTGTGAAAATTTCCAGAGCTTCAGGTAATGTAGCTAAATTTTGCATAGCACTAATGGCTCTTCTAAAAGTTGAATTTGAACAATCATTACCTGTTAAGATTTTTACTATTAATTTCAAATATTCTTGCGGTATTGTTGGAAGTGGGAATGGTGTAGATTGTTTATTTTCTTCATTCTTTTTGAAGGAATGTAATGGACGAGTTGAAACTTGTAAAACCCTTGCTAAAATATCCAAAAATGATTGATCATCTACTATTAATTTGTTTTCTAATAATTTTAATAAATTATTAATTGGGTATTTGTTATCTTTTGATTTCTTACCCTTTTTATTAACGGAAAATGTAATTTCATGTTCGGATAAAAGATAATATCTTAAATGAATATTCCTTTCTAATAAATAATCAATTGATTCAATTAATTGAATACCAACTGAAATTGGAGTTGAATTTGAAGGAACTCTACTTTTAACATCTTTCCCACCTAATGCTCTTGAACAAAGTTGTGAATATATTTTTTGAAGCAGTTTATTATTTGTGAAAAGATCATTTAATGCACCAATCATTATATTCATAATTTCAAGTCGACTTTGTTTATTGTGACACATATATTCAAGGGCATGATAAATCAGTTCCCTTTGATTTATTGATAATGGTGAAAATAATAATCTTATTAAAGCAGCTATACCATTTTTATCGACCAATGGTAAGAAAAATATCTTGCTATTTGATTTCTTTTTAGATTTGGTTGAATCGTTGGCTGTAGAATTAGTAGTGACAGCAGCACTACTACGTCTAGATCGTGGTGCACTTGATTGAATTATATTATCCACATACTCCTCAATTTCTTCATCTTCATCTTCATTCTCTTCTGGATCTGCCATTGCATCTTCAAACTCATTTCCATTCTCTTCAAAAGCTGCATATCTTCTAGCTAATGATTCTTGTTGTAAGATTTCTTCTCTTATACTACTAGGTAATGCATTTAAAAAATCAGGATCAATTTCTCTAGCATCTGTTTCTGTAGATGAAGCATTTGCTCTTCTTTCTCTAACATACAGCGCAAGAACTTCTTCTCTCATATCTTCTGGTAAAGCTTCAATATAATCTGGATCAATATCTGTTCCACTGATATCAACATCTCTATCTCCAATTCTTACCATAACTGGATCTCTTGGCGGAGCATTTGCAGCAGCTTCTTCTCTACGTTTAGCTTCTTCTTCACGTTTCTTTTGTTCTTCTTCCAATCTTTTCTTTTCTCTTTCATCTCTTTCTTTTCTTAAATTTTCCAATTCAGCTCTTTTTTCATTATAAACTTTGGCACTTTTTTCTTCAATTTGATTAATAATTCCAGGTATAACTCTCAAAACCATATCATCTTTATTTTTTGGATTGAACATTTTAAAAGCATCAATCCATCTTTCTTTTGTTGATTTAATATGAAGATTATGAGTATGTTCTGCATGTTTTGCAGCTTGTCCAAGATGCATCATATTTTCAAATAATCTACTAATAGTTCTATGGGAGCCCCTACCAACACCTTCATCATTACTGATTTCAATTGAACCTCTGAAATTACCTTCTCTAAAAAGACCATCTAATAATAATGATAATGCAGGTGATGTCCTTTCTAATTGTGAAAATCCAGCTTGATCAAAGATACGTCTAAGTCCATGATTATGAGGTGTAACCATTCTTAATTCAACATTCAGTTCTGATTCATTATCACTAAATTCACCTTCAGAAGCATCTTCTTCATCATCATCAACAACTTCAGTGTCTAATCTAAAATCTCTAGATCCATTTAGGAATGAATGACGAGAATCATGGCCGTTGCTAATCAGGTGAACACGAGGACGAGGTCCATCTTCGATTCCATTGTGTCCATCTTCAAACGCTTCAATCCAGCCGTCTAATTCATCTTCGTCATAATCACTTTCGGATTCATCATCATCCTCTTCATTTTCACTTTCATCTTCATCATCTAAATCAATATTTCTTCCATCTGAATCATCAAACTCATCAACATCACTTGAAGAATCAATATCTAACTCATCAATAATTTCAATATCACCTAAACTTCCATCTGAACCAGAACCTTCTCCAAATTCATTATCATTTGAACCTCGATCCATATCAACGTCTTCTTCAAGAATACTTTCATCATCATCATCTCCCGAAGAATCTATAGCTGAAAGTTCAGAAGATTCATCACTTTCAATTTCATCTCCTGACATTAGCACTTCCAATGGTCCATCTTCATAAAATTCTTCTTCTTCACTATCAATATCAACATCGTACATTCCCAAAGTGGAATTACGGAATAAATCTGGAGTTTCCTCTCTATCTTCATGTTCATCCTCAGGTACAATATCATCTTCTTCATTTTCATCTTGATTTTCTTCTTTAAACAATTCATGATATTCTATTTTGTTCTTACCTAATAAAGTAATAGGTTTTATTGCTGTCTTTATAACTTTATCAATTTCTGGATAATTCAAATCAAATTCTGCAATTAAATTAGTTATTAATTGTGGGAAATGTTTTTCAATATAAACTTTTGTGATATGAAAAATGTCAAATTTTGTAGCATCTTTGTTTAATATTGGTCCAATAGCGTCCCTAAATTTTGCTGAAATTAATAATCCACTTAATTCAAATAAGTCAAGTAATTTTCCATATCTTACTTCAGCTAATAAATTTGAACGTGAAGTATCTTTCATGATTTTGATCAATATATCAGCAACAAATCTTCTTATCAATGCAAGATCAGGATCCTCTTTTTTGGTGGTGGTTGAATCATCAACATTCAGTAAAGGAGATGAAATTAAAGTCATTATAGTCATTTTAGCAACTGATGAAATAGCACATCTTCTATCATATTCAGGTCCAGATTTTTCCAACAGATGTGTCGGAATTAATTGATGAATGAAAAAATTTAAAGCAGTTGATCTTGGTTTTATATCTTGTTGTGGTTTTCTTGAAAAAGTTAAAAAATCAAATTTAGCTTGTTTATATGAACCTACTAATTCAGTTATACTTTGTAACAAAAAGCACATATAAGCAAAGTTTGAATTTTCAAATAAATCAACTTCTTTTTTATTTTTCTTTTCAACTTCTGATATTTTAGGATCAGACACCCAATCTGATTTTACAACATCCATTAATTCTGATAATAAAACATTCATTATTACACCAGATTTTAATTCATTTATCACCTCACCAGACATTTCAGTATCAGTTGTAGAATTTCTATCATTTTTAGCTTTGATTACTTGTAAGTCTCCAAATGTAATATTCATTTTACCATCGTATTTTTCTAGGAGAATTTCTTCAGATAAACCAGATGCATATACTTGAGAATCCCTAAATAACATTGATAAATTATCTTTCAATATTGTTTTAAGATATTTTGATTGTTTGAAATTATTTCCAAAAATATTTTGAATTTCTGGTTTCATATAAGTTTCGACAACTTGTTTGGATTCAAAGCAATATCTAATGATGAGGACCACACTAGTTTTCAAAGATTCTAAAGCTACTTTATCTGTACTTTCTGTTTTGGAAATTTGAATTAAATTAGCAAGGATAGGAAATTTGGAAATTTCCCTTGCTAAATTGAAGTCTTTTGCAAGTAATGCAAGAACACGAGCTAACCCATTGGCAGATCTTAAATTATCTACATGTTTAATGGATGAAATTTGACCACATAAAAAATTTTTCAATTCTTGAACATGACTCTCATTTGTATCAAACTTGTAGTTTATGTCCTCATGTTTTGAAACTTTTGGAACAAAAACATCTTCTGCTATTAATTTTTGCTCAACAATGGACATAATATATTGAAAATATGAATCATCAACGTAAGATTCGCTTATTATATCACCTTCATACACTTTACCAACATCTTTCAAAGCACCTTGTTTTCTGACCTCATCATCTTGAAGAAGTAATGATATTAAATGTACCTGAACACTATAATTTTCAGGTTTCAATTGATCAGTTTGACTAGACACTGCATCAATCAAACCACCAATTATTTCTCCCTTGTGTAAAGTTAAAAATAAATCAGCAATCAAATGAGTTGTTTTTGGATATGTATATGCAATAAGGAGCCAGGTTTGATCTGACCAACTTTGGTCTCTTTGTAGCAAAATTTCTTTTCTCTTTTTAAATTCAGGAAAGGAAAAATTGAAATCAAATTCTTCTTCTTTTGCTATTTGAGCCCAACTATTCCAATCATCTTTTGTATATTCATTAAATTCTGGACAAGATAATGCTTTACCTTTGATTAAATTTGACAAATCATTCTCATGTTCAAAATAATGTTCCGCCTGAGATTCCGACATTCCTAATGAAATAAGAAAAGCAACTTGTTCTTCTGGTGGGAATAAGTATTCTTCATCTAAAGGAACAAATTCCGATGGGATTTCTCTTTTGGAACTATAAATGTTTGATGCAATGAATATTAATTGTTCGATTATTGGAGTTGGTATATTTTTCACTTCCAAACCTTCGGCTTTAGATTTTGTAATTAAATTTGTTAATTCTACAACTAATTGAAGTATTACATCCCTAATTTGTAGTAAAGTTGCTGAAATAACTTCAGCTTCTATATTAACTCCATATCCGTTTGAAAAATAACCTTTCACAAAAGGAAAATTACTAAAATCTTCTGCATTAACTGATCTAGCAAATATCATCATATTTTGACTTATTGCATTTTTTAAAATACTAACAGGCAGTGAATTTATATATTTTAATTCTGCAGTTTCTTGAACTTGTTTTGGATCAAATTCAACCAAATCTTTTACCAAATCGACAGTCACATCAATTAATTTTTTATAAAATGATTTCTGAAATAAAGCCATAGCTAAAGGTGTGAAAACATTATCTTTGTTTCTTTCCTTTTGGCTCAAAATGTATAAATTAACATTTGAAATAGCCATTACATAACAATGATAGTTATACTTATTCTCTAATTTCCGATCGTATGACATTTCCATAAACTCAGCAAGCTCAAGAAGAAAACTTACTGCAAACTTTTTTGAAAGACTATTCATAAAATCAGTTCTTTTTGGTACACATGCTCGTACAGCAGTTGCAAAAATCAATGCAATATAACCTTGGAAAAAATAATTAAATGTACGTAATTGTAAATTATTTTTAAATTGAGGATTTGTAAATGAAGTGTCAGGTTTTGTGTCTTCAAAACCTTCGATATGTAATTGCAAAGGTGGACTATCATTTGGAAAATTTGAAGTAAGTTTCAAAACTTTATCTGGGGTATTATTTCTGATTATTGTTTCTTCAATGATACTTCTTTCTAGAAGCTGGTAAAGTGCTTTTGTGAAATCGTCATAATTAAATTGCTCTAATATTTGAATTATTCTGTCATTAAATAACAAGCCCAAGTTCATATATATCTCAGTTAAAGTGAATAATAAAACGTTAACCTTGTTTAAAACTTTTAATAATTCATTAGCTTCTGATATAGTGATTTGATTAAAGAATGACTCATCAGATTGACATCGAACATAATTTAAAAGAATACGATTCCTAAATGTATCTCTAAGTTGATTCATTACTTTGGGGAACCCATAATCTCTATTTTCATCATCAAAATACTTTAGTATTCCCATTAATGATGTTATACCATTGGATAAAAAATAATCATATGGAACATCTAAAGTTAAAAATCCAAGCCATATATCAAAATCAATAAGTTCAACAACATCTGAACCCCATTGACCACTATCTTGTAATAAACCACCAAGAAAAAGATAAACATTATCAACCACAAAGGAACAATCTTGATTTTCCCAACTTTCTATTTCTTCACCATCTTTACTTAAAATATCATTATTCTTTCCATAATAAAACTGATCTCTTCCTTCATAAAACTTAACTCCCTTCATATTATCTTTAATATAAGTTTGTAATTTCTTTAATAATTCTTCAATATTAGATAAAATAAAAGGTTTTAATCTTGGATAATGTCTTCCTAATTCATCAAATGAACAACCTAAATTTGTAGCCATATCTGATTTCACCAAAATTTTAGCTAATGATAAATCAAAAAATGTTTCAAAAAAGATTTTTATAATTTGTTTTTCAATAACTTTATCAAGACCTTGATTATTTAAACAAATTGCTCCAATAACTTCTGGTAATGATATTAATAATGGACCAAATGGTAAAAATAAATCTTTGTAGTTGTTCAATACAGCATCTACAACGCCTGCTTCATTTAAAATTGAAAAAGCAGTAGGTTCATTATGAATTATATAAAATACTGAATCAATAGTATATGCTAAAACTTGAGGACCAAAAATTTTTGGATTTAAAATAATTTGATTAAAATTTAAAAGTAATGGAGAATCAAATAAATTTCGAAGTCTATCACCTCTATCAGAATTTAATAAATCTGCAACAACTTTCATTAAATTTTTTAAATAATTCATTCTTCTTAATGGCATTTTTGAATATGGAGCTATTTCTCCATAATTTGGTTGTGATAATTCAACATTTGCAAGTGTAAACATAACTTCATCATTTATTGCATCAATTAAAAGTGTAAATCCATTATTTGAAATAAATTCATCTAATGATTCAGGTTCTGCTGAAAGATATAATGATAACAGATGAATAGCTGCTGAACAAGTCCATTTATATTTTGATCTAATTTTCAAAAATGGTATTAAATCATTTAATAAACCACCTGATGTTAAACGAGGTAGTAAACTTTTTGTTGTTATCATATTTCCAAGCATATTAAAAAATAAAATATATGCTTCTTCATTATAATTAGGATCTTCTGTAGTTATTTTAACTAATATACGTCTTAAACACTGATATAAAACTCCATGACTAACATTCCCATTCATACATCGTAAAATATCACTACCCCAAATTTTTTTCATTGAAATGCATTCTAACGCTTTCATAGCTGAAAAAAAAACTGCATTAGGGACAAACCATTCATTATCAGGCAGAATTGTATCTACTAAAAAGCTTAAAATATATGGTTCAGCTTCTAATAATTTTGATGATGTATTTTGATTTGATAACATACAACATGAAAATCCAGTTGCAAAACATTTTATTTGTATTAATTTTTCTCTTAATTTTATTGATTCAGAATTTGATTGGAAACTTTTTGAAACTTCAACAGCTAATGAATAAGCAAACCAAGAATTTTTTGGTAATATTTCCATACCTTTTGTGAATAGTTGATCTAAGGATTTTTTTGCCACTGATTCCTCGGGAATTGTAAATACTTGAAGTCCTTCAGAAATCGTTGAGTCATTGGATTTAGAATTCTGTTGTGGTACAGATTTGTAATATTGAAAATTTATACTTTTCCATCTTTCCGGAATAATTTTATTTGGTTTTAATAAATCTGTAAAATTAAAATGATCACCTATTACACTTGATCTTCCATCTTGTATTGTTTCATTATATTGTCTTGAAGTACAATCTGTTGGTACCAATGGAGGGAATGATTTTGCTATTTCAAGTATCTTGTTTCTTACATTTTTTGGAGCTGAAAATCTTGAAGAACCTGAAGTTACAAATTTTTCACTAATTATAACTGCTACTTCTAAAGCTTTTAGCCTTATATCAATAGTAGGTGTATTTATTAATGCATATATTCTTTCAGAACTGGAATAAATTTGTTTATCGGAACAGTTATTCAATAAAGTATTTGTAAATTCCAAACATGTTACTAATTTACTTGTATCTTCCTTTGGTATGATTTGTAATTTTGGATATTCATTTTCTAAATCATATTCTTTTATATATTTTGCAAATATATCATCGATTTTATTCAAAATAGGAATCCAATGTAATAAATCACCTCTAACTCTATTCCATTTGATATTTGCCAGTAGTAGTTTAGAAAATTCTTCATCATTACTATTTATTAATTTATCAATTAAATCTTTTACAGGTGGAGACATTTCCATCCTCTGACGATGCTCTCTTTTCTCAATAATCATGATGATAAACTATTGTTTGCTATTAGTGAGTGATTGTATATGTGTGAATGTAAGTGTGAAGTGAATTTTCAAACCTTTCTTTCTTGAATAAAATTGGTTGCCTAATTAAATTAGTTAAAAAAATGATTGATCTTATAATTTATTGTTTCAAATATTCATAGAGAGAAAAAAATTGAGAAAATAAAATAGGTACAAGTTGGAGTGAAAGTAGTCACAGCAAATAATACAAATGTTAGATAATCAACCTAAGGAACATTAATAGTGAACTACAGATGCATAGTGAAGCATTGGGTCTTTCCTTTCCTTGTTGATTCGAATCATGTTCAGGTCAAATTGAATGTGCTACCATGTACTGCTTACTTCCCTTATTAATTGCTTGTAACTTATAACAATTACGTAATGACAAAATTTAATCAAAACTATTACATTTGCAACAACTTTATTTAATGGTTGATACCAAACGACAACTAGAAGATGATACATCAAATATAACGAAAAAACTCAAAACTGGTACATCAGGTAAAGGATTAGATGTTGAATTACATCCATTATTAAAAAACTTCAACACAACTCAAACTCTTAAATCAACTAAAAATCCAATAAAAAGGAAAACTCAAAATTGGTTTGATCCAAATGCTTTTAATCCTTATTTAAATCATTCAACACCTACTCAAAGATCTAAGAAATTAAAATTTAATACTCAAGGTAAATATATTGAAAAAGGTGAAAAATTTAGAGAAAATTTAAAAATTGAAAATGAAGAAAGAAAATTACATGAAGAATTGGCTAAAAAAGGTTTAATACCTGATAAAACAATTGGTGAAGATTTATATCAACCTGATTTTCCTCCTTTAATTGAATGGTGGGATAGACCATATTTGAGGGATAATAACTACTTAAAAATTGATGATGAATCAAGAATCCTATTAGATAATGAAGAACAACCAATAACTTTTTATATTCAACATCCAATATTATTACCTCCAATTTGGGAAGATCAACAACAAAATCTTAAACCAATGTACTTAACCAAGAAAGAACGTAAAAGGATACGAAAAAATGATAGACAAATAAGACATAAAGAAAAACAAGATAGAATTAAATTAGGTTTAGAACCTCCTCCTCCACCAAAAGTTAAATTATCAAATTTAATGAATGTTTTAACAAATGAATCAATTAGAGATCCAACAGCTGTTGAAAATAGAGTTAAAAAAGAAGTTGAAGAAAGATTACAAAAACATTTGAAAGAAAATGAATCAAGAAAATTAACAAAAGAACAAAAACATGAAAAAATTTGGATAAAACAAGATAAAGATTTATCTAGGGGGGTTTATTCAACTGTTTATAAAATAAATAATTTAAATAATCCATCTCATGCTTTCAAAATTGATATCAATGCGAAACAAAATAATTTATTTGGAATATGTTTGAAAAATCCTGAATTTAATTTGATAATAGTTCAAGGTGGTGAAAAATCTATAAATCATTATAAGAAATTATTAATGAATAGGATTAAATGGAATGAAGGAGGGGAAGAGGAAGAACAAGTTGATTCTGCTGTAAATAAAACTGAAAACACTTGTAAAATAATTTGGGAAGGTCAATTACCTGATGCTAATTTTCAAAAATGGAGTATAATGTATTCAAGAAATGATGATGAAGCTATTAATGTTTTAAAAAAATTTGGATTAGAAAATTATTGGAGATTAGCTAAAAGTTAGTAGATTTGTGAGTATATTTTCAATATATAAGTTAAATACATCATACGATATGAAGAATTAACTATTAGTACCTGATGTATTAGTAAATTAGCTTTAATAATAACTCCACATTTAATTAAGTAGACTAATCGATGTTCTTCTCCCTTACATATAATAGTAAATTTGTATTGTATATGCATATCTCTTAAATTTTATATACTAACCTCGAATTGCTAACATTAAATTATTTATTATAGAAATGATTGGAAGCAACCATATTAATAATAGAAATCTAAGATACATAAAATGATTAAAGAATCCTATCTTACTTTTCTTTAAAGTAGATTGAATTAATCATCATTCAATACTTATACAACTATATCAAATAATTTAAAAATGGCTAATCACTACATAATTTTCGGAAGAAAAGTTCCAACTCATGTTGTATGTAATACTCAATCAATCTTTCAAACTCAATTGATTTCAAATGTACAAGTAAAGAAATCATGAAGATACAAAAGATCAAAAGAACTAACAACAATTTATATAGTTAGCAATAACAACATTAGGTTTATTAGCTGGATCAATTGCTATTCCACCATTATTAGGTATAAAAGATGAAGAAACTAAAACAAAAGCTGCTAAAAATAGTCCTCATAATATAGTACAGAATAAAGGAGAACAAAAAGAAGTAAATAAATTAGAAAAGTATGTGTTTCTTACCATCTAGGTATATATAATATATTTTTTGATGATATATATCTGGTTGCAAACAAAATTAAGGGGCAATTCGTTTTTTGTTGCCGGATTATTTAAGTAATTTTAAATCAAACAAAGGCTGGAAGTAATACTAACTAACTGTTTTAGGGATTTTAGTAAAGATCAAAGAAGTAATCCATAAATCTGTTAATGGTATTAACAAGTAGAGCTTGTTTGAAATCATATGACAATATTTACAGACCGTAACAAGTTTTTAATTTAATATCCTAGATGGAAAAGGGTGTTAGACATTAGATGATCTAAATCAAAGGAACCTTATAAGATTTTTTAAATGAATATATGATTATTTATTGTTCCATTGAAGTTGTAGCATTCTCTCTACTATCAAAATTACAAAAAAGTAAGAAGCCTAGGAACTTGGATTAAACCAGTATCTAGTTTCTATAACCTTGGATTTAAACAACTGAATCAATAGTTTTCTCAATATATGCTTAGTTAAGGATATAATTAGATGGTTGATAAACAAAGACTAATTATGCAATATATCAGAACTAAATTTATGAAATTGATGATATTCAATTGAAACTCCCCAGCATGCAACATTCATGAAATACTTTTACAAAATCGAGCTCTTAAAGCTTCATCATTGGTAAAAACCTTCTTGTAATTGAAATTAGGGAATTATACAACGACAATGAAAGTGATAACATTACATTAACATCAAGACAGTTATAGATATGGGGAACAAATTTGTTTGAAAGTTTGAGTTGATAATGTGAAAGATGTAGTTGATACGATATACTATTTCAAGTCCAGAATTTGTTGAATAACAGATCAATTTTTTCAACAATTTTTCTTCCATTTTGATCACTATCTTCACGATCCCTTTTCATTTGTGTTGTTGTATTGATGATGATGTAAGTGGTAAAAGGACATTTTTTACTTATTTCTTTTTCCAAAAACTTTTCAATAATCCCTTTTGTATAGCTTTCCTGATGTAATTTAATGTTACTCTTTCATTGTCTTTGTATAACAAGAATTGCAATAACTCAATAAAGTTTGATTATAAATGATAAATATCAAATCAATGATAAAGCCGAATTTAAAACAAATATAAGGTAAGTGCTATACTAAAATAGCAATTCCACATTAGTAATTAGATTTTGAAATTGAGCTCCGAGTTAAGGATAAGTATAATATTTTAGTGTTTCATATACTGTAGTACTAAAGTAAGATAAAATCAAAACAAATCTAATACAATCGCGTATTAAAAAATAATAAATTGATTTGTAATGTCAATAGAATATTATTAAAATACGCGTCACGTAAGAAAATAGAACATGAAAAAAATATATACAAAATTTATATTTAATTCAATAGATATTCCATTACTTCTTTCTTTCTTTAAATCTGATTATTATCATTATATTGTACTAAGAACTATTCAAAATCTTATCAAATCATCATCATCATTAGATTAATTTAAAAATATATTTGTCATTCTCATATTAAAGCAAACAAAGTCATCATGTATGTTTTTAAAAGAGATGGTAGAAAAGAACCAGTTAGATTTGATAAAATCACAGCAAGAGTTCAAAGATTATGTTATGGTTTAGATCCAAATCATGTTGAACCAGTTGCTATTACTCAAAAAGTAATATCTGGTGTTTATCAAGGTGTTACTACAATTGAATTAGATAATTTAGCTGCTGAAACAGCTGCAACAATGACAACAATTCATCCAGATTATGCTATATTAGCTGCAAGAATTGCTGTTTCAAATTTACATAAACAAACTACAAAACAATATTCAAGTGTTTCAAAAATGTTATATGAATATATCAATCCAGAAACAGATAAACATGCTCCAATGATTTCAAAAGAAACTTATGATATAATTTTAAAACATTCAGATGAATTAAATTCTGCTATTGTATATGATAGAGATTTTAATTATAATTATTTTGGTTTTAAAACTTTAGAAAGATCTTATTTATTAAGAATTAATGGTAAAGTTGCTGAAAGACCTCAACATTTAATTATGAGAGTTGCTATAGGTATTCATGGTGATGATATTCCAAGAGTTATTGAAACTTATAATTTAATGTCTCAAAGATATTTTACTCATGGTTCTCCTTGTTTATTTAATGCTGGTACTCCAAAACCTCAAATGTCTTCATGTTTTTTAGTTGCTATGAAAGATGATTCTATTGAAGGTATTTATGATACTTTAAAAACTTGTGCTTTAATTTCTAAAAGTGCTGGTGGTATTGGTTTACATATTCATAATATAAGATCAACTGGTGCTTATATAGCTGGTACTAATGGTACTTCAAATGGTATTATTCCAATGGTTCGTGTTTTTAATAATACTGCTCGTTATGTTGATCAAGGTGGTAATAAAAGACCAGGTGCTTTCGCTTTATATCTTGAACCTTGGCATAGTGATATTCTTGATTTTATTGATATTAGAAAAAATCATGGTAAAGAAGAAATTAGAGCAAGAGATTTATTTCCTGCTTTATGGATTCCAGATTTATTTATGAAAAGAGTTGAACAAAATGGTGATTGGACTTTATTTTCTCCTAATGAAGCTCCTGGTTTAGCTGATCATTATGGTGATGAATTTGTTGAATTATATGAAAAATATGAAAAAGAAGGTCGTGGTAGACAAACTATAAAAGCTCAAAAATTATGGTATAGTATTTTAGAAGCTCAAACTGAAACTGGTACTCCTTTCATGTTATATAAAGATGCTTGTAATGCTAAATCAAATCAAAAAAATTTAGGTATGATTAAATCATCTAATTTATGTTGTGAAATTGTTGAATATTCTGCTCCTGATGAAGTTGCTGTTTGTAATTTAGCTTCAATTGCTTTACCTTCATTTATTGATCAAGATGAAACTCATTCTTGGTATAATTTTGAAAAATTACATGATGTTACAAAAGTTGTTACACGTAATTTAAATAGAGTTATTGATCGTAATTTTTATCCAGTTCCAGAAGCTGAAAAATCAAATATGAGACATAGACCAATTGCTTTAGGTGTTCAAGGTTTAGCAGATGCTTTTATGATTTTAAGAATTCCTTTTGATTCACAAGAAGCAAGAGAATTAAATATTCAAATTTTTGAAACTATGTATCATGCAGCCGTAGAAGCAAGTATGGAATTAGCTCAAGAAGAAGGTCCATATGAAACTTATCAAGGATCTCCTGCATCACAAGGTTTATTACAATTTGATTTATGGAATAGAAAACCAACTGAATTATGGGATTGGGATTTATTAAAACAAAAAGTCGCTAAACATGGATTAAGAAATTCTTTATTAGTTGCTCCAATGCCAACTGCTTCAACTTCACAAATTTTGGGAAATAATGAATGTTTTGAACCATATACTTCAAATATTTATTCAAGAAGAGTTTTAGCTGGTGAATTTCAAATTGTAAATCCTTATTTATTAAGAGATTTAGTTGATTTAGGTATATGGAATGATGCAATGAAAAGTAGTATTATCTCTAATAATGGTTCAATTCAAGCTTTACCAAATATTCCAGATGAAATTAAAGCTTTATATAAAACTGTATGGGAAATTTCTCAAAAACATATTATTGATATGGCATCTGATAGAGCGGCTTTCATTGATCAATCACAATCATTAAATATTCATATTAAAGATCCAACAATGGGTAAATTGACTTCCATGCATTTTTACGGCTGGAAGAAAGGTTTGAAGA